GTGCATAATTGTATGGTTGAATGAGTTCGTTGTAGCTAGTTTATACTGTGAATTCTGCCGTATAATTTTCAGAGAAAGTTATAATGCAAATTTTGGTATGAATTCATTGGTTGCATATGATTGGTTAATTAATTCATATTGGATAAGTTAAGTATGATGCATGTGGTGTGTGAAAACCCATATATGGTACATGAAGGTGTACTCAAGCATCCTCGAATTTTTCTATTTGATTGACGCCACAAGGGGTGTTCATGACATTAACAAGGCTAACAAGACATCATGGCAACCGTGGCCGAGTAGAGAACCTTATAATGATATGGGAAATTTAGGGCCTATTTTAATTCTAGTGTCGGGCGGAGCCCCTGTCTAGCTTTTATGTGATCCCAACATGGTGTGAATTAAGCTTCACATGATATTGGAAACGTCTTGACGCACCTAAAGGCCTCCCTTGCATATATATGTGAAGTATTGGTTGATTGCATAATATTTCTTGAGTTTTGATTGTTTACTTTCACTTGTGTTTGATTGTTTGTATAACACTCTAATGTTGTTTGCAAAGAAGTAATCATGCAGTTTTCTTATTTTGGAATTGTGTTGGGAAGTAATCATTGTATATAGGGTTTTGGATTGGCTGAGTAATACTAGGTTACTCATCCTTTCTTTCATTTTAGGTATCCAATAGTCAAGAAAGCCTTAGGGGATCATTAGACGTTAGGCTGTCAGTGTATATTCGTGTTGCAATTGTAAAGGAGAAATTCACTCTGAGGGTGCAGAAATTCAGGGTGCAGAAATAAATGTTTATTTTTGCAAACTATTGTCAGTGTATCATATTAACCATTAATAAAGTGGTTTTGCAAAAGTGTAGGGTTCTATTCATATTAATCTTCTCTAGACTAACAGAACTAGAGGTTATTGTATGGTTGAAAAAAACCTAGGCTGTGATCATGTGGAACGATAATTGAGGATAGTTTCATCTATATGCTAGAAAGCGTTTAGATCTCTGATACGATGGTCCATGACTATTAATTTATGGTATTTTCGACTCATCTATATCTAAATTGAGTCGAAGGTGTTACATGAGGGGTTGGACCAAGAGATCAAATCATTAAGGGATAGAAGTACCCGATCTGAACCACAAGCAAACCACATGAAACACTTTATGGTTTAGAGCTTTCAGCCCCCTTCTCTCGGAATTATCTCTCTGTATCCTATAACACAATATACAGGAACTGAAAACCCTACCATATAGTCGCCACTAATTTTCCAAGTTTTTTTATCAGATTTACTCTGACATTTTGTTTTTTTTATATCAACATTTTATAGATCTAGTGTGTATAATCTTTTGGAATATTAAATGAGTTAAAAAAAAATATAACTTACTTGGTTTTTTTCTCTGATTACGGCCAACTGCAGCGGCTCCTTGCCACATAATGACTATCCACAGTCTTCTACTTTTGATTTTAGCCCTGTTTCTTCCACTCTTAGTTTTAATCGCCGTCTTCTACTAATAATTTTAATCCACCTTCTTCTACTCTTTTTAATCCACCATCTTCAACTCTTATCACCACTTGATTATATTTGTACCTTCGACTCCATTTACTAATAAATCAAATCTGTGTGTATTAAAATCATGAAACCAAAATAGAACTTTTAATTTAAACAAACATTTTGGTTAAAAACAAAAAAGGAACAAATATATTAAAAAATTACTAAATATAACTAATTTTAGTAGTTTTTTCCAATTAAAATGGTCAACGTGTTCAACATACCTAAAAATACCCAATTCGATTTTTGTTAGTAAAATTTTAAAATATTCTTAACAAAAGGATAAAATTGTAACTACAAGTTCACATTTTATCTAAGGAACCCAAGTTTTGAAAACCCTAAAATATAGCCGCCACCAATGTTTCAAGTTTTTAATCAGATTTACTCAGGCATGCTGGTTTTTTATGTCAAACACTTGGTTTTTTATATCAACACTTTATAGATTTAGTGTGTATAATCTTTTTGTGTGTTAATTGAATTAAAAGATAGATTTTATAACTTACTTGATTTTTTTACTACGGCCAACTGCAGCGACTCCTGGCCACATAATGATTGTCCACCGTCTTCTACTCTTAATTTAAATTTGCCGTCTTCAATTCTTAATTTAATCAATCGTCCCGAACTCTTATCTCCACTTGATTTCTTTTTTCTATTTTTCAAAGAGAAGTACTTCTACTTTCTCTTTCGAATGTAAAATTCAATAGAGACTCATGTGGATTAAGTGAATTTTATGTTTGTTTGTCAAGAAGAGGCCTTTTAACTTAAAACTTACACACTTCTGTAAACTAGTACATGTTGTTTAAGGTTTTAACATTGTAAAGGGAGGGTTAAATTCATTAATAGATCAAAGTTAAGGGTTTTAAACAGACAAACAGTTTATTAGAGTTGAATAATTTCCAGGGAAAACATCAACAAATGGGGAAATGCCTCTCCATTGGTATACCTTTTTGAGGGGAAAAATAGAGATTATAGTGTTACTGTATTTTATTGAATTTGATGTAATACTATTGCATCAAATTGGAACACTATTCACTAGGGTAACCCAATATGATTAACTTAATCAAAATTAATATATGATTGAAATTATATATTTATACATCAGTTTTAACCTAAAAATGGGTTGTGGATCTGTCTATAATAACTTCGATTTCGCATCAATCTTCCTTTGATGATCGATCGAATTGATGCCCTTTGAGCTTGAACGGAATATGTGAGTGAGGTATTCGATCGATGCACCATTTTCTATCATTGTAGCATATGCTAAGGGTGCAAATGCACATGGTTCAAATTGTTTTGCAAAAATTTATGTTACATTTTAAGGTACTTTTGAAAATTTAGGGTCCTGTTTGCAAAATTATAATGCTCATTATTTGTAAATCAAAATGATTGCATTGGGCCTCTGAAACTAATGGGCCGTACCTGACTGTAGCATAATCAACTTTAGATTTATATATAGCAGAGTCTGGCGAAATCTTCCCTCTTTGCCTTCAATTACATCTGAAAATAACTTGAAGTTTTTCTTTGAATAATTTGAGTTGATTGAACATTGATTTATAATCGTTTTAATCAATTGTACCCAAGAACAATTGTGGTTTTGTCTCTGCAGTTAACATTGTTTATATCAAATGGAGAAACCAGAGAACGAGCAGAAAAAGAAAATGATAAGTATTTTTGTTTTTTATTGTTTTTTAATTATTAATTAAAATAAATAAGAAATATCATAATTAAAATTATTTTTTAAAAGAAAAATTAAATTAATAAACTGATACGTCAATGTTTTCTTACCATTAACCGAATAGTTTAGGTCTTTTGTTGGCAGTCAAACTCGGAAGCTGATTTAAAAGTTTTATGTGTATATATAACTAGGATTTAACCAGCACAATGTGTGGAGTAAACGATTTTTAAAAATTGTAAAAGAATTAGTATAACTTTTGTTTCTTGCGAGAAGAAATTAGTAAGACTAGGTCGAAGCCCGCGCTACGCGCGGGTGGTTTTGTTACTTATTTTCTAATTTAGTTTTGTTTTTTTCATGTTTTGACCAGTTTGTTTTAAAAATAATAATAATATGATAATCTCTCTGACGCATTATTACTTTAGTTTCGCGTTTTTTTGCACCCCTTATATAACATAACGTATAATCATTCTGTGTATTTTATAACTTATACATCGCAATTCTAACATTATACATAGTTTTGGCAAAACTATGTGAATGACGGGGAGTCTCGTATAAGTGAAACTCTGACCTATTCAGTTAATTAATCAGTTATCTTAAACTTTGAGTTGATTTCGGAGAATGCAAATCACATATAATGCATCATCAACTTTTAGTTTTATGTTGTTATATCTTTCAATTAATTAGTTGTCAATTCTGTTAAAAGAAGAAAGTAATATATATTTCAATTCCTTAATGATGCAATTGCCTATGTGATGTCATATCTTTCACATAGACCAAAAAAAATTGTATGTATATAAGTTACAAATATATTCACAATTCATTTGCCATCAAAAGATAGATGTATTTGTCTTTAAGCTTTCACCTTCTCTTTTTAAAAAAGCATTGAAAATTAAGAAAATTCATCTTTAAAATATTATTTTTTATTTTTTGCTTTTTAACCATTTTCATATTATAGACTCTCAATAATTTTGGCATTTTAAAGATTAGTTTTATCAGTTGCCAATGCATTTTTTTAAAGTAATACTCATCAGTTTGATCCTTCGAGTTTCAGTTTGCTTGCTTATACTATATTTATACTTTAGTGGCTTTCTTGAAAGTATGATGCAATTTGGGGGTTTTGCAGGAACGATACATGTTTTGTAACTTCTGATTTTATGTTTCTGATCTATTATTGCTATACAAATGAACATACTCTCTGAGATATGTTTTGTTGAAAGAAATGAGGAAGAAGTAAAATTGTTTGTTCATCTCCTGGTGTTTTCAACTCCAAGAGCTTGCCACTTACTGTAAGATGGCTTGTTTGGTTAGAAAATTGTAACATGTGGAATATATCGTCAACTGTTATTTTAAAAAAAAAAAACATTGCTTCCTAGCATCATGAACTGAAGCAGTCAATTACACAACACATATAAATATTACTGTTGCTACAAAGCATCCGAGTCACAGGTGATATAGGCTCAAAATAAAGGATGTGTCAGCAACCTCTGTAACAGACACTGGAACAACTACTGCCTCCTTCAAGAACCAGGTATTGCAGAGACGGCTTAGGAGGAAGATCATCTTCAGTACTGTCTAAAGAAACACTTCCAGTGGATTCACTCACAATTGAGATCTGCATCAAATCTATCACTGGGAAGATCCCTTTGTTTTTTCACCGAATCTCTGCTCTTCCGGCCTTCTCTAAGCACTGCCTTCTGTTTCATCAGCTGGCATTGATCTCATAAACTCACATTTTGCAAGTTTCGCATCACAACATCCTTCACTATCAATAAACTTGGCTTCAGGCAGATAATCGGTTTATACTTTCCCAAATGGCTGGACCTTGAGGGTGGACATTGAAAAAATACTTCACAAACCGAGCATCACCGCAAGTCTGTATAGTGCTCGGTGACAGCATCGGCTTCGCTGCATCTCTTTCCCTCAACCACAAATACATTGAGAATCTGTTATGTATTCTCTGAATATCGTAACACAGATACGCAGGGAAACTAACCAGAGATTCAATCGGATAGCCAAGAAGTTCGGTCAATGAATGGATCTTTCTCTCTATGACATCTTTAGACAGGTTAAGTACAATCGGAGCGTGCTTGATGATCTCTGCAACCACATTGCGGTTTAAACCGGCTTTCACAAGGCAATCAAATCTCCTGCAGCTGATCTCCTCTCCCACGAAACTGTTTTCAGAGCATTCACCATCTCGTCCGAGTTCTCAACATATCCTAGACTCAACAAAAACGCCGTCTTCTCTGCGTATTTCCTCGAGTCCTCCGAGAGAAGTTTGTTTTTTTCTCTTCTTCTTCGTTGTAGAAACAAAACTGAACAATCTCATCGGCTCTATCGTTAACATCTGACGCAGCTCTTCTTCTCTAACGTTCAAACTAACACAAGCGGTTGTCGGTGCTTGCAGAGAGCAAGTACCATTGTACCAATAACCTCCATGTGACTCAGCAGAATCTCTCTAATAAACTGCGTTTCCATTCTAATACCAATCAAGAAATCCACCGTCTTACGAATATTGTTAACGCCTTTGCCTGAAAACATCTACGGAAATCGAGGTTGGGTGATGGAAGGCTCTAATGAGAAAAATTCCGCCGATTTAGGTATAGGGCCGGCGTTTCGGGGAGCCCTAAGACGAAGGATCTGCGATCGGCGGCGGAAGTGTTTTGAAAGGGTTTTCTGAGGATCACCATGGAAGGGATGGTGCGGTCAGTGCAGTGTTTAACCGGCGAGAGGTGGCGGAGAAGAAGCGATTTGGCAGAGGAGAGAGAGATGAGAGAAAAAGCCAAGTGTGAGGGCCGAATTGGTTCTCCCGCTACCACCCGCAAACGCAGCGTTTGCGGTTCGTAGCGGTTTTCGGCGGTTTATAACAATCACGACAACCGCTTTGAATCGCTCTATACCACTCTGTACCGCTCTATATCGCTGAAAATCAAAAGCTCCTTTCCGCAAGCGTTTGCGGTTGCGGGCGGTTGCGGGTGGATAATTAAAAAAAAAAAAAAACACAAACTTATATAAAATCCGAAAATAAATAATAATATTTATTAAAAAATAAGATTTGGATAATAAAATCACAATATAAATAAAAAATTAGTACTTTTAGTCAATATTCATTAAAATCATATAATACTTATATATTTATAAGTTCTACAAATCAAAATTCTCTTCATAAATATTCTTTTCATACTAATACATATATATCTAATAAATAAAATTGTAAAATAAATTTAATTTTCACATTAAATATATATTTTGAAAATAAAATCACATTTTTATTTAAATTATAGAAATTAAAAGATAGACGTAAGTATTATACACATATTATTATTTATAAAAAAATATTTTTAATTATGTTGAACCATAAATTTAAAATTTTCATTATAAATATTTTTGATATTTTTATAATTATATAATGTGTTTATATTATTAATTTATTGTTTAACCGCTATTGCATCCGCAAGTGAACCAGTCATAAGTAACCCGCAAACGCATCCATTTTCAATTGTTATGCCAGTCGTACAAACCGCTTAATAACGCTACTAATCACAACCGCCCGCTTCTGCAAACTCCCGCACCCGCAACCGCAACCGCAGCGGTTAAACCAGTCAGGCCCTGAATCGAAAAAAAAAAATAGTCGGCGAAGAAAAAAATCAGATTTAGCAATTAGCATGGATTAATTCCGAAAATAGGGAAAATGCTAAGAAGTTGCCACGTGGCCATCTCTCCCAGACGTGGCGATCAACTGGAGAGAGATGGCCTCTTATTATATACTCCCTCCGTTTCAAATTAGTTGTCGTTTTGGCAAAATGTATCTGCAAATATTTGGACGTATCTGGACGTATTTTGCATTGCAAATACATCAAAATAATTGCAGATACATTTTCCCAAAATGACAACTAATTTGAAATGGAGGAAGTATAAGATTTCATAAGTTTATAAGTTTAGAGATTATAATTAGATTAATGTGGTGAGTCGCTTATGATATTTTTGTTTTTTTTTGTTATAATGTTAAGAATAAATGAGAAATGTTTTTTTTCCATATATGTCTTGATGCAAAATATTAATAATTTTTTAGAATATGTAACGGTCATGTAAGTTTACCAATATACGAAAATGATGCATCCATTTAGGGTCTCACTGGTTTAACGCTGCGGTTGCGGTTGCGGGTGCGGGAGTTTGCGGAAGCGGGCGGTTGTGATTAGTAGCGTTATTAAGCGGTTTGTACGACTGGCATAACAATTGAAAATGGATGCGTTTGCGGGTTACTTATGACTGGTTCACTTGCGGATGCAATAGCGGTTAAACAATAAATTAATAATATAAACACATTATATAATTATAAAAATATCAAAACTATATTATAATGAAAATTTTAAATTTATGGTTCAACATAATTAAAAATAATTTTTTTATAAAGAATAATATGTGTATAATACTTACGTCTATTTTTTAATTTCTATAATTTAAATAAAAAATGTGATTTTATTTTCAAAATATATATTTAATGTGAAAATTAAATTTATATTACAATTTTATTTATTAGATATATATGTATTAGTATGAAAAGAATATTTATCAAGAGAATTTTGATTTGTAGAACTTATAAATATATAAGTATGATATGATTTTAATGAATATTGACTAAAAGTACTAATTTTTTTTTATATTGTGATTTTATTATCCAAATCTTATTTTTTAATAAAGATTATTATTTATTTTCGGATTTTATATAAGTTTGTGTTTTTTTTTTTTTTAATTATCCACCCGCAACCGCCCGCAACCGCAAACGCTGCTGGGAAGGAGCTTTTGATTTTGAGGGTTGTTAGGGATCTGAGCGGTTTAAAGCGGTATAAAGCGTTTGTGGTGATTGTTGTCAAACGCCAATAACCGCTACTACCCGCAAACGCAGCGTTTGCGGGTAACAGCGGGTGAACCAATCAGCACCTTAGACGGTATTGTTTTATGCACAAATATATTATTTAGTTACTGCATTACATTAAATGGTTTTAATTGAGAAGGTATAATATCTCAAGACAACTAATATATATATGTATAAAATCGATATAATAGGAAATATAGATCATTTACTAAAAATGTTATCAGTTTACAATTGTTATAAATACAAGAAATATTGTCACATAAGTAACCACAAGACAAAATACTAACTGTATAAACATGAAAGTGTGAAACAATGAGTGCAAACAAGACAAGAGTGTGCGTATCCATCTTACTAGTGATGCTAATGGTGCTATTAACTTCTCAAAATACGAAAGATAATAGTGATTTTGCGTTTGCTCCAGTGTCGGAGAAAGGAATATTCCCAAATCCAATGTCTTGTATGGCAGATGCAAGAAAAGTTCCAGGTTGTGTAGATGCATTGAAGCAATTCCAACTCAAAATTATCAAAAAAGAATGTTGCATTGTTCTACTCGGTCTACCAGAAAATTGTTTTGGGTTTTTATTTCCAATGAGTTTTACTTATCGCGTAATGCTTAAACTTACATGCAAATTATTAGATTTAAGTAGTTAATCATTTTTTATTTAACATTTGTTATTTCCTTTTTTATGTAATAATTAGAATTCATATTTTCAATATTTAGAACAAAAACCTATTATTCACAGGCTATTATGTTTTAACCATGTAATATTATTTGACAATTGTTTTGGCATTTCCATCTATACATTTGTCAGAAATTATGTTTTGCAAAAAGGAGATTCGTTTATAACAAAACCTAGATTAAAGAACACACAAAGATTAGTACTTATTGAGTGTATATATTAACCAAATAGAGTTGATATACACAAGGGTTAAAGTGCAAGTGAAATAATTTTAAGGTTTAAAGTGTTAGCTTTTATCACTTTGAATGTTAAAAATTTGATTTTCCCTTTTATTATCCTATAAAATTTGGTAATTTTGAGCACTAGTCTAACTTGAAACCAATAAAATGTATTAGTTTGGTCATATTTGTTAGTTAATCGATTATTGATTGATAAAAATTTACTGCCAATAGTCATTTGGTTTGATCTCCCTAAACCAGAAAAGATATTATATTAATATTAATTTGGTTATCTTTGATATTCTATTGGATCCTTCCTTAACAATAATGGGCATGTTTTGGGTCAAACTAACAGAATTTCACTTTTCAAAATGGTTGATATTATTTGCAACAGTAATTTTCCTCTATATTTTTCAATGGTATCAATGTATCATCAAACAATTAACAGAGGGAGAAGAGTGTATGAGGGAGAAGAGTGTATGCTTAAATTAGTTTACAAAATTTAAAAAATCCAAACAAAAAAATTTATAACTATGTATCCAGAATCTTTAAACATAAAATAAGAAGTGGTATTTGATAGGCCCCAAGAACAAAAAAAAGAAAAAAAAAAATCAAGAAGTAGTCCTAAAACATGTACAACCCAAAACATCAACGATCTGCTTCCTGGTTTTGGACACTCTTTTGCCGATGACCAAAAGCTCTCTCTAAATGTTGACATCTTCATAAAACGTAAGAGGAAGCTCTGGCGATACAGGCATCATCGCCACACACTTGAACTGTTTCGGAACAAAGAAAACATGTAAATCTCAAGAATCTTCACGTTTTAACTCAAAGATCATTGCATAAGTAGTTTAGTTAACTTAATTACCTTATGCTGCTTGTACTTCTCTCTTATAGCTTGTAAAGCTGGTCCTTTTCTGCTTAGATACAAGTCATGTATCATACCCACACATTCTTTTAAATCCCCCGCTTTGTACTTTGTATATTCTTCTAACATGATACTCTGACACATTCAACAACACATAGAGTCTTTACTGTCTTATACAAGTTCTTGTGTATAGAATAAGAACGAGAAACGGCGGTTTCTCTTACCCAGGGATGTTGTTTAGGACGGATGATGAACCTAGCGAGAAACACAGTTGAAGCAGCCACAACAGAAGGAAGAAACTTCACACTGTTGTAATCTAACATGCTTAACTCTGAAAGATAGTTACAGAGAAACTCCATCTTCAAATCAGCCATCTGAAAAAAATTGAACAAGAAAAAATGCTTAGTAACGTTATACTTTATATAACATCACAAAAATGGCCATTAATTCAAGAAGTAATTACATTGAAATCTTCTTGTCCAACTTTTGTGAACCGTCTGCAAACAAACAAAACCAGCACAAAAATGAGAATGAAGCATAAAAACCAAAACACAACAACCACAAAAAAGATTCAGATTTTCACAAAACCTTAGAAATGTGATGTTTGTTGGGTTTCCTAACTCAAACTGTAGCGCAAGAAGCATATCAGCTTCCATCTTCACAATCTCCTGTTTCGTGTAAGTATTGTCTGTGATGTAACAAAAGTCTTCAACATTTGGTGGAGTTATCTCTTCATACTTCCTACAAAAGACAATTACATAAGCAAAAAGTAAAAGCCTTCCCCAAAAGAGATCCAAAACGAATGTTTTGTAAGATTTTGCTTACGAGGCTATAAGCATTGCAGAGACTCCAACAAGCTGAAGCTTCTGTCTACTAACAGTCTTAACAGACAAGAATCTGTCAATGTAAGAGACAGCGAGGTAAAGAGTGTCCGAGAGAAGTTTGTACTCTTCAGCTACTTCCACTAACCAATCCACCAAAACTCCTCTCATATTTGGTGTCACATCTTTCTGAATCTTCTCAATATAATCAATCATTGGCCTTGATTTTGCTTTCCCCTGAAACAATTTTACCAAAATCCAATTTTCAACCAATCAGAAACTACTCTATGCTTTGTCTAAATAACATAAGACCTAAATCGACACATGAAACCCAGATCGAATTTCGAATCGACAAAACTAAAGGGATGGTTCTTGTTATAATTTTACCTCCATTTGACGGAGATACTCGAAGATTCCGGTGACATAAGGAGCACACATCTGGGGATCATCAGATCTCGTGTCGATGTCGATGTTCGGTTCCTTCGTCGTCGTTTCGGCTTTTGAAACTACCTTCTTCTTCTGCTGCTTCGTCGGAGCCCTACCGGACTTTCTGGGAATCGCGGAGATGTTGGACAAGTTCGGAAGCTCCCCGAGGACTACTCTCTTCTTGCCGAGACGCTCGTCGTCTATAATCGCTGCCATGGAAGCTTTTCTTTTCGTCGCTGCTCTTGTCATTCTGACGAAGTTTTCCTTATCGTCGGCCATGGTCGGTCGGTGGATTCAAGAGACGGAAAGAGAGAAAGAAAAGAGAGAGGTTGAGATTGAGATGGTGGAGATGGATATGGATTGGAAGAGAAGGGAGAGAAAGGGGAAGAAAAAGGGAAGAAGACAAGCGCCATTTCTGAGTTTTTTTCGAATAAACATTGAATTGGCGCTCTCTCTGTGTTTTCTCTTTCCGAAATTTTTGAGGTTTCGAATTTTGGGTTAAAACGAAAATAAAGCCGAATTATGTTGGCGGGAAATTTTCATTTCTCTCTCATTTTTGCCCTTCGAAATTTTGGCAAGCAACTGGCCCAAGAATGGCCCAAATTCTCTGAGGCCTTAATTGGTAAAACCTGTGGTTGTAGTTTGCTGGATGGATTTTAACCAATGTTTTTAAAACCGGACCGGAAGGTAAATCGGATAAACATCCGGGTCATAGTACAATTTGGTTCGATCTGGTTAAACCCGGTTCATAATAATTTATGTTATATTTATTTTTGAACATATAAATTTTAAAATTAAAATAAAATAGTTAAAAATTGATATATAGGTATCAATATAGAAAAATTAAATTTTGTGAAATAAGTTCTAATCTAACATATACTAAAGATATAAATAATTATAAACAAAAATAATTGATTAATTCATTATATTAATTGTTTTTAAACTAAACCGGAAACCCAACCCGGTCATAAGTCCAGTTCATGGTCGAATCCGGTCCAACCACTGAGTGGGTCCAGTTTTCAAAACATTGATTTTAACCGTAAAAACTGTGTAAACTCGACTGTGATTGTGTCCTCTTTGAATATCTTTAACTTCCAAACGTTTTGAAAAAACACACAAAAACACAATTATATTTTAACACACCAAAAACACAATTTATATTAAATAACCAAATTGTAACAGCAAAAACCTTAGATAAAACATTTTCCAAATTCTAACAAAATTTTCCAACATAGACCTCTTCTTCTATTTATATAAATACTATTTTGATAAACCACATGTTGTTTGAATGCCCACCAGCTCGACAGGCATGGGCACTATCCCCTATCCCAACGCCTCCTCAAAGTTTCCCTACAGGTGCCCTGTTCTCAAACATGGCCCATCTCTTCTGAAGTCTCCCAGATGATGATGACATGTGGATCTATCCATGGTTACTCTGGTTTATTTGGAAAGCGCGAAACTATAAAGTTTTCTCGAATGACGATCATGACCCGCGGGATGTCCTGGAATCTGCGATAACAGAGGCTCGCGCATGGACCTCAGCTCAAACGACTGAGGTCAACATGCCGACACACACGGCGATATGTATCAGGCCACCAATCTTGGGTGAATGGTGCCAAGTCGATGGGGCGTGGAAGGAGACTGAGTGTTGTGCGGGACTTGGTTGGTATAATTTTGATCCGGGTTCAGGCTCGATTTTGGTTGGCTCCAGCAATCTACGGCGGGGTTTTTCCCCTCTGCAGACAGAATTGGAGGCATTGGTGTGGGCTATGCAGTGTATGCAAGTCCACAATAAACGGCAAATGAATTTTCAAAGAGACTGCGCTGAGTTGGTGAAGATGGTGGCAAAACCCACAGACTGGCCGGCGAACGAGATCTTGCTTGAAGAGGTGGAGAAGTGCAAAAGGAGTTTCCAAGCTTTCTCTCTAACTCACATTCCACAAACGAAGAACACAAAGGAAGGCAAGCTAGCACGGAGTGCTCGAGATCAGCCTTATGATGTGTATTATGTAAACTCAGTTCAACCGGTAACGCTTCCCGTACCGAGTTAGAAACCTAGGCTGTCGACAAAAAAAAAAAACTATTTTGATAATCAATTCGTTTGGAATAACCAAAACAAATTTAACAATATTTTCACCAAAAATATCCAAATCGAACTAACTGAAAACCGGAAGTATTTGAACCAAACTAAACGGAAGTAAGTATAGATTTAGTTTGGCATTAACCGAAAATCTAACCTATGTCCGGATTGAACACTCTATTGTAACCCAAAAACTTTTTTTTTAATTTAATGAACAAGAAAAAAAGTTTTTGTTTTCTTTCGTCTTTTTGAGAGATAGAGAGACTCCGGTTTCCTGTGAAAAAGCACCGAACTGTGAATGTTAGCCGTGAGGCTCGTGATTCGTGATAAGTGTAGCCTTAGATCAATGTATTTTTTTTTTTTGGTCTTAACCAAGGCATAGTCACTCTAGATTGAACACTTGATCATACTTGAGAACTAAAAAAAACTCACTTGATCATAATTTTTTAATAACTCTGTGGCGTTAATTATCACGCCAAATGCAACTTCAGAGGCTTTGAACATCATATATTACAAGGAATATTGCTGCATGCGTAAATGTCGTTCTAGTTTTGCACAAACCTTCGATACATGCTGCATTGTACAACCATTGCAATCACTAATATTTATATTTGATATTTGATAATAAGAAAAGGACAATAAATTTATTTTTTCAAGGAAGCAAGATAGCACCTTTAAAAAAAATTATTTTATGCAATCTAATTACAAGATAAAGTCCAAAAAACACAGAAAATGATAGTAATCAAACCATTTACAACCGAGAAAAAAAAAAGAATGCAACGTTTTTCTCAATGAAAAATGGGTGATTGAAAAGCAAAAAAGTGGGAAGAAATTAACAAGAAAGTATAACCAACGTATCGGTGAACATTAAGCTAGAGAAGGTGAAGCCACACGGGATTCATCTCACCTAAACCTCTCCGATCCCAAAATGACAAGAAAATGCACACGTCACTCTTCTTTACAAAGGCTATATAAACACTAGATTAGCAACAATGTTACATACAACACAAACACAAACAAAAACATCAATAGATTAACCATGAAGCTTCTAGGGCTCACCTTGGTTTTTCTATTAGCTGTGGCGAACTGCAAAGGTGAGATTATCTGCGAAGAGACTAATCCGCCATTCAAGTGTAACCAAACTGCTCGTTTGAACAGTGGAAATTTCGCTGATGACTTCATCTTCGGTGTTGCATCTTCTGCTTATCAGGCATGTAAACAGATCACACACTGTGTCGCCACTTAAATTTCCCAATGTTTGACGCATAAAACCATTCAAAAACACAAAAATCCAACGTTGCATGGTTGTCTCTTTTCGTTTCAGATCGAAGGAGGTAGAGGTCGCGGTCTTAACGTTTGGGATGGCTTCACTCACCGATTCCCAGGTTTGTCGTTCGCATGCATGCATGGTTGCTAACTTGGAAGGCTATATAGGCTTATATATATAAGAGGAGTGTCGGTTGTATGTCTCTATATATATCAATGACTACATATTAATGTTCTTTGTATGCTATCAGAGAAAGGAGGAGCCGATTTGGGGAATGGAGACACTACCTGTGACGCGTATCGGACTTGGCAGAAAGATGTAGATGTGATGGCCGAACTCGGAGTTAAAGGCTACAGATTCTCATTTGCGTGGTCAAGAATCCTTCCAAGTATGTAAACATTCTTAAGATCCATATGTATATCCGAGTGTGAATTGTTTGAAAGAATAAAATAAACGAACAACATATATATATATGAGCAGGAGGAAAGAGGAGTAGGGGAGTGAACGAAGATGGTATTAAATACTACAGCGATCTCATAGATGCACTCCTCGAGAAGGGCATAACGCCTTTCGTTACCATCTACCACTGGGACCTTCCTCAGTGTCTGCAAGATGAGTATGAAGGGTTCTTAAGCCGACAGATCATGTAAGTTGTTGCTTGCATATCAAGAAATCATAAGATGAGAACATATACATATATATATATAAAGATTTTGTTCTTGGATTCTATAATAATATAATATATATATGCACGCACAGAGAGGATTTCAAGGAGTACGCGGATCTATGTTTCGAGAGATTTGGTGATAGGGTAAAGAACTGGATCACGATCAACCAGCTCTTCACGGTGCCTACGAGAGGGTATGCATTGGGAACAGATGCACCAGGTCGATGTTCTAAATGGGTTAGTGAAACATGTCCCGGCGGAGATTCCGCAACAGAGCCCTACCTCGTTGCACATCACCAGCTTCTTGCTCATGCCGCCGCCGTCGATGTGTACAGGAGAAACTACAAGGTAATAATTAAGTTAATTGTAATCTAACATATATGCATGCATTGTGTGACTCTAATTAATTTAACCAATATATATCATTGTGTGGCCACATGCAGTACCAAGGAGGGAAGATTGGACCAGTGATGATAACTAGATGGTTTCTACCATATGATGACACTCAAGCGAGCAAAGATGCAGTTTGGAGAAGCAAAGAATTCTTCTTCGGATGGTATATATATTTTTTATCCAGAATAATGAAACATATATATATATATTTTTTTTAACATTACTATTACTATGTGTAACGAGAAATATGTATTATGTACATAATATATCAGGTACATGGAGCCACTAACAAAAGGTAGATACCCAGACATCATGAGGCAATATGTGGGTAGTCGACTTCCCAACTTCACGGAAGCAGAAGCCAGACTCGTAAAGGGTTCATATGATTTTCTTGGTCTCAACTATTACGTCACTCAATACGCCCAAAAAGCTGACCAAGCTCCTCCGGAAAGACTTACTGCCATGACGGACTCACGTGCAAAGCTCACAAGTACGGACAACTCTATATCCTCTTAGTTCTTCTGCGTTTGATCCTTTTGTGACCATCAATTAAATTTGATCCTCTCTTTTGTGTTTATAGGTACTAATATAAGTAAAATTCCCCCTGGTCCACCGGTATGCATAGTTTTTTATTTAATTCATTTTTGTTTTTGTTTTTGAATTGAATTGAATGTAAGCAACATATATAACACGGATAATTCTTTCGGTTCCCTTTCTCAGTTCGGTGCAGGAGGAGGCTATTACTATCCAAGAGGCATGTTAGAAGTAATGAAGTACTTCAAAGAAAGATACGGTGACCCTTTAATCTATGTCACCGAGAACGGTGAGTTCTACTTACTACTCATCTCTTTCATCTAGGTCTAGCTATACATGTTAAGTACGTAATTTTTCCAAGAAACCATGATGACTCAAATATTTTTGAATTGTTCATGTTATGATGGTTTTATTAGGAGTTAGTTCCACCGGAGGTGACACACCCTTTAACGAGAGTATGGCCGATTACCCCAGGATTGATTATCTTTGCAGTCATCTATGTTTTCTCCGCAAGGCCATCGAGTGAGTGGATGCTTCATACTCGTCTTTTCTTTTCTTTTTTGTATATAAAATATCATCAGTCTCATGCCTTTTTTTAATTTAATAAGTGATTGTTGCTCCTGTTTTTTGTTTTAGCGAGTTTAAAGTGAGGGTGAAAGGATACTTTGCATGGTCTCTTGGGGATAATTATGAATTCTGCAATGGCTTTACCGTCAGATTCGGACTCAGTTACGTTGATTTCAAAAATGTTACTGGTGACAGAGACCTCAAACAATCTGGCCTATGGTACCAGAGGTTCCTAAAGGCTGGCAAGAACCCTGTGAAGCAAGATCTCCTCCGCTCAAGCCTCTACTTCGAGAAGAATCAGAAGCTCGCAGATGCATGAGATTTAGACCCAAAACCACATCAAGATCATCTTGATGTCTCCTCTTTCTACTTGCTCCATAATAAAAAAAATATTAAATAAAGGAGCTTCTTCTTATACCTACTGTATTAAATATAATTTCCAATAAATACAAGATGATCATTATGAATAAATGCTTTTGTTTACTATTATACTTTTATGTCATAGACAATTAAACCAAATAAATGAAATCCTTAAACTAAAACCAGAGTGCATGTTTGGATATGAAACCGTCAAAACTCATTCTCAATGTTAGGATATCTTGTCGATTTGAGAATATGAAGAAGCTGATTTTTCAATCTTTAACAAACACTTAAACATATAGGTACGATTTACGAATCCGTACGATAGGTAGTAGCTTTTAGCAGAACAAAAAAAAACTAGAAAATATTACTGCCAGAAAATACCTAAGGTATAAGTTATACATGTTACTGCCAGAAAATATTACTGTTAGAAAGATAAGGCATAAACATTTTTTAGTGTCTCTCTATTTCTCTAATATGAAAAATAGGAGAATTTCCCCAGTTAGAATAACTAACTAATGGACAAATTTTTTCTTTAAATTTTACTTCTGCTTTTTTTATTTTCCTTGTCAACTTCACTGTTTCTTCTTCTTATTTTCTTCTTTCAATTCATTCTACATTTTGAAAGCCTTTTAACGATAGAGAATACTTTCACCTCTCCTCCGTTTTGCTCTCTCTTCTCTCTAGATTTAGATCTAGGCTTTTGCTGTCGTAGCTGAGTTTTCTTTTTGCTTAGCTTGTATTCTTCTACCTTCTTAGCTTTATCCTCCTTCTCTTCTCTGTTCAACTTTGAAGAATTTCGTTTTGATTGGAGTTTCAGATCTGTAGATCTAGATCTGTCGATCTGATTTCCTTCCAGATGGCATCCATCCTGCTATGGCTAGGCTTGTTCTCTCCGTATAACGTCCATTTGTTGTTTGCTCATCGTCTCAGAGTGGTTGAATCAACCTAACCCTCATCTGGATCCAGTGTCTGCTTCTTTGGTCTAGATCTCAGTTATAGCTACAATGACAGTGACGTGGTGGCATGTAGTGAGCGGAACGAGGGGCATCCCCTTTGAGAAGTGACTGGTTTCTCTGTTCTTCTCAGTGTGTGGTTCTGGCTCTATCATCGATGACAGAGGTTTTAGGTAAGTTTGTGTGGTTCTTCTGAAGGTCGATTCCACCATGTCTTTTACTTCGGCTGTGCTAAAGGCTTTTGAGGCGTTTTGCTTTTATCGTTTGAAGGTTTAGTTTGGGTTTTAAGAGGTTTAATTTATAGTCTTTGAATGTTTATTTCCCTATGTTGGACTTATCTCCTTCTTTGGGCTCTCTTTCCGGAGATGTATCTGTTTTCTTTCGGCCTTGTTTTTGTTAATTTTCTGAGATATGTTTATCTTCTGTAGTGTCTTGAGTATTTCACCTATTTTATAATTTGGCTGGTGTATAACACCATTTAGGAAAAGTTTATATAAGTTCAGGTGAAAAAAAAGACCTTTTAACAAAAAAAAAAAAAAAAAAAAAAATCTACATTTTTACATATTCTACATATTTACCGGTCCGGCCGATAGGGTCAGCTGGTAGAGTACTTTAGAGCAATAATATACATGCATGCAAGATAGTATCCCTCACGAAATGGGCATATTATAGAAAAATGTTTATTAAACTAATTAGTGTCGCTTTTCTCTTAATAATTCTCATACATATAACACTAAAACAAGTTTTTTTGCTCTCATGCCATCACTAGATTTTTCTTTTTTTAATCTATACAATTTCCTTCATAAATAACATTAACTTAAAACTAACATAAAACCTTCAAAAGTAAACCCTAAACCTTCAAGACTAAACTCTAAACCATAAATACTAAATGCTAAACCTTAAATACTAAACTCAAACCCAAATATTTAAATTATAAACCATTTTTAAAGTTTATGGTATGAATGGGAAAAAAAAACTAGTGATGGTATATATGAGAACAAAAAACCTCTTTTATGGTATTTGAAGGAAATTCTATTTTAGAAATCGGATAATATATAATGCATCTCTATCAAATCATTTTGAAAATTAAACAAAATGGAACAATTAGATGCAATGGATTATGGATTATGGATGAACGAAGCAACTTTTTCTGCTACGCGTAATCCTTGAGTGAATCATTCAACGAAAACTTTACAGTTACAACAATCCAACAAAAAAAAAGAAAGAAAAAATCAAGAAGGAGATCAAAATTGAAGAAGTGGTAATTATTGATTAGTGACCACGTCCTCTTCTGCTCGGCCCAGATGCTAACCGGAAACCATAGCTCCTCATCAAAGCACCTTGACTGCTCGAGGCTTTCTTCACCTTCATGGCCACCGTCGATTGATCTTGGCCATTGATATCTCTCAACAGCTTCGATCGTAGGGCTCTGCAATCAACTCTCCCCAACATCAACGACGAGCCTACCAATAAGAAGATCACACACATCACAAACACATTAATCTTTTTCTCCATTTTTTGTAACTTTTTCACTTCTATCTCTACTCTAGCTTCGTCCTCTAAATTCTCGTTTTCTTTCTCTTTTAAGAGATCGGCTTTGTGTGTATCCATATATGTGGGACGTAAAACTCACACTTAGAAATTTGATAGTAGTTTAGGGATGAGGAAGAAGTGGGTAAGATTCTCACAAGCACTCAAGAACTTAAACTCAAGAATAAGCAAATATGGACTTTATATTGATCAAACAAGGATTAAGGTTACAAGGTATTTCTGGGAAATACAAGAGCTCGAGGAGCGTACAATGATAGATTTAGGTTAACAAGTGTTCAATGAGTAAAAGATGCCCTTCCTTTCGACGATCCTCTTCTTTTATAGCCGGCTCTCGTTCTACCTTCCTCCGCGATCCTGCACGTGCTCCGGATTTAGTGTGACCTCGTTAAGATCGTTTGACTGAGTCACGACTTCGAGCTGATGCTCGAACTAGGTTTATCGGCGGACGGACATAGATCTGTGGGCTCAAGACTAGGTGGGTCGATCCAAAAAAGGTTGTGTTAAATGGGCCTGATCCAGACCAAATTTAGGTGATAAATTAGGGCCCAACAATATATATATATATATATATATATATATGTTTGTGTGTACTTGTGTGTGCGTATGTAAGCAAAGGGCATTAATTCTTGACCAAGAATGTTGGACTATCTCATTTTTGTTATCGCGTTTTTACATATATTTAATTGAATTATTCAGGTTCAAGCTTTTACTATTTAAATAAACCAGAGAGACAATTGATGTGTATTCATATTACAAGTAAATCTTGGATTAGTTTTTCCAAACTACCTGCTTCTCCACAAGAGATGTTGTTGTTGAACTCTATGACTTTCATAAAAAAAGGTTGAAAAATACATGCATATTCTTATAATAATAGATAAAAAGTAGGAATTGAAAAATACTACTCCTTGTCTCATATTATAAGCAGTTTTGGCATAATGTATTTATAATTTTTTTGATGTATCTGGATGTGTTTTCCATCCAGATACATCCAGAAATTTGCAGATACATTATGGAACAGTTTATAACATGGGACAAAGGGAGTAAGTCGGTAGACGTGGCAAAGGAAAAAAAGGGGGAATTTTATTGGTTAGTAGGAGACGAATGGGTATCTTATTGAAGAAACAACAATCTTTCTTTGGTGTGAGGCTGTCAAATTTTGACTTTTATTTTTCTTCGTACTCGGTTCGAGTTAACACGGTGTGAAGTCATCAGAGATCAAATATGGGCAAAAAAAGAAAAAGTAGAACGGTGAAACGGTTTTTGGTTGCTGACGAGTAATGACGCGAAAAGTGAAAACGTTAATTGTTATGCGCTAATTTAAGAGAAAATTGGCGTTAGTCAGATGTTTGAATTGAGCAATCTTTGTTTATAAAAACTAATACTTCAGCACAAATTCAGAAATTAGCTCCTTCAAATATATACATATAAAAAAAGGAAAACGGTAGGATAATCATAAGGTTAGTTTCAACGTCTTACAAAATCTATGAAGCTCCATGATTCTCAATATCTCAATATATACAGACAGTAATAATTGGATCATGGACACACCTTTTGACACCACAAGCTCCATGATTCTCAATACCGTAAGAATTGAAGTTCGGAAAAAAGAATTTAGGCACTTTAGCCACTCTGATGTATGGTTCGATGCGTCTCCATCATACTACTCATGAAAAATGCTCAGATCAATTAGTCCATACTCCTCAAATATACCTAGTTAATAAGGTAAAATTAAAACAACCTAGATCGTTAACAGGCTGGTGAGTCATATGCGGTAAGACTTCATGTACTTGGTTCAGCCTGGTTTAATTATTATGACAAATGACATAAAAGTATACTAGTAAACAAAAGCATTAATTCATAATGATCATCTTGTATTTATTGGAAATTATATTTAATACAGTAGGTATAAGAAGAAGCTCCTTTATTTAATATTTTTTTTATTATGGAGCAAGTAGAAAGAGGAGACATCAAGATGATCTTGATGTGGTTTTGGGTCTAAATCTCATGCATCTGCGAGCTTCTGATTCTTCTCGAAGTAGAGGCTTGAGCGGAGGAGATCTTGCTTCACAGGGTTCTTGCCAGCCTTTAGGAACCTCTGGTACCATAGGCCAGATTGTTTGAGGTCTCTGTCACCAGTAACATTTTTGAAATCAACGTAACTGAGTCCGAATCTGACGGTAAAGCCATTGCAGAATTCATAATTATCCCCAAGAGACCATGCAAAGTATCCTTTCACCCTCACTTTAAACTCGCTAAAACAAAAAACAGGAGCAACAATCACTTATTAAATTAAAAAAAGGCATGAGACTGATGATATTTTATATACAAAAAAGAAAAGAAAAGACGAGTATGAAGCATCCACTCACTCGATGGCCTTGCGGAGAAAACATAGATGACTGCAAAGATAATCAATCCTGGGGTAATCGGCCATACTCTCGTTAAAGGGTGTGTCACCTCCGGTGGAACTAACTCCTAATAAAACCATCATAACATGAACAATTCAAAAATATTTGAGTCATCATGGTTTCTTGGAAAAATTACGTACTTAACATGTATAGCTAGACCTAGATGAAAGAGATGAGTAGTAAGTAGAACTCACCGTTCTCGGTGACATAGATTAAAGGGTCACCGTATCTTTCTTTGAAGTACTTCATTACTTCTAACATGCCTCTTGGATAGTAATAGCCTCCTCCTGCACCGAACTGAGAAAGGGAACCGAAAGAATTATCCGTGTTATATATGTTGCTTACATTCAATTCAATTCAAAAACAAAAACAAAAATGAATTAAATAAAAAACTATGCATACCGGTGGACCAGGGGGAATTTTACTTATATTAGTACCTATAAACACAAAAGAGAGGATCAAATTTAATTGATGGTCACAAAAGGATCAAACGCAGAAGAACTAAGAGGATATAGAGTTGTCCGTACTTGTGAGCTTTGCACGTGAGTCCGTCATGGCAGTAAGTCTTTCCGGAGGAGCTTGGTCAGCTTTTTGGGCGTATTGAGTGACGTAATAGTTGAGACCAAGAAAATCATATGAACCCTTTACGAGTCTGGCTTCTGCTTCCGTGAAGTTGGGAAGTCGACTACCCACATATTGCCTCATGATGTCTGGGTATCTACCTTTTGTTAGTGGCTCCATGTACCTGATATATTATGTACATAATACATATTTCTCGTTACACATAGTAATAGTAATGTTAAAAAAAATATATATATATATGTTTCATTATTCTGGATAAAAAATATATATACCATCCGAAGAAGAATTCTTTGCTTCTCCAAACTGCATCTTTGCTCGCTTGAGTGTCATCATATGGTAGAAACCATCTAGTTATCATCACTGGTCCAATCTTCCCTCCTTGGTACTGCATGTGGCCACACAATGATATATATTGGTTAAATTAATTAGAGTCACACAATGCATGCATATATGTTAGATTACAATTAACTTAATTATTACCTTGTAGTTTCTCCTGTACACATCGACGGCGGCGGCATGAGCAAGAAGCTGGTGATGTGCAACGAGGTAGGGCTCTGTTGCGGAATCTCCGCCGGGACATGTTTCACTAACCCATTTAGAACATCGACCTGGTGCATCTGTTCCCAATGCATACCCTCTCGTAGGCACCGTGAAGAGCTGGTTGATCGTGATCCAGTTCTTTACCCTATCACCAAATCTCTCGAAACATAGATCCGCGTACTCCTTGAAATCCTCTCTGTGCGTGCATATATATATTATATTATTATAGAATCCAAGAACAAAATCTTTATATATATATATGTATATGTTCTCATCTTATGATTTCTTGATATGCAAGCAACAACTTACATGATCTCTCGGCTTAAGAACCCTTCATACTCATCTTGCAGACACTGAGGAAGGTCCCAGTGGTAGATGGTAACGAAAGGCGTTATGCCCTTCTCGAGGAGTGCATCTATGAGATCGCTGTAGTATTTAATACCATCTTCGTTCACTCCCCTACTCCTCTTTCCTCCTGCTCATATATATATATGTTGTTCGTTTATTTATTCTTTCAAACAATTCACACTCGGATATACATATGGATCTTAAGAATGTTTACATACTTGGAAGGATTCTTGACCACGCAAATGAGAATCTGTAGCCTTTAACTCCGAGTTCGGCCATCACATCTACATCTTTCTGCCAAGTCCGATACGCGTCACAGGTAGTGTCTCCATTCCCCAAATCGGCTCCTCCTTTCTCTGATAGCATACAAAGAACATTAATATGTAGTCATTGATATATATAGAGACATACAACCGACACTCCTCTTATATATATAAGCCTATATAGCCTTCCAAGTTAGCAACCATGCATGCATGCGAACGACAAACCTGGGAATCGGTGAGTGAAGCCATCCCAAACGTTAAGACCGCGACCTCTACCTCCTTCGATCTGAAACGAAAAGAGACAACCATGCAACGTTGGATTTTTGTGTTTTTGAATGGTTTTATGCGTCAAACATTGGGAAATTTAAGTGGCGACACAGTGTGTGATCTGTTTACATGCCTGATAAGCAGAAGATGCAACACCGAAGATGAAGTCATCAGCGAAATTTCCACTGTTCAAACGAGCAGTTTGGTTACACTTGAATGGCGGATTAGTCTCTTCGCAGATAATCTCACCTTTGCAGTTCGCCACAGCTAATAGAAAAACCAAGGTGAGCCCTAGAAGCTTCATGGTTAATCTATTGATGTTTTTGTTTGTGTTTGTGTTGTATGTAACATTGTTGCTAATCTAGTGTTTATATAGCCTTTGTAAAGAAGAGTGACGTGTGCATTTTCTTGTCATTTTGGGATCGGAGAGGTTTAGGTGAGATGAATCCCGTGTGGCTTCACCTTCTCTAGCTTAATGTTCACCGATACGTTGGTTATACTTTCTTGTTAATTTCTTCCCACTTTTTTGCTTTTCAATCACCCATTTTTCATTGAGAAAAACGTTGCATTCTTTTTTTTTTCTCGGTTGTAAATGGTTTGATTACTATCATTTTATGTGTTTTTTGGACTTTATCTTGTAATTAGATTGCATAAAATAATTTTTTTTAAAGGTGCTATCTTGCTTCCTTGAAAAAATAAATTTATTGTCCTTTTCTTATTATCAAATATCAAAAAACTTTCAATTTATATATAGTGCGATTGCACATGTGTTACAATTCTCCGGTATTGTGCAATGGTTATACAATGCAAAACTAGAACGACATTTACGCATGCACAATATTCCTTGTAGAAGATGATGTTCAAAGCCTCTTAAAAAGTATAATCAAGTCTTCAATCTAGAGTGACAATGCCTTGGTTATGAAAAAAAATTACAAGAATTAGATTGATCAAGGCTACACTCATCACGAGCCTCACTGCTCACATCCACCGCATATCTTATTGTTTTTCCCCGCTCGGTGCTTTTTCACAGGAAACCAGAGAATCCCTCTCTCTCTTTCTCTCAAAAAGACAAATAAAACAAAAACTTTTTTTTTCATTTAATCAAAAACGTTATTGGGCCGGAGCAGGATTGCCTTTGTTTTCGTGAATTCCTTCTAATTGGAACTCAAACTGGATACCTTTGGATACTCTGCTCGATGTATAGCCAACTAATATGTCGATTGAGCTAACATCTGGTTTAAACACAAGCTTTTATAGTAACATATCTAGAGACAATACGTATTTGAACCACACAATTAAATTGAGTTATTGATTGGTTACACTAAAAGAGAGTAGTATATATCCATTGTGTAACCAATCAAAGAGATGTTAGTACAAAAATGATAGCATTACAAGAAAAACAAAGTGATGGTAAAGACTATTGTAATAAAGAATATTGAAGAGCCTTTTTACTTCAACCAAAACCAATTTACGTGCAAACCCTGCAACTTATTTGTTTTTCTCCTTCTAGTTCTAGTTAGCTATTTTCTCCCTTTTTATAGTTCTCTCGTGCTAAAAAATTCTAATTTGTCATCAGTTTTATGTCATTCTTGTATTTCAATAACTTAGCTTATTCATTCCACCACAACATTAGTATTTAATTTCTATCAATGGTAACAATCTAGATTATGATATATTATTTAATTTTCTTAATTTTAACTTTGTTCAAGACTTCAAGTTCTAATCAATGAATTTTCACAACTCCACTTAATCCTTGTGAGTTAACGGTTTAATTAATGAGAAAAAAAATGGTTGCACAAAAAAAGGTATATGCAGTTATAATTCTCCACAGTCCACACTATGGCAACTTGAAAGCAACTCGTTGCACATGGTATGTGATCTATAACTCAATTTGTTGATGGGCGTATCTGCAAGTCGTTGGATCATATGAATAAACAATAAAGATGGCTTAGATGGGAATGAACGTGCCCAACAGTTTCAACACAAAAGAAAATACCATGCTATTGCTACCACTTGTAAGCTCCCAATTTTACATCTCTCTCTGGATCCAACATTAATAATGTATATTTAATATATTGAAATTTCAGAGAAATGTGAGGATTGAAATATTATCAGGTTAGAAATTGGTATGATTAGATACAATATGATTATAAATTACTCTTTTTGTTTGTTTGTTATTATCGTATGGATCCTGCGGTGGAAAGGGGGATGTACGTGATTTTCTTGTCAATTATATAAATATTTATTTACTTTTTGTCTCTATTGATTTTACATGTGAATTTTGTTACTCGAATGATGAAAACTTATTAGAAGACTAAATAATGTATATTTTGTTCTACCTTTTTCTTTAACAATTTGGGAATATGCATAATGCATTTACGCAAACACGTTGTTGGATATTGACGTCACACGAACATGCTCTACTCTGTTTGTATCTTCAAGATTAAAACTTCTGAAACGGTGATGAAAACGATTTTCCGCGAATGAATCTACGCATTACTCAAATGTCAAGTGCCTAAAAGAACTATTTGAAACATTGGAAAATGATTTGATTTCTAACAAAATTGATTGATCATTTGATACAAAGTGGTTTTCAGTATATGTATAAATTATCTAAGTTTAACGAAAATATAGAAGGAACATATATTTGAATTCTGCAATTACTTTTTTGTTTAGTTTACATCGAGTTGCGGAAGTCTTTATTCTTTGTGTATAGTATTAATTTATATGTTTTTTTTAAGGTTTCTTGTTCGAGAGAGAAAGGGAAAAACAAATTTTGGACATAAGAAAGAGATAGTGCAAGAGACAAAGGTAATGGAACGAAATGACAAGCTACAAACGTGGAACACGAACACCAGCTTGAGAATGTAGTTGATCGTGAACGATAACATTTAGGATATTTCATATGGAAGAAAGAGATAATGCGAACGATAGAGAGTTATGATTAGAGAGCTAAGGTGCATAAATGACAATGGTTAATACATGGTCATGGTGTGACTTGATGATTCATATGATAGATTGATAGGTATATCCGTATATGGTTGGATGCAATATTGATGCGTAGAAGTTAGAACTAATGCATGACTCGGACTGAGTTAAGATCAGTATATATCAATTTCAAAGAAGATCAAATCGAAATTTGGTGAGTAATTAAGAAACTGAATCGGAAATATAGGGTGACACGTTAGGCTAATTGAATGGATTATTGCATGATCGCTTGTATTGGAAGAAAACATAAATAATGAACTTTGATCAAAGATGACTTTGCTCTATATATAAACATTCATTTCAAAGAAAAGAAAAATACTGTATAAGTTTTTTTGGATAAATGAATTTGGAAGAATAAAAACAAAGAAAAATCCTCAACTTTTGTTTTAAAAAGAAAATCATTTTAAATAGTACGAAAATTTAAAAATTCATTCTCGTTTATTTTGAGATGGGTCGCACCAATTGAAGCCTTATTATTTCGTTCATTAAATATATATTTCGATTTTTAAAAGTTATCATGATTTCTAAGCAATAAAAGTCTCACTATATGTCTTCTCCACGCAAAAAGAAAGTTTCATTTTCATCGTTTTTAATTCTTTTTTTATAATGCACATTCCAGTTCTCCTTCGAATGTATATACATAAAGTCCAAGTGGCCCCATAAGAATCTTTTTCCAACGTTACAAGCGATGACGCGAACTGATCAAAACAATTATATTAATCACTTTTTTTCTTTCTTAATCACCTTTTTCGACAGCAGCGTAACTTGAATCAATTTTCAATCTCTGTCTTCTAATTTATTTTTATATGGTCTAGATACTGATTAAACATGGAAGAGTCCTTGAAAAAACTGATATTCTAAAAGTAGCTGTGATGGAATCTCAACAATGGATCTTGTTCCAGTCCTAGGCGATGCAACAGTCATGCCAAAAGACTCACATACGGTCCTGCATCAACGAGACTTCTAAGGAGCAAACGCATCTCCTCTTAAAAAAGTTTTGGACCATGCATAAACCCACTAGAGTTTACATAAAATAGTCTTGAATTAGTCAGTGGTTTGAAGCCAACGTTTCCTTTGATAGCAAAATAATGACTGAATTCAAAACAAACCGTCAGTCCAACTTTTGTTTTCTTTTGGTTTTAAGTTTTAACCGTCAGTCCAACTTATCTTGGACGTAGTTGTATTATGTAACTCGGAATGTCATACAAATGTCACGCTAACAATTTTAAAACTAGGAAAAAAGCAAATTGCCTCTACAATATTGTTCTTCTTCTTAATTTATATTTGGTATAGTGTAGTAGTTTACCATTGTTATTAATGATTTTGTTTATGTATATGCTCTATGATTATTTATTTTTCTTTTATAAAAAAAAATGATTATTCATTTCTCCGCAGTGTAAAATTCTCGTTCCAATGCGGCATTAGCTATACATCAAGTCGCCTCTATATATAATGTTCTTGTAGCCCGAAGATTTTTTTTTTTAAAATAAGCAATTCTTGCTGTTCTCTTATCCGTGTGGGTTGTTTATTGAAGAAATGCCAAAATAAGTAAGCCAATTGACAATAAGTCAGTCCATCTGTCATTTATCCATTCGTAGTTTTATTAAAGAAAGAAATCACTTTTAACATCTGTAATTTCATTGTTATCTTCTACAACATATTTAAGTACATTGTATAATTAAGTTGTTATCTTCTACGGCATGTGTAGGTCCACTGTATAGTTGTGTTGGTAAATTAAAATTTTATCTTCTAAAAACATTTTTTACTATACAAATTAGTTAGTTTTTTTTATAAGAAATGGCAATAATACAGACCACAATGTGAAACGAAACTTTTCGGTATCAAATTCAAATGTATCTTAATAAAATCCAGCAGTATCTTCTTGTTGGGAAATAAAAAGATAATCTTGTTTTACAAATCCTATTTACAAATCTTTTCACGTGTCTCCTATTTGCCTGGAATAAAATATTACAGTTTATCTCTCCACCAATTACAACCTCATCCACTTGGCAACTTCCGAGCTGTCTCTTCCCATAATTTGTCTTAACCAATAATAATCGACTCTATCAAACAAATTTTACATTTTCATTTTCACCCTAACACTTCTTACTTATCTCTTTAACCACCTCATTTCTTTTAATTGACTCCACTAGCCCCATTTTAAAACAGAAATCATTGTTTTTACAAAACTTCGAAAAGTGGACAAAAGTAATTAATATTTAATTACGACGCATTACTGCTTTTTTCTCCTTTATATACACACGCTCTCATCAATCTCTTCGTCAATCATCTTCTTCTTCTTCTTTCTCTGATAAATAAATTAAAAAATGGGGTTTGCAAAGGTAACCATCCTTCTCCTAGCGATGATCGGCGTTTCGTGCGCCGTCGACATGTCGATCATCTCGTACGACGAGAAACACCACATCTCCGCCGTCGACGGCCGTAGCGACGCCGAGGTTGCGAAAATCTACGACGAGTGGTTGGTGAAACACGGAAAGAAGACGCAGAACGGTCTTCTCGGCGAGGCTGATCAGAGATTCGAGATCTTCAAAGATAATCTCCGTTTCGTCGACGAACACAATACCAAAAACCTCAGTTACAAACTCGGTTTAACCCGGTTCGCTGATTTAACCAACGACGAGTACCGATCCATGTACCTCGGTGCTAAACCGAGCAAGAGAGTCCTCAAGACCAGCGATCGTTATCTGCCGCGTATTGGTGACGCGCTCCCTGATTCCGTTGACTGGAGAAAAGAAGGTGCCGTCGCCGACGTTAAAGATCAGGGAAGCTGCGGTAAGCTTTTTCCGATTCTCCGATCATTTTAAAATCTAAAAATCAAATATTTTCGAATCTGAAATTATTATTTTTCTTTAACTTTTTGACGAATGGATCAGTTTTCTTATCGATATGGGTTTCTATGAAACTCATCGAAAAGCTAAAAGAATATTTCAAACATACTGAAGCTGAAAAGACATATTTACCCCTAAAAGTTGTTCTTCTGGGGAATGATGAGGTTTTGGTTCTTGAGTCGTGACTTTTAGGTGTAACGCTTGGTTAATCTATGGAAATGAAATAATTGTGGTCAGATTTAAGAAAATCATACTCTTTAATGATGTTTTGTGTTTATTGTACACAACAAAAGTAAAATGCTGCTGATTTCCTGATTTTACTTTGGTGGGTCCTTCTGGTCTTTTAAACGTTAAAGTGATGATAGTGGTGAGACAATTAAGCTTTATGGACCCATTAAAGTGAGTGGTGGGGCTTTGATTATTTGGTTTTATTGATTAAGAAACTAATATCCTTCTTGATTGATTTTAGGGAGTTGTTGGGCGTTTTCAACTATTGGAGCCGTGGAAGGAATAAACAAGATTGTGACAGGAGACTTAATCTCTCTGTCTGAACAAGAACTAGTCGATTGTGACACATCTTATAACCAAGGTTGTAATGGAGGTTTGATGGACTATGCGTTTGACTTTATCATCAAAAATGGTGGTATTGATACCGAATTGGATTATCCATACAAAGCTGCTGATGGTCGTTGTGATCAGAACAGGGTTAGTTTCATCCATTTTGGTTTAGTGTTTTTTTTTTTTTGGTTATGAAATTTTAAAACATTGGCTTTGATACTGAATTGAAATTGATATTTCCTCTGTTTTTTTCGTTGCAGAAAAACGCAAAGGTTGTCACCATTGATTCATACGAGGATGTGCCTGAGAACAACGAGGCTGCGCTTAAGAAAGCTTTAGCTCATCAGCCCATTAGTGTCGCCATTGAAGCTGGTGGTCGCGCTTTCCAGCTCTATTCTTCGGTATGAATCAGACCAAACCTGTTTAATATAGTTTAGGTTCTAACTAGCTAACATTTCATGATGCTTTCCCATTTTTGTCCTTCAGGGTGTATTTGATGGACTCTGTGGGACAGACCTAGACCACGGAGTCGTAGCAGTCGGTTACGGAACGGAGAACGGTAAAGACTACTGGATCGTGAGGAACTCATGGGGATCAAGCTGGGGAGAGAGCGGATACATAAAGATGGAACGTAACATCGCAGAGCCAACAGGGAAGTGTGGTATCGCGGTCGAGGCCTCGTACCCGGTCAAGAAAGGCCAGAACCCGCCAAACCCTGGCCCGTCGCCTCCATCTCCCATCAAGCCACCGACTCAGTGTGACAAATACTACTCCTGCCCTGAGAGCAACACTTGCTGTTGCCTCTTCAAGTACGGCAAGTACTGCTTCGGCTGGGGATGTTGCCCGCTCGAAGCCGCTACTTGCTGCGACGATAACTCTAGCTGCTGTCCTCATGATTACCCGGTTTGCGACACTCAAGGCGGAACATGCTTGATGGTAAAGTTTCAAGATTCATTGAGTTTGATGAGTAATGTTTTGAAAACGTTTTACTGATTTCTTTTCTTGAAAATGTTGTGGTTTTGGCAGAGCAAGAACAGTCCATTCAGCGTTAAGGCTTTCAAGCGTACCCCAGCGAAACCGTTCTGGGCAAAGAGCAGAAAGAGCATTGCTTAAAGAGGAAGGCTGAAGAATCGATAACCTCTTGAGAGAGGAGAGAAGAAGAGGATTCATCAAGAAGCATCTCATTGTTGTTGTTCAGATTTATTATAAATTGCTGATTCTGCTGCTGAGGGGTTTTTCTGTACATATAAAACCTCTCCCCTTAAAGTTTCATTCAGTTTCCATCATTGTTCAAAAGTAACAAACTCAAACAAAATGGGTTTTGGTTACTAATCTTTAAACTTTGCTATATATCTCTCTTTCCATTGAAATGTCATATTCATTGATGGAGCTCAAGAACATATATATGCAAACTAAACTTTTAGCTAGCGAGCTTGAAGGCATCAATGAAGAGGCCATAAGTGAAACCCATCTTGAAGTTATTTAGTAGAGCGATAGGGAACGTAACCGTGGTGCGGCTGTAGTAGAATCTCGTGACATACTCTGTCAAGAGAACGCATAGAACGGCGGCGATGACGTCGTTCACTCCCAAAGCTCCGAACGAGAGAGAGATGGTCTGAGCCACGTAGAAGCCGCCTAGCAGCGAGATTCCTCCGAAAAGGGTTCTTCTTGATGGCTTTTTGAAGTAGTCTCTGGAGATTTCAGGAACTGTTCTTATGATGTCGATTAGTCTTCTTGGTCCTTGGGTTTCTTGCACGGCTCTGATGTTTCTTGTGAATCTCCTAATGTTGGATTTAGATGGGGCAAAGCTCTGCCATTGGTGATGATTAAGGAGTGAAGTGTTCAGGTTTGTGGAGATTAAGCTCAGAGAATGTGCCATCCTGATAACAAAATCGAAGAGACTTTTCAGTTGAAGGAAATTCAACAATTCGATCTCTCTTCAATGCGTTTAGAAAACTCAAAATGAATCAACAGAAGCTAATAAATGGAGAACAAGATCATGAAATGTTGAAGTCAATTTGACTTAGAAATGTAACAAAAAGGTCATAATCGCAATTGACAAACATGAGAAAAATTAAGGATTCCGGGTTACGAAATTAGGGTTCCATTTCCTAAGCATACGTCTCCAAAACAATGAATTTCAATTCCCAATTGAAACTTTTAACGAGAAATGTAAATCGACACAGGGCTTGGGAAAGGAATTTACCAGCACGAGGAAGATCGAAGAAGCTTTCTTGGGAGGAGGTAATGGAGACAAAGAGACAAGAGTTAGAAGAACGAAGGATCAAGTCTGGATTTAACAAGTGTTACCGAAAAAGGAAGAAGAACACCAGAGAAGAAGATAGAGAAGAAATCGAGGAGAGGGAAGAGAAGAAGAAGGGAAGGCCCAATTGAAATTTGAGCCCATTTTGTTAAAACTGGGTTTCGATTGGTTCAAGAGAACCGTCTTCAAACCAAATTTATATACAGCTTCCGGTTTTCTCTACTTTTATGGTTTAGTTTGTTTAGTCTTAACCGAATGTAATCGTTCCTGAAATTCTCTCTTGTCAATTTCTTCTGGCTCTGTCATTCTGTATAGTTTTCAAAATATTAAAACCCATGTTACGTCACTATCATACATTAAATACACACACGGTTTCTTTTATTGAGGATGTTCTTACTTAATCCTAATTTTGGGTTTTGTCGAATCCAACTGAAATTAAATATAATGTGTACTTGAAATTCAAAAAAAACACATGAACCTACTAATAGTCTAATACAGTTGGTTCTGCTTCTGCGTCACTGTTAACTAAAAATAACTCTCAAGTCTCAACACACATAACAACCTATCATACTAATGATTAAAATCGAAAAAGAATTCAAATCCAACCGAAACATAATGATTAATGTGGTTCTTTCATACAGTAGTTAGATAGATCTCTCTTCCTGCAAAGTCGTCATTAAATAATATTTGATCCATTGTAGTATCTTGCTACGTTCAACAGTTTTTTACAAGTTTCATTAATACGTATAATCAATTATTCATCTTCCTTCCTTTTTCAGTATTCACGTGACACTGAGCTTTTTCCGACAGCTACTCTCTTGTGTCTTACATCCTTTTGTCACGTACCTCCTGCTCTCTTCACCTCTCTCTCTCTCTCTCTAAGTTTTACAGAAGCGAATCAAATCTGTGATATGTAAATCTCAGACATTATTAACATTCTTCTTTAACACATTCCCCACCCAAGAAAATGCTTCGTTGTAACTTCCCCATTTCTTGTTTCCTTTTCTTCTGTCTCTTCTTCTTCTTCGCCATCGCTTCTTCTTCTTCTTCGAACCGCACAAGACGCGCGTTTCCTCACCGCGACGCTACCGCTCTTCTACTGTTCAAATCAAAAGCCGATTTATGGAACAAGCTTGGTTTCTTCAGCAACAGAAGCTCTCATTTCTGTCAATGGTGGGGTGTTACGTGCTACGGCAACAAAGTGGTTCGTCTTGTTATAGAGGATCTCTATCTCGGAGGCCAACTCGCTCCTGACTCAGTCAATAAACTCGACCAGCTCCGAGTTCTCAGTCTCAAGAACAACTCGCTAACCGGATCTTTACCCGATTTATCCGGTTTGGTTAATCTCAAATCGCTGTTTCTCGATCATAACTCTTTCTCCGGTTCGTTTCCTCTCTCGGTTCTCGAGCTTCACCGGTTAAGAATCCTGGATTTCTCTTTCAACAACCTCACCGGTCCAATCCCTCCCGATTTAATCTTATCCGACCGGTTGAATTACCTCCGGCTCGATTCGAATCGGTTCAACGGTACCGTCCCTGCTCTAAACCAATCCTCGCTTCATTCTTTCAACGTCTCCGTTAACAACTTAACCGGCGCTGTACCGGTAACCGCCGTTCTGTTACGATTCGGGATTTCATCGTTTCTCAAAAACCCCAATCTCTGCGGTGAGATTGTTCACAAGGAATGCAGCCCGAGGTCAAAGTTCTTCGGCCAGTCACCGCCGGAAAATGCGCCGCCACCACCTCCTATCCCGCACGGCCAGATGGCGGATATCGGAGAAATGGGATTATCCCGGCCGAATCACGGCAAACATTCGCGACTCTTGGTGATTCTAGTGTTTCTATCAGCCGCTCTTCTCCTCTTAATCTCCGTCGCTTGCTTAATCGCCGCCGTGAAGAGGCGGAGGGACAAAAACGATAAGGAGAAAGGGAAAGAATCGACGGCGGTTGTAGCGTCAGACGCGGCGGAGACGGCGGAAGTAGCGGCGGCGATACAGATGGAGCAAGAGAGTGAGCTGGAGGAGAAAGTGAAGAAGCTACAGGCGGCGAAGAGTGGGAGCTTAGTATTCTGTGCGGGAGAGGCCCACGTGTATACGATGGACCAGCTAATGACAGCTTCTGCTGAGTTATTGGGCAGAGGAACTGTGGGGACCACTTACAAGGCGTTGCTAGACAGCCGTTTGATCGTGACGGTTAAGAGGCTTGACGCCATTAGATTGGCGGGTGTAGGAAGAGAGAAATTTGAGCGTCACATGGAATCAGTAGGGGCTTTAGGGCATCCGAATCTGGTCCCACTCAGGGCTTTTTTTCAGGCGAAGGAAGAGAGGCTTTTGATTTATGAGTATTTGCCAAATGGCAGTCTCTCATCTCTCGTCCATGGTAAGCTCGTACGCCCTATTACACGCAATTTTCCTTCCTTTTTTTTTTTCCTGGTGTAATAAATTTTGAATAACTGATTTAGTTGAGTGTAGTTGAAGACATTAAGCACCTGGTAACTGGTTGGTACTTGTAATAAATTACTAGTAATCAACTTGTGAAGTCTTTACTTTGGTCGGTCAGTCATATTTTGTTTTTTAACTTTGCCATACAAAACTTGCTCGTACCTTTGAATTTCTTAGTTACTTTTGAGAATTGTTAGAAAATAAGACCATTTTTATAAGTAGGATTAATTATGAGAGTTCAAATTTAATTTTTAGATTAATATTTAGGATTTTTGGTTTACAATCTAAGGAGGTTAAGATTTAGCTTTAAATGATTCTGTTAATTTAAAATTTAACAGATTATTTTGTTTTAGGTATAAAACAAGGTATATTTTCTTAAGACTTCCATTAAGCCGTTATTTTGGTTGGATTTGGATTTGGATAGGAAAATACATAAATAATTTATTTTGTGACTGTTTAGTTTTGGTTTGAAAGAACGACATTTTAATGAATTTCGTTCTGTTTAGTTTTGGTTTTGCTGCTCAGTTACAAGTTAAACAATAAGGAGCTTATGTTAAAAGTTTAACTATGTGTAGGTACAAAATCGTCAAGAGCAAAGCCATTGCATTGGACATCTTGCTTAAAGATAGCAGAAGACGTAGCTCAAGGTCTCTCCTACATCCACCAAGCATGGCAGCTAGTTCACGGAAACCTCAAATCCTCAAACGTCCTTCTCGGACCAGACTTCGAAGCTTGTATCGCAGACTACTGTCTCGTCGCTCTTGCAACAAACCCTCCTCTAACATCCAACGACGGTAGTCAAGAAGAAGCGGATGCAGCAGCTTACAAAGCTCCTGAAACTCGACACAAGAGTTTGAGTAATCAAACTGTTAAAGCCGATGTTTACTCATTCGGGATTCTTCTTTTGGAGCTTCTGACAGGGAAACAACCTTCGAAGCTTCCGGTTTTGCCGTTAGATGAGATGATGGAGTGGGTTAGGAGAGTGAGAGAGGAAGGTGAGAAGAATGGGAACTGGAAAGAGGATAGGGATAAGTTTGGAATGTTGACGGAAGTTGCGGTGGCTTGTAGCTTAGCATCGCCGGAACAGAGGCCGACGATGTGGCAAGTGTTGAAGATGTTGCAGGAGATTAAAGAAGCGGCCGTGATGGAAGAGTGTGAGCTTGTTATGGATTCTACTAATTCTGGGAGCTCTTGAGGACTAAATATTTTTCAAGAAATGAAACTAAATCTGTTATCTTTTACTAATCTTAAAACTATTATCTAATTGTGGCAGTTTTAGATCTAATGCCACGGTTCCTGACCCCTTCCCTTAATATTTTTTTTTAGATCGTTTGTTTTCCTAGTGGAATTTGAGTATTTTGAGAATTTTCAACCACTTGGTCCTTGGTGCTTTTGTCGGGCTGTTTGATCATCTGGGGGAGATCATGGACATGGGACAGCTTAAGCTGAGGTTTCAATTCTCTAGCGCTATTCAGTTCAACATAATGCCTGAGGAACAACTCCTGAATGTTTCAATTCTTTATTTTTGTAATTTTCCAACGGAAGCTATGTGAGAACTGTGATATCTATTGGATGGATTATTTCTTGAAATCGAACTCAGTCCCTTTCTTGCTAAATAAGTCATTAATGTATTTGCTCAAATAGATGCATTTCAGTCTTAGGGAAATCTTTTGATGTACTGTATTTTTGTATTGACTAGTGATTACAAATCTACATTTTGTATAAACAAAATTGATCTATGCTTTAATCATATTTTAAGATGAGTATAGGACTGTAATGAGACAGCACTAAACCAAAAAAAAAATGAAAGTGTTTAAATTAACTAAACCAAGTCAGTGGACACAAATTATAACGTAACAGAACCATGAGTCCTAAAACAAAAGAAGAGAGATCGTAGAGAGCAGAGAATACAAAGTCATCAGTCCAACTTTTGTTTTTGACCATGTGTCCATAAGGACGAGAACCAATTGCTTTCATATTACTCCTCTTCGTTTTCTCTTCCTCTTTTCTTTTTTGTCTTCCTCATATGAATTAAGGAGATGGCTTTCGTTTTGTCTTCCTCCTTTCTGTTGCCTTCCTCGTTTCTTTTGTCTTCCTCATCTTTACTTAGAAGTCTAGGGTAGACGAAATTGAACAGTAGTGTAGAGCTGTGACGTAGGGTACGGAACACTGCTCAGGCAGAGAATTAAGGTATCATACGAAACCTCTATGCATCCGTCATGACCAAAGTCATCTCCTTCACTTGATCTAGCCAAGACATACCTCTCCCCATTCTCATCTTCGTCCTCAGCAACCAAAGAGACAGCGTGAAAGCTGGCAAGCCGAGAACCCGCCCTGGTTGGTCCTCCATAAATCTTTTTCAAACAGAACAGGGGTAACGTTAGTTTTACATCCATTTAGAAACCATATAATGCTATTGGTAAAAAAGTTTATTTACCCCTTTCTGGTCTCTGACGTAATCGGGAAGAAAGATTGCCAAAGTGGCTCCAATGGGCTGGTGTTGTAACTGATGAAATGCCTCATCCATGGATTATGTGGTAATGCAGTCCTTAATATACGCCAAATCCAAGAGGTTGCGTTTTGGAACCTCTGGAGAGCAACATGTTAAAGGTCTTGAAAGGGGAGTATACGGGGAGTTTATCTTAAACATTTGAAATAATTTACATAAAATATAAAACAAAATATTATTATTCTTAAATGTAAGTAAAATAATATTGAAAATCCGATAAGAAATCTTTGAACAACATAATATACTTTAATTCCACTAAAGCATATTTCATCAAGTAATAGAAGCTATGCTCTATAGGATTTCTAAATTACCACTTTCAGATAACACGTATTATGTACAACGATAATTTCGATTTTATTTAGAGTCAATTAATCTTCATTGCTTTCTTAAACTTTGGAAAACATAATTTCTTATTCTAATTGGAATGCATTACCTACATTATTCTAATTGCTTCTTCAAATTTTCTTAAACTTTGGACAACCAAATATATAGAGCAAGCATCATAACTTTGCTTTTCCTTTTCCTAGTAGAAATGGACAGCAAGGAGAAACTGAGATTAGTCACAGTTACTTGCTGCATTAAAAGTAACTTGCATGTTTGAAAAAAATTGTCATGATTAAAAAGAGTATACCCATGGATGATTGATGGATGTGTGTATAGTAGTATTATACAGAGCCTAGGCTATGAGTGAAGGATTAAGCAATATCTAATATAGGCTTGCATTTATGATCTTACAGAATCTGAAGAAGTTACCTCCCTATGGGACCAAAATGATGTAAATGAGTTCTACAGAGGTGTGATGCCTAAATGGCTAGATGATGTTGCACATACAGGAATCGAGAAGCTACAATACTATGAGGTATGTGTGTGTGTGTGTGTGGTGTTAATTAATTTAATCCTTGCTTAACACACAGACAAGAATATAATGCATGCCTTGTTCCACTAACGTTTTATTTATAACTGATCAAATGCAGGTGAAGGAATCGGAGTTGGAAGAGAATGAGGAATGGCTTAAATAATCTATATGCTCAAGTGCCTACGCTGAGTGGAATATCGACATGGTGAGGAACAAAGCCTAGAGAAAGTGATTATATTCATTTGTTTGGGCTTATATATGCGTACTCTTCCCTTAAGCCAAGCTTAATTTGTTTTTGCAGGTGGATCATTTCCCATTGAAGATAGAGAAAGTGGTGGTGCAAACAATGGGAGATTTTGTAGAGCAGAACAATATATCAAATATTTGATACACAAATGTGTTCCATTTTTTTACAATACAGAAAAAATTGCTATTGTCCGTATTTATGGTTTTTTTTTTTTGTAAACTAGTAATTTTCTGGAGACCAATCAAGAAAATTAACATTAAACGTAAGAAGGGAAAACAAAAAATTCTGAACAAGTAAAACGACCGCGTTTCGGTTGGCCGAGAGCAGTCCATAATATAAGTCGGATTCTGGATTCTGGAGAGACTAAACCCATTGCTCAAGAAAAGTTAGCAAAGCAAAATTGTTGGAAGAACATTCTCGCTTTCAGGAAAATCTGAGATCTCTCTGCTGAAGAAGAAGAAGGAGATTTCCGAGAGTATGAGCGACGCGGATGATGCCGTTAGACGCCGCACCGCAGCGGTTACTGAGTACCGGAAGAAGCTCCTTCAACATAAAGAGCTCGAAGCCCGTGTTCGTACAGGTTCGATTCCTCCAACTTCTATTTCAATTTCCCCAGATTCAATTGGCATCTCGAAATCGTCTGATTGATCCCTTTTATCTCTTCGTCGAAACTGCTTTGAGTGAGCTGAATCTAGGGCTTCTCTTATTCCGTTGGGTTACGATTTGTATTCTTAAATTAAGCTATTGGTGACTCGACTCTAGGGTTCATCTTAGTTGCTTGATTTAGGGTTTTGGATTGTTGTTTGAAGATCTAAAGTTTTGATATTTCTCTGTGATTACACTGCTCTATGGAGTTTACTATGAGCAGATGGATTCGAGTTTGTTAAAGTAAACGACTTGTAACTTTTTAACACTGAGTTTGTGCTCTCTTGTAGCTAGGGAGAACTTGAGAGGATCTAAAAAGGAATTCAACAAAACTGAGGATGATCTCAAGTCTCTTCAAAGCGTTGGCCAGATCATTGGAGAAGTGCTTCGACCTCTGGATAATGAAAGATGTAATCTTTCTTCCCTCTCTAGCTAATGCCCGTTTTTGCTTTGTCTTGGCTCCTCTGATGTAATCTTGCTTCTTCTTCTTTTTTTTTTCTGTATTTTAGTGATTGTCAAAGCGAGCAGCGGTCCTCGGTATGTGGTGGGATGTCGTAGCAAAGTAGATAAGGAAAAGTTGACCTCGGGGACTCGAGTTGTTCTGGATATGACTACACTAACAATAATGCGAGCCCTTCCTCGAGAAGTAAGTTTGAGTTAGACATGTGTTTTGGTTCTGATATTAACATACCCTCGTAGTGTATTTCTCTTGACAAGAATGTGGTTTTCATTTTGTGATGGTAGGTTGATCCTGTTGTTTACAACATGCTTCATGAAGACCCAGGCAACATTAGCTACTCTGCGGTTGGTGGATTAGGTGACCAGATCAGAGAACTCAGGGAATCTATTGAGCTACCTCTCATGAATCCTGAACTTTTCCTCAGAGTTGGGATCAAACCCCCAAAGGTAATTATCGTGTATACTCCATCATGTTGTGATTGTCAGTATGAATTAGCTGGTTAATGTTATAGAGTTTTAATTTTCTTTTACATTTCAATGCAGGGTGTCCTTCTGTATGGACCTCCGGGTACTGGAAAAACTCTACTAGCTAGAGCTATCGCTAGCAACATCGATGCCAACTTCTTGAAGGTTTTGTTTTGCGCTATGCTGTTTGTAAAATTTGTGTTGTTATGACATATCCTGAGGTTTAATGGAAATGTAAACTGTATCATCAGGTTGTATCAAGTGCAATCATAGACAAATACATTGGAGAAAGTGCTAGGCTGATTCGGGAGATGTTTAACTATGCTCGTGACCACCAGGTAAAGTTTTCCTCTTTTTCTTTTTTTCTATAAGCTTCGGATCATGTTCTTGACCTAAATCATAAACTTTTCTCTCCTATGGTTAGCCTTGTATCATTTTCATGGATGAAATCGATGCTATTGGTGGGCGTCGTTTTAGTGAGGGAACAAGTGCTGATCGTGAAATCCAAAGAACACTTATGGAGTTGCTCAATCAGCTTGATGGGTTTGACAACCTCGGAAAGGTACTGCTCTCTATATTATGAAACTATACCTAGATCAAACCTGGTGTACATGCTCATTAACTATATCAGCTGTCTTGAAATCTGTTGGATAATATTTGATCGAATTGTTTTAGGTTAAAATGATTATGGCCACAAACAGACCCGATGTGCTTGATCCTGCGCTTCTCCGTCCGGGTAGATTAGATAGAAAGATCGAGATCCCTTTACCTAATGAGCAATCAAGAATGGATATTCTCAAGATCCATGCGTCTGGTATCGCCAAACACGGTGAAATAGATTACGAGGCTATCGTCAAACTTGCAGAGGTTGGTTTTGTTTTTTCTTTCTTGCAATTGCTGAGTTAGTGAATGTTGCTTTTTTCTAACTAAGATGTTTCCGTTGGTACCAAAAACAGGGTTTCAATGGTGCTGATCTGCGTAACATATGCACTGAAGCCGGAATGTTTGCAATCCGAGCAGAGCGGGACTATGTGATCCATGAAGATTTCATGAAGGTATGTAGTTTATAGAATATGAGATTTGGTTAAATCATGTTGTGCTTTGTTGTATGTAAATGAATTCGATTTTTTTTTTATCAGGCTGTGAGAAAGCTGAGCGAGGCCAAGAAACTCGAGTCAAGTTCACACTATAACGCTGATTTTGGGAAAGAGTGAAGAGTCATGTTTAAAGATGAAGAACAGTGGCAGTTTCATATTGTTATTTGTTTATCTTCTTTTTGGTAACGTGAAACTTCTTTGTTTTAGTTTATGAGGAAGAAAGCTTGTGGAATGTTGTGATGTGTGTGCTTTACTACGTTTTTAGTGATTTAGCACTTCAAGCATTTTCTTCTTTTCTCTTTAGCACTGTGGCTTAAGTAAGTCTTAGTATACATTAATCAATCGGTCCAAAGTCCAAACCAAAAGAGTAACTTGCATCAAACTCGTCACTTGCGTTTAGGGAAAACGTCTAAATTATGGTTTTTGTTTCGGAATCGATATCGTTAGGGAACAAGACTAAGTATCTGGAATTTTATGATATCCGAATTTGAAAAACAACGAAAGTGTGTCTGTAGAAATCTTTACGACAAAACTTTCCCAGGTCTTCAGGAGTCAACATGATTGTATCAAAACAGCGTTGAACAGGAATTCATTTTTTCTTTTCCTTTTATTGGCGAGAACAAAATGGAATCCAGAATAAAACTTGATTATTATGGAAAAAATTACTGTATACGTGTTCTGCCACTGCCAGTCAAATGTATTTGGTCGTGCTTGTGCGAGTCAAGTCAGAATGTTGTTTGATTTAGTGCCAAAGGTTGATTTGAAGTTTGATCTATATATACATACCTGATTTAGGAGTAGAAAATTAATCATTACCAAAAATTAGAAATTAGTTCCAAAGTCTTACATTATTAACATATCCTATTCAATATGTTTTGACCTCGTTATATTCGTTCCGATCCCATACTTTAATAAGAACATAAAATGTTTCATTATAAATATAGAAGAAGTAAACAAAGGAAAATAAAACGAAAGACAAAACAAAAGCAAAAATGAATTCTCTAAAACAACTCATAGTTCTCTTCCTAGTGACTATATGCATAAGTGCAACGGTGTCCCATGCCAAAACGACAGTTGTGATCAATAATGATCTTGGAGGTGGTTTAGCGCTACAATACCATTGTAAATCGGGTGATAATGATCTCGGAGATCGGAGTTTGGCATCAGGTGGATCATGGTCGTTTCAGTTTAACCCTGATGTCTTCGGCCGTACTTTGTTTTTTTGCAGTTTTAGCTGGCAGAATGAGTCGCATTATTTCGATATCTATGTTCAGAAAAGAGACAAAGAGTTTGAGAGGTTTGGATGCACAAATTGCTCGTGGAAGATACGCAAGAATGGACCTTGCAAACTTAACAAAAACACTAACATGTATGATGTTTGTTTTCCTTGGAATAAATGATTCTTTGGAGCAATTTTAATATTTCTATGTAAGTCGTAAATCACCACACAGTAGGTGCATGTAAGGGTGTTCACGGTATCCTACGTTTAATTTAATCACAGACTTTTTATTAATCTAATACTACTACACTATAGCTTTTACTTACAAATGATTTACTTATAAAACAAAAGACTCCAAACACAAAACAGTAAACAAATTCTTTGATTACTAATGCAATTGAAAAGTGAATATTGTTTTTATTAGCATGGAATTTTCCGAACTTACCTGTTTGATTTTTGTATCCCTAAACCCTTATCATGCATTCATTAATCATCTCTTAACATCATTACAAGAAGCAGCACGTACCAAATTCGCGAGGAGTGAATTTGATTAGGAATTCTTTTATTTTCGTCAGAAATTTAGGATTTAACTATGACCACCTTTTCAAAAAACATTAAGATGCATGCCAAAATCACGTACGTCGTAAATCACCAAACAGTTGGGGATTAACTGTATTCTACGCTAAAAATGATTACAGGTTTTTCATCTAATACACTGCATCTTTCTTGCAAATGATAACAAAAGACCTCAAACACAAAATACTAAAAAACATTTTTGTTTCCTTATGCAATGAAAAGTGAAGAGATTTAATTAGCACGGAATTTTCCAAACTTAACTTTTTGATTTTACCCTCCCTAATCATTCATTAATCATCATTCTCTTAACACCACGTACCAAGTTCTCCTCTAGCTCGTTTAACTCCTTGTATCAAATATTTCTTTTTTTTTAATTATTATTTTTCAAATCACATAACAACAAATTTCAAAATGCTGATCCTAACTCCGGTCATAAGAACCGCAAAGGCACCGTTTATATAGATGTGGACGTATGTTTTATTGTACTTTTGTCTTAAAAATGTGATGTACTTTTCTTCGTACGATTATAAGCAGAAGACAATCATGGTATGAATCGGAATTGAAGAACAATGGCAGTTTCGTATTGTTATTTGTTTGTCTTCTTTTTGGTAACGTGAAACTTCTTTGTTTTAGTTTATGAGGAAGAAAGCTTGTTGAATGTTGTGATGTGTGTGCTTTACTACGTTTTGTAATTTAGCACTTCAAGCATTTTCTTCTTTTCTCTTTAGCCCTGTAGCATAAGTAAGTCTCTTACTGTTGCGTTTGGGCTTAGTAAACATTAATCAATCGGTCAAAACCAAAAAATCAACTCGCATCAAACTCAGTCACATAGCTTGCGTTTAGGGAAAATGTCTAAATTATGGCTTTTATTTCGCAATCGATCTCCTTAGGGGTGGGAACAAGAAGTATCTGGAATTTTATGATAACCGGATTCGAAAAACAATGAAAGTGTTTGGAGAAATCTTTCCGATAAAAATTTCCCAGTACTTCAGGACTCGACATGATTGTATCAAAACAAACGTTGAACAGAAATTCAATTTTTTTTTCCTTTTACTGGCGAGAACAAAATGGAATCCAGAATAAAACTTGATTATTATGGAAAATTACTGTACATACATTTGTTCTACCAGTCAAATGTATTTGGTCTTACTCGTGCGAGTCAAGTCAGAATGTTGTTTGATTTAGTGATCAAAGGTTGATTTAAAGTTTGATCTACATATACATACCTGATTTAGGAGTAGAAAATTAATCATTACCAAAAATTAGAAATTAGTTCCAAAGACTTGAACTATTAACATATATCTTATTTAATATATTTTGACCTCGTTATATTCGTTCCGATCCCATACTTTAATAAGAACATAAAATGTTTCATTATAAATATAGAAGAAGTATATGAATACGAAGGAAAAGAAAACGAAAGACAAAACAAAAGCAAAAATGAATTCTCTAAAACAACTCATAGTTCTCTTCTTAGTGACTATCTTCATAAGTGCAACGGTGTCCCATGCCAAAACGACAATTGTGATCAATAATGATCTTGGAGGTGGTTTAGCGCTACAATACCATTGTAAATCGGCTGATAATGATCTCGGAGATCGGAGTTTGGCACCAGGTGGATCATGGTCGTTTCAGTTTAACCCTGATGTCTTCGGCCGTACTTTGTTTTTTTGCAGTTTTAGTTGGCAGAACGAGTCGCATTATTTCGATATCTATGTTCAGAAAAGAGATAAAGAGTTTGAGAGGTTTGGATGCACAAATTGCTCGTAGAAGATACGCAAGAATGGACCTTGCAAACTTAACAAAAACACTAACATGTATGATGTTTGTTTTCCTTGGAATAAATGATTCTTGGGAACAATTTTTATATTTCTATGTATGTCGTAAATCACCACACAGTGGGTGTAAGGGTGTTCACTGTATCCTACGTTTAATTTAATCACAGACTTTTTATTAATCTAATACTACTACACTACAACATTTACTTACAAATGATTTACTTATAAAACAAAAGACCCCAAACACAAAACAGTAAAGAAAATCTTTGATTCCTCATGCAATCGAAAAGTGAATATAGTTATTATTAGCACGGAATTTTCCGAAGTTAATCACGTATTTGATTTTTGTATCCATAAACCTTATCATGCATTCATTAATCATCTCTTAACCTCATTACAAATAGCAGCACGTGCTAAATTCTACAGGAGTGAATTTGATTAGGAATTCTTTTATTTTCGTCAAAAATTAGGATTTAAATGGCCAGCTTTTTAAAAAGAATTAACATGCATGCCGAAATCACGTACGTCGTAAATCACCAAACAGTTGTGGATTAACTGTATTCTACGCTAAAAATGATTACAGATTTTTCATCTAATTCACTGCATTTTTCTTGCAAATGATATATAGTACTCTACAAAACAAAAGACCTCAAACACAAAATACTATGCAATGAAAAGTGAAGAGTTTAAATTAGCACGGAATTTTCCAAACTCTCCACATTCGTCATAATGACTTGATTAACTCCAAGCCGCAGAAAATCTCGGATTCTCTCCGGGACTACTACACGCCAGACCCGTTTGAACAGGTTCCCCAAGTCTAGTCGAGGCGTACTATCTTTAGTTAGAAAATAGTATGCGGATCTCACCATGAACTGTCCATCTGAGCTAGCTCTCTCCCCACGAAAGTCTATCCCTTGCGCCGGTAACACTATCTGTAACCTAAGCCCACAAATGCAGAATCAACGAGGCAGGGACAAAGGGTATTAGGGATAAATATCCCACATCGGAAGTTGGAAGGAATCTCAAGTGGTATATAAGTGATGTGGACCTCTTCACTCATTGCCAATTGTTTTGAGTTGGAAGCCCATGTAACTTAACATGGTATCAGAGCCCTGATCCATACATTCCAACCCGATCCGACCCATAGTTGGTCCAATTATCGACCAGGCCCAAAATTGGTGCCGGCGATCCAAAGCCCGAATATACCGAGATCAATGGCCAAAGAGCCATCGTCTCGAGGGGGCATATTAGGGATAAATATCCCACATCGGAAGTTGGAAGGAATCTCAAGTGGTATATAAGGGATGTGGACCTCTCCACTCATTGTCAATTGGTTTTGAGTTGGAAGCCCATGTAACTTAACAAAGGGTTCGATAAATTCCACCATCTAGACGGATCCATTCCTCCAATAGTCACTCACTCGCGAGCCCTACAACATCGATCATTCGGTATATATCCCGTTGCCACCTCGATTCTTGCTCTGTCTATCAACCAGTAATCTTGCCAAAATCTGATTACTTTACCATCCCCAATGACCAGCTTGTTCCCAATATAATCACTTCACGCAGCCCAATACATATGCTTCTCCATGTCCAAGACCAAATTCCTTTAACATTCAACCAATTTTGTTCATGAACATCTTGAACATGGTATTTACTTAGCAGCACTTTAGCCCAGAGGCTCTCAACATATCTCCACCCAACTTTGGCAAAAAGTGCTTTGTTCATATCCGCAGATGACCGTATCCCTAGGCCGCCTTCCTTCTTGGGTTTGCAAACTCGTTTCCAGCTAATTAGGTGTTGTTCCGTTTCTCTGCACTGCTACCCCACAAGAACGATCGGGATATTCGATCTAGGTGACTGAGCATAGATTTCGGCAAGGAAATAACAATCATGGTATGAATCGGAATTGAAGAACAATGGCAGTTTCGTATTGTTATTTGTTTATCTTCTCTTTGGTAACGTGAAACCTCTTTGTTTTAATTATGAGGAAGAAAGCTTGTGGAATGTTGTGATGTGTGTGCTTTACTACGTTTTTAGTAATTTAGCACATCAAGCATTTTCTTCTCATCTCTTTGGCACTGTGGCTTAAGTAAGTGGCTCTTATTGTTGCGTTTGGGCTTAGTAAATATTAATCAATCGGTCAAAACCAAAAGAGTAACTTGCATCAAACTCGTCACTTGCGTTTAGGGAAAACGTCTAAATTATGGTTTTTTATTTCGGAATTTTATGATATCTCAATTTGAAAAACAATGAAAGTGTCTAGAGAAATGTTTCCGACAAAACTTTCCCAGTTCATCAGGACTCAATGATTGTATCAAAACAAACGTTGAACATAAATTCTTTTTGTTTTTTCCTTTTATTGGCCAGAACAAAATGGAATCAAAAATAAAACATGATTCTTATGGAAAAAAAAATACTGTATACGTGATTTATTCTACCAGTCAAATGTATGTGGTCGTACTCGTGCGAGTCAAGTCAAATGTTATTTGATTTAGTGATCAAAGGTTGATTTGAAGTTTGATCTGTATATATATACCTGATATAGGAGTAGAAAATTAATCATACCAAAAATTAGAAATTATTTCCAAATCCTTAAATTCTTTAGGAGTATGTTTTGACCTCGTTATATTCTTTCCGATCCCATACTTTAATAAGAACATAAAATGTTTCATTATAAATATAGAAGAAGTATACGAATACGAAAGAAAAGAAAACGAAAGACAAAAACAAAAGCAAAAATGAATTCTCTAAAACAACTCATAGTTCTCTTCGTCGTGACTATGTTCATGAGTGCAACGATGTCTCATGCCAAAACGACAGTTGTATCAATAATGATCTTGGAGGTGGTTTAGCGCTACAATACCATTGTAAATCGGGTGATAATGATCTCCGAGATTGGAGTTTGGCACCAGGTGGATCATGGTCGTTTCAGTTTAACCCTGATGTCTTCGGCCGTACTTTGTTTTTTTGCAGTTTTAGCTGGCAGAACGAGTCGCATTATTTCGATATCTATATTCAGAAAAGAGACAAAGAGTTTGAGAGGTTTGGATGCACAAACTTGCTCGTGGAAAATACGCAAGAATGGACCTTGCAAACTTAACAAAAACACTAACATGTATGATGTTTGTTTTCCTTGGAATAAATGATTCTTGGGTTTAATTTTTATATTTCTATGTACGTGGTTAATCACCACATAGTGGGGTGTTCACTGTATCCTACGTTTAAAAACAATTACAGACTTCTTTTTAATATAATACTATTACTACTACACTACAGCTTTTACTTGCAAATGACGTACTTATAAAACAAAAGACCCCAAACACAAAACAGAAGACAAATATTCATTGATTCCTCATGCAATCGAAAAGTGAATATAGTTTTATACTTGCCTATTTGATTTCTCTATCCCTAAACCCTTATCATGCATTCATTAATCATCTCTTAACCTCATTACAAGAAGCAGCACGTGCCTAATTCTCCAGGAGTGAATTTGATTAGGAATTCTTTTGTTTTCGTCAGAAATTAGGATTTAACTGACCACCTTTAAGAAAAAAATAACATGCATGCCGAAATCACGTACGTCGTAAATCACCAAACAGTTGGGGATTAACTGCATCCTACGCTAAAAAATGATTACACTGCATCTTCCTTGCAAATGATATTATACTGTACAAAACAAAATACCTCAAACACAAAATACTATGCAAAGAAAAGTGAAGAGTTTTAATTAGCACGGAATTTTCCAAACTTAACTTTTTGACTTTTCTCTCCTTAATCATTCATTAATCATCTCTTAACATCACTATAAAAACCACCACGTACCAAGTTCTCTTCTCAAAGCTCGTTTCACTCCTTGTATCAAATATTTCTTATCTATTATATTTCAAATCACATAACAACAAAATTCAAAATGCCGATCCTAACTCCGGTCATAAAACTCGTGGTTTTTAGGCAAAGTCTTCGACCACATTCCGCTATTGCCTTCCTCGTCGAGTTCATCTGCTTCGTCCTAGAGCTACTCGACAAGGAGAAAGATCTAGCCAAAATATTCGGTATCATATGTGCTTGCGACACATTAATCTTCACACTGCTCGATCTAATCCAAAATCTGATTGAACAAGAAGTGAGAATTCGTAGATGCGGTCAAGTGTTTTGGCTTTACAAGAACGATGGACGTCTCTACTGGCACACGTTAAACGCGTATCTACTGATGTTGTGCGTCGTCCATGTCACTGGTTCTGCGGTTTCTTATTTTTCTCGTAGACATTATTTGGTTTTGCTTCCTCTTTTTGCAGCTTCTCTTGAACTTGTCCCACAAGAAGCTTATCGAGGAGTTCTTGGAACTGATCAAGCTCTTGTTGGGCCGGATCGAGAGGATTGTATTGGGCCTGTTAATGGCCCATTGAATTGTATTGAGGTGGACCAAGGCGATGGAGTTGGTATGGAGGAGCTGGTTCAAGAAGTTGGTGATCATGTTGAGCCGGATCAAGAAGTTGGTATAGAGCTGGTTCAAGAAGATGGTGATCATATTGGCCCATAAAATGTTGTTATAAGTACTATGGAATAATAACCGCAACGGCACCGTTTTATATAGATGTGGACGTATGTTATATTGTACTTTTGTATTACAAATGTTACTAGTACTGCACGTTTGTGCAGTGCGATGTTGTGGTTTTGTGTAAAAAATTTAAACCCTAAATCCGAACCCGATCAGAAAACTCTAATCAAAATTAATAAAAACCTAAACTTTTTTAATATGTCTAAACCCAAAAATCTGAAATCAAAAAAATCCCGAAAAGCCTGAACTGAACAAAAAAAATTTGGATACTTTTTCACTCGGAACCTGACCCAAATACCCTAATCAAAGTTTTAAAATACTAACTTTTTTAATATATCTAAACCGGAAAACCCTAAATCCAAAAAATTCGGAAACCTTAAACTGAAAAAAAAAAATCGAACCCAACCCGAACAAAAATTTTCAAAGAAACCCGAACAATTTATATATCTCTATAAAATTAGGTATCTGATTTTCACCCAAACCCGAACTTGTCTATAAAAACCCGAAAATCTAAAAAGCATATTCTATTGATGTGATATTATTGTTAGATTATGTTAAAAAAAAATTTTGCAGATTTTTAAAAGCTGGAAAACAGAAGTTTTCTAAACATCGGTTTGTTTTAAGTTATTATTATTGTATCCAAACAAATTTTTCCATTTATCCTTCTATCCAAACATTATAATGTACTAACTGATCCTTGTTAAATTTTTTGGTCATAAATTTTCAATATACTTCTCTAATAATATGAAGATGTACTTTTCTTCGTACGATTATAAGCAGAAGACAGAGTTGCAGAGAATGTCGTGTCATTTTAGTGAATTAATAAAAATATTAAATATAATCGACTCTTCGATATCGCTGGAGTCAAAAAGCTAAGGCGGTTAAGGATTTTCGACACGTGTGAACACCGAGGAATGATTTAGAACCGTCCGATTGAAGTGGTTATTTTGTAATTTTGACTCTTTCACGTGTCTTTTCTTGTGGCCTTTGTTTTTTTTTTTAATATTCGAATAGAGGAAAAATCCAGACAAAGTAGAAGCAAGACATCTCTCTGTGTGTCTGTCTCTTTCTCCGTCTCTCTCCGCCATGAGCACTTCATCTCCTTCACGGAAGGTCTCTCTCTCTATCTTTTGATTTGTGTATCGGATTCTGATTTTTTGAAATTTTGAGGAAATCGTGTTGATGATGATGATGATGATGATGATGATGATGATGCGTAGGCGTTAAGCAAGATCGCGTGTAATAGGCTACAAAAGGAGTTATCAGAGTGGCAAGTAAATCCTCCGACTGGGTTTAAGCACAAAGTTACTGATAATCTTCAAAAGTAATTATTATCAAAACCCAATAATCTCATTTCCGTCTGATCAGTTTTGTCTTTTAATTCCGAAATTTTGATAGAAACGAGTGTGTTCTTTGTGTGTTTTGGTGTGATGTAAGATGGATAATAGAGGTAACAGGAGCACCAGGTACACTCTACGCTAATGAAACGTACAAGCTTCAGGTTGAATTTCCTGAACATTACCCCATGGAAGCTCCTCAGGCAAGTTTTTTTCTCATTTCTTTCTTTTCGTGTTTTATAAGGAATCTTTGTGTCGCTATTGTCTCAAAACGTGAATTTGTTCTAAAATTTCGGGTTTTCACACTTCTTATATAAGCAAATTTCGGGGACTCATAATCTAATGTGGCTTTCATAAATTAAATTAGTTGAACCACAAGTGTTCATGTTTCACCTTGATACAATTAGATTGACATGATGAATATTAGCTGAAAAAGAGTATTGTTCTGATCTTATCAGTTAATTGTTTGAGCAGGTAATTTTTGTTCCACCGGCACCGCTACATCCTCATATATACAGCAATGGCCATATTTGTTTAGGTACTCTTTATATGCTTTTGATTCTGGTTTCTCTCTGAAATACTAATAACTCAAGCTGTGTTTGTGTGCCTCTTTCTTCATTCTGTGATTTTGGTCAGAACATTACATTTGTTTGTTAGTCTTGGGTTAGGTTGCTCAAAGAATGTAATGTGGCCAAAACAGAAGCAATATAATTATCCCTCAAGAGTCCTAAATTACCCTATCAACAAATATTGTTCAGTCTATCTTTTTTTTTCACTATATTCAACTCTCTTTTGGTCCATAACTTGTACAGTGTCTTCTTCTTGTTCTCTGAATGAAGCAGAAACCATATTCCTTGCTACCATATAGGGTTTCATTTTATGTTTTCTTGTTTTCACAAATCAATAAGATTTTACAATTCAATCTTGATTACGCCTCATAATACTGATCTCTCTTAAGAAACTCCATAGTTCATACACTAAATGTGACACTCTGTATTCCATTTTGCAGATATCCTCTACGACTCATGGTCTCCAGCAATGACAGTAAGCTCAGTCTGCATCAGCCTTCTCTCAATGCTATCCAGTTCACCCGAAAAGGTTTCCAGATTTTTTAACACCCACCCCATGCTTTGTAATTTGTATTATCAACAAAACTAACCCTTTGAAGTTTGATCCATCCACACAAACCTCTTACCATCTCTAATTGTCTATCTCTATACCTGTCTCAGCAACGCCCGACTGATAATGACCGGTATGTGAAGAACTGCAAGAACGGAAGGTCTCCTAAAGAGACAAGGTGGTGGTTCCATGACGACAAGGCATGAGTATGATGACTGATTCAGTCTGAAGATAATGTATGTCTCCTTTCAATTATAACACAACAAAACAAAGAGGTTTACATCATTTCCCACATACTGATAATAGTGGCTAATTGCAATTCCCCCATGGCCTCCCCTTTGTCTTCTTTTGTATGTTGGATTATTGTGTATGAAACACATCTGTAATGTTTCAGTGTGGACACACCTGATTTAGCACCTTCTGATTTTGTCCTCTCATGGAGATTTTAGGCAAAACATAAAATTTGTATTTGGATCATGTTTTTGCATTGTATTGTTCATATTCAAGTGTGAGATGCCAACTCAAGTTGGTAAAGGAGGCTAATTTGAGTCTAAAGACTCTCAATTGATTAAGGGATTTATATAACTTTTTGTGTTGATTGATATGCATAATTTACACATAAGCGGGAAGTGTACCAACGTAGAAAAAGCAATTGCACTTTTCTCAAAACACTAGAAAGTCAGGTAAACCGAATAATAAAGACAATTAAAACTTATCAAGTCTGCAACATTGATCAACAACCCAAGCCTTGTAGCCACAACACAGAGGAACATCAAGGACAAACTGTCAACAAGGATTTTTATTAAACACCGAACATATTATATAGCAAATAAGATAGAGCGGAAAGCGCGCACACGCGGTGGTGGATGATGAGATAATCAAGCTGAAGCGACGGGGACGGCAGGAACCGAGTGCTTCACAAGCTTGGCGTGGATTTCATCTTTTGAAGCTCCAACAACCTTATCGAGGACCTGGCCTTCTTTCATGAAGATAAACGTTGGCATTGCCTCAACTTCGAAATGCTTAGCAACAGTCTGAAGAAACCACACAAACATGGAAAAAGGTTAAGGCCTAGACATTGGTGTTTTTTTTGGAGATTGAAAGATTGATGGGGAGAAACTCACAGTCAATTGGTCAACGTCGACCTTGAAGAAGACCACGTCAAGGAAAGTCTTGGCGTACTCTGCAAAGATTGGTGCAATGAAACGGCAAGGTGGGCACCATGTTGCTGTGAAGTCTATCACAATCTGCGTTTCATTTTAGTTAACACCATAGACACACAATATGGGTCAACTACGAGAACGAATGTGAGAAACGAAAGGCCAAATTCATGTAAGCAGCGAATTGAGTTTGCGATTTCACGGGACATGTAATTTCCAATGAAAATTCTCAGGGTTTGGTACCATTTCAATCTACGTTTATGAACTGACTTCGAAGTTTCTATGAAGTTATTAGGGTTTTGATTTCTGAGATCCGGAGGTTTTAAACTTTCGATCGAACTATTAGGGTTCATGTTACTCTTCCACGCCGAAAAGGAACCCCAAAAACACGATTCGGGCATGAAACCAGATCATATTTCAAAAATCTAATCCTGAATGATCTCAAATCCAAATCAGAAACTATCAAATAATCCTAGACAATAATTTTGACACAAGAAGCGGCGTAATCGTCGATTTAAACAGATAACTAAAACCCTAAAGCCGGGTTTCTCAAATCGAGAGGAGACGGGAAGAAGAAAAACGAGAGAATAGGGAAAAAGTACCAGTTTCTTCGATGCTTTGGCGGCGTTGAACTTCTCGTCCCACTCGGCGACGTTGTGGCAAGCGATGACTTCTCCTTCTCCGGCCATTTTCGTTCACTGTTGATTTTTCTGGTTTCTTCTGTGTTTTGTGATTGATGAGATTTTAACATTTCTTCTTTCTCGGGTCGGTTCTTATAGAAAAAAAGGAGGAGGAAGAGAGAATCTAACCAAAATGAATAATTTAATTATTATATACTTTTCTTCGTTTTAAATGTTATTTAAATGGAATAATATAGGGTAGATATAATATTTAATATTTCTCCTTACCAAAAGTCAAAAATGGACCAAAAGGGTTTATCCACCACGCGGAGGAATAGATGCTCTGGGATTTGGGGATCTAGCGGCTGAGATTGAGGAAACGCAAATCGGATTCCGTTTTGTGATGACGCGTGTTGTGTACGCTCATTGAAAAATAAGAAGAATTTCTAATGATAAATAGTTTTGTGGGGTTTTCTAGGAATGAGTAATTTATTTTCTTATTAAAGGGGGTTATTGGGAAATGAATTTTATATAGTTGGCTGATTTTAGAAATTGGAAAAAATTGTTATTAGATTTGGAAAAATTTAGGAGATTATATACTGTATCTAGAAAATCCATCAAAATATTTAAGTATTATGAATTTAAGACAAATGATGGTATTTTGAAAGTTTTGTTTCATGAAGCTGGCAATGATGTAATTATAATATTGATCTTTTCTTCTTCTTACTTCCTCTGTTTCAGATTATAAGGGGTTTTAGGAAAAAAAATTGTTGCAGAATAATTGTCTCTCACGATAATCTAGACTAAAATTGCCACTACTTCACATTTTTACCCTTTCCTTATTCAATGTGGAGAAAACTTTTTAGTGGTATAATATTGAAATAAGTAATAAAAGATGAGGTTATAAGAGGTATTTTAGTTGCTTCCTTAATTATTATGAAAAAACCTAAAACCCCTTATAAACTAAAATAGAGGGAGTATGATATTTTATTAACTTCAAGCCAATTTTCATAAATGTTAAAAGTCAATTGCATCTTATCATGGACCCACGATAGATGGCTTTTTTTTTTTTTTTTTTTGAGAACTAGATAGACGGTTTTATCTACATTGATCTTGCAATATTCGAGACGTCGATACGTTTTAGGTTTTACTTGCACGACTTTTAAATTCTTTACCATTGGGACTAATAGCCTTCGTATTTAAAACTTTTTTTTTTTTTGATAAAGTATACCATTAGACATTAGTTATGTTATTTTTTTTATATATATCGTGGATTGTTCATTAATATCCATTAATCCGTCCAAATCCAGGGATCACATATAAAAATAAATATTTTGTTAACCACTGTTTTGGTAATTTTACCACATTGCAATTGTTGTATTTATGTAAAGATACCCTTCTTTTTTCCTAATTCCAATTCCAATTATTTTTGTTTGTGGCTTGTTAATTTGTTAAGCCCGTCTCGGTTCACCGGAAGAATAATTTACAACCGATCTCTCTCTCTTTCGCGTTATATATATAAAGCAGAAAAGAAAAGATAAATAATTAAGAAAAAGATTTCTAAGATTTCTTAGGGTTTCGATCGAAGTGGGAGAGAAGAAATCCAGAGAGAGAGAGAGAAGCCATGGATGAAGCTCTGAGGAACGCTGCTGCAATCGGTGACCAACGTCAGAAGATCGAACAGTATAAGCTCATCCTCACCTCCGTTTTTGACTCCAACGATCTTCTCCAAGCCAAAAAGTTCATCGATCACAGTAATTTTTTTTTCAATCTCTCCACTCTTCTTCTCACGTTTTTCCACGCTACGACTGATTTTTTGTTTGTTTCGGGAACAATTTTGCAGTTCTATCCGATGATGTCCCGTTGGTGGTTTCGAGGCAGCTTTTGCAAGCTTTCGCTCTGGAGCTAGGGAGGTTAGAGCCAGAAACGCAGAAGGAGATTGCGCAATTTACACTCACCCAGATTCAGCCGAGAGTTGTTTCCTTCGAAGAACAGGTTTTGTTTTCTCTTTTGATTTTAGCAATTCCTTATCGTTTAGTAGCTATACTTCATAAACCCTATGCATTCTAAACTTCTTAGTCTAAGTCGACAAGTATCAAGTATGTAGAGACGCTGCTATTGTATCTCTTTGATGTTGCCTTCTAAAAAGAAAGTTACCATGAGGATTGTGTCTATAATGATGCTTTTTTGGGGTTACTTAGACAATGTACATTGTGTTGCATTACAGTCTCTTTATTGTAGTTGATGAAACTGTTTTATGGATTTGCAGGCCCTTGTTATTAGAGAGAAACTTGCGGGTTTGTATGAATCAGAGCAGGAATGGTCAAAAGCTGCTCAGATGTTGAGTGGCATTGATCTGGACTCTGGATCGAGGTGTGACAATGAGCATAATTTCTTTTAGTTTTCCCCTTATGTTCTCTGGAATGGGTTGGCATTGATTTGGATTTGTGGTATTCTCTCTGTTAGGGCCGGTGAAGAAAACTTCAAGCTCTCAAAGTGTATCCAAATTGCCCGTTTGTACCTCGAGGTCTGTCTTTTCCTTTCAAGTACATATGCATGATAGATTTTTGTGTCCTTTTCCATGAGTTTGTAAGCAAGTATATCTATATTTATGAGATGGATTATCTTATGGTAGTACTTGTTTATAGTTCCTATGTGTTTGCACTTCTATACAAGTAACAAAAGTTTAGAACTTGAAATCTTGAAAGAAACCAGTTGTTGTTTCGAACTTCAAATATTTATATAGTCTTGGAGAGAGATTTTATGTAAACTTCTCTTGACCAAATCTAAGTGTGATGAAACTATGAATCTCGACTCTATTAAGAGCATTATTCTGGTTCACAATATCACTTGAATAGTAAATTGAGGCTACCAGGGTTGCATAATTTCATTTGTTTATCTTAATCGCTCTCTAATACTTTTGTGTTTTGAACATGTGCAGGATGATGATGCCGTGAATGCAGAGGCTTTCATAAATAAAGCTTCTTTCTTAGTGAGCAGTTGTAAGAACGAAGTATTGAATTTGCAGTACAAGGTTGGACCGCCTTAAACTACGAATTTATGTGCTGGGTGATTAAGGAGAATTCGATTTCAGGTTTTAATATTTTTCCTTTTCAGGTCTGCTATGCTAGAATTCTGGACATGAAAAGAAAGTTCTTAGAGGCTGCACTTCGGTATTACGGCATATCTCAGATTGAACAACGCCAAATTGGGGATGAGTAAGTGATTCGACTTCTCTCCCTGCTAAAATGTTTTCCAAACTTCTCCGGTTTCTGGTTTCATCCATCTCTGAACGTGTTTGTCCTAATGTTTCCTAACACTTTCAGAGAAATTGACGAGAATGCATTAGAGCAAGCCCTATCTGCTGCTGTCACATGTACCATATTAGCTGGAGCCGGTCCTCAGCGTTCTCGTGTTCTTGCAACTTTGTACAAAGTAATGCCCTGTGTGATTATTAATAGAATGCCATTTCTTGCTTGCTTCCTTATCCTTACTGTTTTTTCTCGTTCTCTCTTTATTAACAGGATGAGCGTTGCTCCAAGCTCAAGATTTATCCCATCCTACAGAAGGTTCTATCCCAGTTGCACCATAACATATATAGAAGCTTGGTCAGAACTCCATGCTAACTTTAATTTTCTTATATAACTTTATAGGTGTATCTGGAAAGGATCTTAAGGAAACCAGAGATTGATGCGTTTGCTGAAGAACTAAGGCCACATCAGGTATGGACTGTTACTAAGATTTAAACACAGTATTTGCATATCATGTGACTTGCTAGGTTCGTGACAAGTTTTGACCTTGTTAATTTTTCAACAGAAAGCATCTCTGCCTGACAAATCCACTGTTCTTGACCGTGCCATGATTGAGCATAACCTTCTAAGTGCAAGCAAACTCTACACAAACATCAGGTTTGAGATGTGGAATTATCTCATACCGTTTCTTTATGTTTTTGAGGCTCAAGATGATTTTCTAAAACTCAATTCTCTGTATCTTAGGTTTGATGAATTGGGAACTCTGCTGGGGATTGATCCAAGAAAGGTAATATTCAAAAATCATTACGTGAATCCCTTTAATCCTTTCGCTTGTGCTGAGTGTTCTAACACGCAAACCTTCTTTCTTAAAGGCGGAGAAGATCGCATCTAACATGATTGGCCAAGACAGAATGAGAGGCTCCATAGACCAGGTAAGGGAATGACAAATACTTTGTTGGTGTAGTTATTATGCAAAGCCGTAAAGAGAATTCTTGTTCGTGTTTATGAGATTAAGAAGGTTGTTAGATGTGTATTTTGATCTGTGTTGTGTTTTATATCACTGTTCAGGAGGAGGCTGTGATTCATTTTGAAGATGACATTGAGGAACTACAACAGTGGGATCAACAGATATCCGGATTATGCCAAGCTCTCAACGATATTCTCGACGGCATGGCGAAGAAAGGCTTGCCTGTTCCTGTCTGATTAACGACATATTTAGCCGATGAGAGTCTCATGCCCAAGTTTTTTGCCAAATTGCCGTGTTTTTTTTGGGGATGGTCATTTTTATCTCAATTGCTTTTGCAAATTTATGTCTATGCCTTTTAGGTTAAACTGATACAGAGAACAAAACAAGATTGGGTATTGAACGAGAATTCCAAAAAGTCATTTACAGATTTTGGCTATATAAAATCGGTTTAGGGTTTATTTTATTGCCTTGTGACAAAATTAAATTATTTTATGCATAGAATGAACCTTTCTGATGGTAAAACTAGAGACTGATGTTACATTAGTGGCGTGACTTATGTTAATTATTTCAAACTTTGAATCGCATCCTTGAACGATCAAATCTTCTCCAAATCAAGAAACCAGTAAAGCTAGTAGACAAAGTAGCAACAAAAATTTCGGAAAGATCTGCAAGTAGTTAATCGTTTTGTAACACCAAACAATTCAATCGTGACGTATCTTAATTCCTAAAGGAGATTACATTTCAAGGTTCCAAGTTGTTTCTGCCGTCAGTTTCGGCTGTTTCACTTCCTCTGCCAGATTCACAGACGCACACACCTGTTGACACAAGAAGAAAAAAAAAAGCTCATCAACCATAATAACAGTTGAAATTTTCAAAAGAACGCAAATTCAATACAATTTCAGTGTCCAAATATGATTTGCTAATACACTGTACACAATTCAACAATCTAAAACCACACAATGCATCTTTTCCTTACATGTATTTTAAGGAAAAGATTGTGTCAACAACCTATGCATCACATCACATGGATGAAACATCTCCTTCTATCAAACCAATCTTATCGAAGCTTATTCAATCAAAGTCATTCGAACTAATAGTGTTTGTGTTACCTTGAATGATCCAGTGTATTTGGAGTTTCTTGACCATTCCATACCAAGCAACTTGCTAGACGTCTGATAAGTTGCCTTGAGCATGTCACCACCGTAAACTTTCCGAGAAACCGAGAAGTCCCAAGCGTTTTTCGCCAAGTCGTAGCACGGCTCGAACGTAGCAATCCCTCCATGAGCATAAGTATACTTGAGCTTACAGTTGTTTGTCCCCACCATGTAATTAGCAGAGAGCTTGTTTGCAGGATCAATCGAAAGACTCCCATCCACAATCGTTCTGTTATCTCCTCTGCTATGAATGTAAGTCAGATTCAATGGCTTCTCAGCAATTCTCACTGTGTTCATGAACTGAAACCTAACATCCTGTAAACACAATAGCCATCATACTTGAGAAAATGAGTCAAAATTAGCATTTCTGCAGCTATGGATTCTTATAGCATTTTGTTGGCTCAATCAAAGCAGACGACAAATTTGCGAATTCGATAAACTTTCCACTGTTTGATTCTCCCTAATTTCTTCAAAATTTTGATTTTGGAAATTGAGAATTTAGGAATTTCTGAGATTTCTGCGAAAACAAAATTCGAGGGAATCAAAGAGGAAAAAGCAAAGGGCGTTTACTTTCTTAGGGACGTTATACTCAACCATGAAGAAACCAGGCTTCTCGACGGCGAGGGAGAGACCGTTCAAAGTAGGGCCGGCGACGAAGGTAGCATCGGTCATGGTGGCGCGTAGCTTAAGATCGCCGGCGTTGAAGGCGAGTGAACCAACTCCGGTGCTTTTACCACCAGCATCGAACTTGCCTTTGACAGAAGCCTTCATAGCCATCGTCCTCTCGATGACCTCGACACACAGTAGAGAGAGAGAGAGAGAGAGAGAGAGGAGAGAGAGTTTGGTGAGAGCGGCGAATAGAAGAGACGATAAAAACACTGTGGTCATACGTGCGAATTGGCACGTGCGATTCTTATTTCATTTTTCACACCAATTTTCTGATTCTCGACCAATTGGCGTTTCATAATTTTTTTTAAAATCACGATATACTTATGAATCAAATTTCTCTACAATTTGTTGATTGTATAAAAGTCTAATACCAAAAGAGTTTAAGCGAAAAGCACCTCTATAATCTGTGTAGTAAAGAAAGAGTTTGTGTGGAATGATTTGTACAGCAAAACTTCGTGTAAAATGCGGATGTTAACTTAATTAAGTAAAAAATTAGAGACAGTATACAAACAACCAAAAAAGAAAGAAATTTTGAGTGAACAAAAAGATGTCCAATACATAAAACCACAGACAGAATCCAACATTTGTTTCTTCGAGTTGTGCGACTAAAAACGAAAAGAGGAACATAGCAATAAAAGAAAACCTCTTTATCTCGCTGAAAGTAAGTCTAACAAAACTTCCTAGAGAGATAAAAAAAAAAACCAAAGTTTCATCCCATAAATAAAAGATTTGTCCTAAAAAAGAAAACCAAAATGTACAGTGAAACCAAAAGCCCAAAAAGTGTATAAACACATAACCAACTTTCTCATCCTCTTTAATCCTCAATCGACTGAATCTCCCCCATCATAATCCTGTTGCTAACCACGTTAAAACCAAGAACCGATGCACTCAAGTTTACCTTCTTCCCTTTCTTGGCCTTCTTCTTTCCTCCAACTTTCGAGAAACCTTCGTTCGCAGTAGCTGTGTAATAGTCATCTCCTCCCGTATTGTTGTTGTTGTTGTTGTTGTTGTTGTTGTTGTTGTTGTTTCGAATTATCCCGACTCCTCCTGAGCTCTTTGATTGAAATGCGATTTCGACCACTTCTGATGGTAACAAGTCTTTGTAGTTGAGAAACTTGTCGATGAACTTGTGGTCTCGATCAACCGAACCGAGGTTTTCGATCAGAAGTGTCTCGGCTTCTGATCGGGACAGCTTCAGACAAAATTCCAAGACGCTCGTATCTGACAAAAGGAATTACTCACATTAAAAGTCAAAACCATAATAAAAAAAAAATTGATACAGAAAATTGAAAACTACTAGTGTAATATGAACTTGTTTTACCTTCTGAACCAAGAAGTCTGAGACATTCGCTTCTGCACCAATCTCTGAAGCCATTTGCCTCTGAGAAACCGCAAACTCGTTAGGTAAAAAAACAAGCTATAATTATGTGCAGAAGAGAGAGATTGTCAAGTAAAAGGCAAACCTGTGAGCTTCGTCACTGCTTCCTTTTTCCCTTTAACAACAGGTGAGGCAGATCCAGCTGAAACAGATTTCTGACGATTCTGTGAACTTCCTGCATTTCCTTTCGCAGGAGTGTTTTTGGTTCCCCAACTGTTCTGATTTGAAAGCTGAGGGAAGTCTCCCCTGCTCGAAAAATAACTCATAGTTAGTCGATAATAAAATGCAAAATAAGTGCAGATTTAGTAACACAATATCAGATATGACGACTTGGAAATTCAAGGAACAAGTGTTAGATTCTTACTGTTTTGATTCTTGGGTTGATTGCTCAACTGGACCCCAGAAAAGGTCATCATCTCCTCTGGATCTTGACTGCGAGGAAGGTTGAGAAACAGCCTGCGAAGGAGAAGCTGCGGAACGTGACCAGGAAGGTTGAGAAACAGCCTGTGGTGGAGTTGGTTTCTGGGTGGTAGGTACTGGACTTGGCGGCGGATGAGATGAGGTCGTCAACTTCTCCTGCTCCCTCACGATGTCCCTAAGTGAGAAAGGTTTCGCGGATTTGTTAGGACCAGTGGACCATGCAGCAGCCGGTGGAGGATTGTTCACAGTCTCTCCTTTCCAGAGAACAAAATCTCCCAAAGAAGGCCCAGAAGGAATAGTAGGCAAAACTTCTTGCTGCTGCGCAACGCGAGAACTTTTTCCCTTCTCAACGGAATTTGTTGGGAGGGATGTTTCTACAGCAGGAACTTGCGCAACAACTTTTGCTGCAGAATTCTTTGCTCTCGCAGACTTCTTGCGGCTCTTTTTTGTTTCCTTAGCATCGATAAAGTTATCATCATCTAAAGACTCTGCATTAGCAAGTGCGGCTTGCATAAATGCGTCGTTGGAAATGATTTCCCTCTCTTTGGCCACAACATCATCAGCCTGACTCTTCTTACCCGTGAGAGCAGGAACACTTGCAGGCTTTACAACACTGGTTTGAGTAGTAACCGACTCTCCGTGAGGCTCTCTTAGGTTGATAGGATCTGAATTGGCAACAATCCCTGCCCAAGGAGAAGCCAAACCCACTGAACTCACGGAAGGAGAAACCTTTGGAGCTAAAGCTTCTGCTTGTGTTACCCTCTGTTCTTCCATTTGAATTTCTAGCAATGACTTTGGTTTAAAGCCAGGGGCAGGCTTCCAAGCTCGTACCGGTTGCGTTCGTGTGTTTTGCAGTGAAGACTCACTCACACCAGATTCTCCCCAGAATAAATCAGCTTCGGAGCTCTTACTGGGGTGAGTATCATTGTCTATCAAAGTGTCAGATAACTTTTTACTTTTCCCCTTCATCTCGGAATCATCAACGCTTCCAGTTTCAGGTTGCGTTGCCTCTTGCAGAGAAGCTTTAGAAGTTGCCTTAACAGCATCAGCCGCCTGCTTAGCCTGCTGCTTCTTGGCTTTCTTTCCAGAAGTCTTTCGACCTCCAGGAACTTCATTGTTTTTAACTTCAGCTGCAGGAATCTCCAAAGATAACTCATTACTGGCCTTCTCCTCCAGCGACTTACTTTCACGTGTTTCGGGAGCTGTCATTGTAGGAGTGGGGCTTTCATTGTTTTGACGGCTCACAGGTTCTTCTTCCTTGTTAAGCGTAGGATGATAACCAGTAGAGAGGACAGGCTTATCAGAGTACAAGCTGTTCATGTAATCCGCAGCAACTGTTCTTTCATATTCTGATCTTGAATTTCTGTTATGGGTATCATCGATTTGAACTGTCCCCTCGCTCGTCCTAGGCTCAACATTGCCAAACAGCTGGTGTTGCAGGTGTTGAGGATGGCTTCCGAAAGCAGCAGCATTCTGATTGGTGGCATGACTTACCGAGAGCAAATCAGTTAAGTTGGCACCTCGTTCTTCGTGGGAAACAGGAGCCTGCATTTGCTGATTGGCCTGCGTCATATCTTTGGATGCTTGCAGCCTAAGAGCATCAAAAGATTGCTGCAACTGTCCAAAAGACGTCTCTCCAAACCGCTGCTGAGAACGCTGCTGATCAGCAAGAACCTGGGAAAACAGCTGTTGTTGCTGTCGTAACAACTGCTGCTGCTCTTCTTGTTTCTGTTGGTGTTTAAGCAAGAGCATCTTTTCGAAGTACAGACGCTGCTGCTGTGAAGAAAGAGGTCCCTGAGCATTCATCTGCAACAAGAGCTGTTGCTGCTGTAACAGATTGAGCGATTGCTGTTCGTGGGAGAGTCCAGAGCCGAGCATCATATCAGGGGGTAACATGCCGGCTGGATTATTTTCCATAGGTTGACCAAGTAACCCTGCCAAAGGTGAATTCTGCTCTGGCAACCTTTGCTGTTGGACCCCAAAGGGAGTCTGAGTTTGATTGGAATGCGACCACGCCGGAAGAGGACCAGTAACAGCAGGAGAAGACCTATCCGTTGCACCTTGGAGGATGGACAACAAATCAGAACTTGGGGAGCGAGCGGGTTGTTGAGCATTCTCTGACACATTCTCCGATCCTGGCATCAGGTTTGCAGATTCCCGACCAGGCCAAAACGAATACGGACTAGGTACTGATCTCTGCCGTTCGAGTTCCAATTTCTTTGCCAAGAGATACATGTCAGCCCCACCATCACTACCTGGTAAAGACAGCCCAACAGAGCTATTTACCGCATATCCTTGAGCACCTGCAGACACAGCACAGAAGTAAAGAAAGAAAATAAATTTACTGGTAACTGAGTGGCTGATAGGAAAACAAAAGATATAACTGAAACACATCAAATGACGAACACTTAAACTACCTTGAGATGAATTGTTCAAACTCCCAGACATCAACGATTCAATAAACCGATTCTCCGCTACAGACCCTCCACCGTGCTTAAACCTCATATCGGTTTGCAAAATATCAGCTTCACCCATCCCAGAATGAACATTCCCCACACCAGGGAAGGCTGGTGTAGCAGCCGCATCAATAAATTCATTTGGCTTGGAACCGGTAAATCCAGGTGGTGGCCCCGACTTAGCCCGCAAATGTGGCATCACATCACCGAGTAGCGAAAAAGGAGAATCGTTTGGTGCATTCGCAAGACGAACTAGCAAATCTATGCCAAAATATCCAGCTTCAAACCATCCAATGATATCAGTTCCCGTAAAAGGGCCTTGAACTAAACCTTGAGGATCTTTATAATAGAGTGTAAGTTCCTCAGGTGTAGGTGGCAGAAGCTTTCCAACTTCCCGCTCCCTGTCGAACACCAGAGATGGCTGCCTTCTTAGGGCAGGATCTTCACCGATTTGCCATCTTGATTCACCTTTGGACTGTGGCAAGTTCATCATACTGCCACCTGAATGGTTTACTGAATCTTTGGGATGTGACCATACGTTGTCAGAAGATTTCAGCCTGTTATCAGCTGAAGGGTCATTCCAATCATGTGAGATCCTACTCGGCCTTTCTCCCACAGGCTGGCGCCATGGAGATTGAGTATGATTATTTCCCTGCATACTGGGCTCTTTCATTTCTCTGACAGGCACCTCATTGCCTTTCCTAAAAGGAGCATAACCTTCATGAGAACCTGCAAACATGACAGAAACACCATAATGTGAGAGCCTAGCAGAGACAGAGAAATAACTTGTACATTCAAAACAAATCGTAGCATTTTCACCTTTGACAGCACTGCTAAAAAACGAATATGAGTTAAATTCGACAACTATAGAAAACAACGAATCACTAAATTCCAATATCATCTATTTCAATCAGCACCAGTATGAGTCACCAAAGCTGCACGAAGGCCACGATATGTCAACGCATACCTTCAGGCCTGAACTTAGCATCTGGATAGATCCTTGTTTCTCCACTTTCATCTTTAGATTCCTCAGCAGCATATGCCATATCTTCTCTGCTTCCAGCTGCAACACGGCATTCACAGAATTTCACCATTTGCATCATACGAACAAAACACTAGAAGCCAAGACGTCTTTCATGGAATTCTTACCAGGCCTGATTCGCCTAGGTTGTGAAAACTCGACTGGATTTCGTCCACTAGGGCCATCCTTGGATACTTGAGGGGCACCACTGCTCACTATTTTTCCTGTCTCAATCGCATCCAGAACAGTCTACAAGGAACAACAAAGGTTTATTGATTAGAAAATTGAGATACTACAAAAGAAGGAAATTCATAAACTAAACTAAAATACTTACCACTTCCTCGGAACTTGGAGGGCAGAGAGCCAGAGGATCCGTCGGCTGCTCACACGTAAGGGAAGGCACCTCGATGAACCCATCTGGAAACTTTTCAAAACACTCTGTATCTGCTATCCTGAACACATCCAACAGTTTTACTCTGCTATATCTCAGATGGGGAGGCTCTCCATGACCACTTGCCCCCTTTTCAAAGGAAGATCCAAGGTTCGATCCGCTAGTAAAAAGGCTTCCACCAGGGCTCACCCTTCCACGTCCAGCTGAAAAGACAGCAGTGTTGTCTCCACGCCCCCTGCTGGAGAAGGGTGTAAACTGCTTGTTTGGCGTTGTTTGAAGAGCTTCTCCTCTTCCTCGACCTTGAGAGGGTCTCCAGGGCTTGTAATGGTCTCCATCACCAGTAGGAAGAGACGGACCCTTCTCACGCATGATTTCACCATCTTTACCAGACTCATCCCACTTGTTACGCGTAATCTCAGCTTCCTTATCATCAGGTCCCCAGCGAGAGTTCCACTTGCTCTCACGCCGCTGCTCTGGCCCAGCATCCTTGTTTCCTGAATCAGCCCACCGGTCATTTGGACCACGCCGCTGCTCTGGTCCAGCATCCTTGTTTCCAGAGTCAGTCCACCCACGCCGTGGCTCCCCAAAGTTTTTAGGGGCCACATTATCCCACCGGTCAGTCTTCTTATTATCACCAAACTCTTTCTCACCATTCCGCCAGCGGTCTTTCCGGACTGTGGACAAGGTGTCCCTCTCCTCATCACGCCAACGATCACGGCGACCACTTTCTGCATCAAGCAAGGAAGGACGGAAAACATCTTTTTTCTTCAGATGATCCGGTGTCTCCTCCCCGTTTCCTGCCGATCTCACAATATCCGAGCTGTTCCCATAAGGATTTTGCAGCCCCTGAGCATCCTGTAAAAGTGAAACCAGGTCACATGTTAAGCGAATATAAAACTAAAAGAATAGACCAACAAAAACAAGCTCTACGCACAAGCAATATGAACATACCACAGTTCCCATTCCAGTCTTGTTCTCCCCTGGTTTGGAGAGAAGCCACTGAGGTGAGAGAGGAATAGGATTGTCAGAACCCTGGATATCTGCACAGGTAAGGCTAAAATGTCACTCTAATCTTCTCGCATAGACGCTGTAGAGGAGCGTCAATCAGATTTCATCTCTAAGAAAAGAGCTTTAAGATATCACATATATACAAATGTTTGGTATGTCATGAATCATCTACAACAGCATCATGCTACAAATATTGAACAACGGAAACAATTAACTAAAAAAATGTCTCGCATAAGATGGAAGAAATCAGCATCTTATGGATCTACAACAATACTAAAACACACAACCAAAAACTTAACGCAGAGCTCAGCGATCCATGAAAATCCTCGGAAATAGAAGATAACAAGCACAGAGCTCATGATACATAAGAAATCAGTTCCCAAATTAAAACCCCTGAAGAGCTGAGAAAAGCTGGAAATGCAATCGATTTTGTTCTTAAGCCTATTTGATAATACCCATTGACAATAAAATGAGAAAATAGAACAGAAAGCAATCGGGAGACACCAAAAACCCTAATTATTAGGGGACTCAAGAGACTAGAATGGAGACTCTATGACGCTAATTTCAATCGGCGATTTAGCATCGGACAGAGAAGGAGCTGCAATCTCTCTATAGTACAGAAACACAGGAGAAGGAAATGAGAGAGTCGACCACAATCCTAAAATCATCGGGTAACAAAAACAGATGAATGACGGAATAAACCTTTGAAGATCTGGTGCGGTGGATTGACGGAGAGGTGCTTGTTGCGGTGGTCGGCGGCGGAATCAGCGGAGGAGTTAGCCATGGATGATTCGTTCAGAGTTACAGAGTTTACAAAGAGAGAGAGAGAAAGAGAGAGACGACGCGAGAAGTGAGAGAGCGATTACGGTGAAGAGGAACGTAGGTTTAAAAGACCCCCAAAGAGAAACGACTAAAACGACGGCGTAGGTTAAGCTAGTAATTTCATATCCCAGCGCACGTTAGCGTCCTATTTCCTTTTTGCGTTACAATAAATAAAACAAATTGGAAAAAAATCTTGTTTTTTTTCTTTTAGGTTTTAGACAGTTTTGATTATCCACATCGTGTCTGGAATCACGTGCGTATCAAGCGCGTGTTTCTCAATTGTCTGTGAGTTTAGCTGTCACGTGGCGTGTACGCGCCATCAAGTGAAGGAAGAGACGAAGTGATGTTTTTAATTTTGTTTACTTGTTTTTGTTTGTCCCTCTGGCTCACCTTTTTACCGAGTGGTCTCTGGGTCCATTCATGTAGAGCCGTAGAGGTGATGAACCCTAAACCGGAAATTAAAGACGGAATTTAATTTGGTTTTGACTTTTGTACAAGGTTTGGGTCATGATACACCACATGTGTTGGGTCGTATCTCTATGTGTGGTGTGTAAAATGTCACGGTCTTACGACTTATAGTTCATTTAGGATCCGATTGATAGACCTTTGTTTTTAATATGCTATTCATTTCAAGAAAATATTATAGTGATCAGACTAGAGTTCGAAACGATTAGAGAGGATGCGATTTGGTTTAAAACTTAAAACGGAAAGATGAATGGTGGTATTATTCCTCAATTGTTAAAAAAAAGTTATAGATTTTGACTCGGAAATTTTTGGTAAATTTGTGAATGTATATTTTGTAGTTCGGAATTCGTTCCCGGATTTCATTAAGTATTAGACTTTAGATATAATTTTTAGAAAATTAGAGAACATTAAATATTTTGTCGAATTGCTATATTTGATAATTTAACCACAAAGTTTTACTGCAGAAATGTTATTAAAAATTAAAAGTTTTTTTACTCAGAAAATTTGGTAATTTCATGAATGTATAGAATGCTTTGAACTTGTTACTCGGATTTTCTAGCATATTTGACTTTTAGAAAATTAGAAAAAATTAGAGTTCATAATCAGCATTTGCTATTTGACCACAATTTTTATTGTGAAAATATTATTAAGAACTAATTTTTTTGACTCGGAACATTTGGAAATTTTATAAATGTATAGCATACAGTTTTGAATTTGTTATTCGATTTTTTTTTTGCATATTTGACTTTGAATCTAATTAAGGAAATTTGAAAAAAATAGAATACATCATAGCATTTGTCGAACTGTTATTTAACCACAAAGTTTTATTGCGGAAATGTTATTAACAACTAAACTTTTTGACTCGGAAAATTTGGAAATTTTATGAATAGATAATATACAGTTTTGAAGTTGTTACTCGAATTTTCTTGCATATTTGACTTTAAACATAATTAAGGAAATTGGAAAAAATAGAGTACATAATAACATTTGTCGAATTGCTATTTAATCACAACTAAACTTTTTGACTCGGAAAATTTGGAAATTTTATGAATTTATAAATTGCAGTTTTGAATTTGTTACTCGAATTTTCTCGCATATTTGACTTTAAACTTAATTAAAGAAATTATAAAACATTATAGTACATAATAACATTTATCAAATTGCTATTTGACCACACATTTTATTGCGGAAATGCTATTCAGAACTAAAGTTTTTGACCTGGAAAATTTTATGAATGTATAGTATAGTATGCAGTTTTGAATTTATTACTGGAATTTTTCTCATATTTGATTTTCAAACTAATTAAGGAAATTATAAAAAGAAAATATTTGATGAATTTGTTTCAACCATATATAAGATTTCACTGCCAAAATATTTATAAGACTTATACTTTTTGATTGGAACTTTGGCAAATTATATTATGCAGTTTTGAATTAATTTCCCTGGTTTTTTCGCGTATTTAACTTTAAAGAAATTAAAATTATTTCACAAATTTTAATTGTGTAGGGGGATGAACCTTATTAATACATTCACTCTTATTTTACAAAATGATATAGAGAAATTCATTGCAAACAACAAATTTGATCAAGTTTTAAAGTAGACATATTCAAAAACTATTTAACATGATATACTTTCTATATATATTTTGTAGATTTTTATTTTATTAGTGTATATACATGTAACATACGATAAGAACAAATTCATTCAAGTTGATAAGCTTGTGGGTTATCATATTTAGGTAAAGTTGCAATTCTGATGTACACGTATCTTTAGTCCAGAATCTAACAAATTGAAATAGAAGATAAACATAATGAGAAAGTAGACCATAATTGTTATATAGCAACTAGGAAACAAAACGAAAGAAATGAAATAATAAAAGGAAAGAAACCAAATCTGTTTGTTTGTTTGGTTGGTTTGGTTCGGTTTAATTCAATTCAAAATCAAAACAAAATAAAAGAAAAATTAGAGACGAGGGACGTGTGAAGAAGCAAAGGCTTAAGATTACTTTTCTAGTTGGACGTGGGACATAACCATTTGTTAAACGTCGCAAAGAAAAACAAAACATTAACTTACAAACTTGCTTTTTCTTCTTCTTCTTCTTCTTTTTCACCTTCTTCTTCAACATTTTACACATAATAACGTGAATTAAATTTACACATTTAAATTTTCGTTGTTACTCGTTGATTTAGGCTAAGCTATTCAATTCTGGTTCTTTGGAAACTCTCCTAATGACTGACCTTTTTTAACCTCCCTGACCATTTGCTTTCTTTCTTTCTTTCTTTAATTTTTTTCTTCCTTTTTATTCAAATTTTGTAAAATTAATAATAATAAATTTATTTGGTAATATGGTAAATTACACATTGCCGTCTCCTCCTAATAATCCTCTTTTCTGTTCCCATTTGTGCTTATTTTTTGTTTTGGTGCTTTTAGAGAGCTCTTTCTCATTTTCCTCCTCATTCTCTCTTTCGTCTTCCTCTCTTCTCTGCAACAAAGCGGTAGGTTTTCTTCTCTTCCTCTCCTGCGTCAATCGATTTTTCTGAAATTTGAATCGTTATGAAGAAGAATCTCTCCAAAGTTCTGTTTTTTGAACTGCCTTTTCCTGAGTTTTTTTTTTTTTTTTTCTGCTCACCCCAAGGTTTCGTTAGATCGATTTTCGTTTCCTATCTCTTATGTATCTGCTTGTTATTTGTTTTGATTTTGGTATTTCCGAGTTTATTTCATTTTTTTCACAAGCTCGATCGAAATTGGTTGGTGGGTTTCATTCATTGTTACCTTTATAATTGTTTTTCTTCAAAATTAGTGGGTTTAATCATCAGAAATTCAGGAGAAATCGCTGTTTTGGTGAATCGATTGTCGAAAGTAAGCGTCTTTGTAAATGGGTTTTAAGGCTTTATTCATCACATTTGAAACGGATCTCTATACTTCGAAGAACTTTGTTTTTGTTTATTGAGAAGTGATCCTTATGATTTCTCTTCTTTGAGTTTATGGATTGTTTGTTTATCAGACGTTGCTTTACCTTCAAGCTGTGGATTTCTTTTACCTTGGTGTTCGATATGTTTGTTTGGTATTGGGACTTTGTGATACTTAAATTCTTAGTCGGTGAATTGTGAAACTCAATAGGTTTTGTTAGTTGATATGTCAGGGATGCTATATTATTGGTGAGACTGTACTTGTTTTGAGTTGCGTTTAAGCTTATACATATTGATATTTCTCCTCTTCTAATGCCATTGTGGTGGTGGTTGAGTAAACTCTTTTCTACTATATTGTTTTTGTTTTGTTTCAAGTGGCATGGTTGTTGTATGGTTCAACTTTTTGTTAGAGCAAAATTGAAGTTTTTTGTGCTTGGAATGGTGGTTACATATGTATTGTCTTGTTAACAGCTCATTTCTCATCAGTTTCTTGCTAAAGCTTTCGTCTTTTAGTTAGGAGTCACATCTATGAGTCAGTCTCCATCTGTGTATACACGTAATTGCATCTTTCTGTAGAGCACTAGTTGCAGCGTTTTTGCTGTTGAGTGAGCTTTTGCTCCTTAAGCTCTTTTCTAGGTGAAGATGGTTATATGATTGTACATGCAATTACATTTCTAGGAGCTATATCTTGATTGAGTGTTTGTTTTTGTGTTTCTTCATAATTGAAATGTCACTGTGACATATTGAAGCCTTTTCCTCATCTTTGTTAATGAAAGATTTGCTGTTTTTGTTCTTTTGCAGTCTCCTCATTAGGCACATTGTTGAGAGCAAGGAAGAGTCTCGTTAGTTCTCTTCTCCCAAGTGTAACGGTGGTTAAAGCATAGCCGAGATGCAGGGAGAGAGGGCCAGTCTCGGCTACTTATCAGAGGCCTTGAACTTTGAGCACGGTTCTACCTCAAGTAATGGTGGGATAGATCACTGGGAGAATATTCACAGTCTTGGTGATAATGACTTGCAGGACTACATGATTGCAAACGCTGAATCAAGCACGTCACATGCAAACTCAGTTTATCGTGAGCAGCATGATCTACACAGGTTTAGCCTCGGTGAGGCTAGCTCTAGTGGCACGAAGAACGAAGCTGCCAGTCACAATGAGCAACGAAGAAATGAAATAATTGATTTAGACTCATTGTTCGAAGAACCTCCTCCCGCAAATCAACCTGTTCAGAATGTCAATTTGAATGCAGAATATATTGAAATTCCCGATGATATTAGTCCTGTTAGGGATCGGTCTGGTTTCTTTGAAGCTAATGGAGGACCAGGGAGCAGGGTTTCACAACCTGGTAGACCTTTCGAAGATAATAGTGTTAGAACAGGTCCGTCTGTAGATGGGCGTCGTGTGTCCTGCAAGAGGAAAGCTCTTGAAGGTAGCATTGGTCAATCTTCTTCAGGAGGTTATCGTGATTTTCAGCATGGAGAAAGTAGTAGTTCGTGGAGCTCAGCTTCTACGGTGTATAGGCCAGGAAATGGTTTAAACATATCTGGCTCTCTTGACCATGGTTCCAGAGGAGTGGTCTCTGGTACTCTTCCAAATTTTCCTGTTCCTGCAACTGCAGAGAGCTCCAGTAGGAATATAAATCAGCAAGAAACTGTAAACCCAGCTGCCTTTTCTGCGGGAACTGTTGTCAGGCGACTAGCCGCTCCATCTCAGCCACACTTATCTAGACATCTACCATCAGATCAACAACGTCTGCTGGACATGAGACATGGCCAATCTTTAGGCAATGTCTTTTCTCGTAACACAAACGCTCCTGTTATGAGACCACCTGTTTCAAGGAATATGCTACCACCGTTTCAGTTGACTGAGGGCTCAATGGCGGCTGGATCATCAAACTCTACCGCGCCCGTTGAGAGAAACCTTCATGTAGATGAAACCAGGTCAAGAATCATATCCGGGAATATTCTAGAGAACCCCTTGTTTATTCCAACTCCTGAGCTCCGCAGTCAGATTAGCCGAAGTGCAACAAGTGGAAACCTGAATATTGCGTCGTCAGCGTACAGGACGGGCTCAACAACAGGTGTTCAACCATCATCTGCCAATCTGGCATGGACTTCCTACCAGAATATACCACATCATCAAAGAAGAAGATCCGAACTTGTTCGTAGGTCACTGATTTCTTCCCTTGCTGTAGATGCTGCAAACCAGAGATCCGGTGATCATCAAGCACCTCGTTCCCTGGCTCCTCCTGCCTCTCCGGATGGGCTTGTGCTTCCGCCTGGTGGTGATAATAGTCAGATGCATAGTCGGGCTTACGCGAGAGCAGCTTCTTGGCTTGATAGGCAAGGGGATAGTGTGGTCGGGGTTCCTCATACTTTCCGGGCCTTGGCAGCTGCAAACAGAGGACGAAATAGACTTATGGTTTCACAGGTCAGTCTAGACAAGTTCTATTGTCATGAAGCGTCTAACGTGGATGGTATTTGTTAGCTTTGGTTCATTCAGTTGCGCATATATACCATACTCTTTTCTTTTTCCTCGAGTAACCACTCAAATAGAAGTGACAATGCGCTTCTCTTTTACACAGATGCAGAATGTCTTGGATGTCATGCGTAGGGATGCTAATAATAACTTGCGGCTTGAGGTTTGTGTTTCCTTCAGCTTCAGTCATTTTAAGACTATTGCAAAGTTATCTAAATTCGACTTTATCTTGTGTTTGTCCAGGACGTTATGCTTCTAAATCAGTCAGTGCTGTTTGAAGGAGCTACTGGTATGCATGATCGTTATAGAGACATGCGACTTGATGTAGACAACATGTCATATGAGGTACAAAACCAATACCGAACTCGAAAAATCTTTGTCGAGGTCATGTAAAATCTTGAAAAACTCACTCGTTCGGTTCATGAACTTTTAGGAACTGTTGGCACTAGAAGAGAGAATTGGAGATGTTTGTACTGGCGTAAACGAAGAAACCATATCCAACCGGTTGAAGCAACGAAAATACAAACGCAGTGCAAAATCTCCACAAGATACAGAGCCATGCTGTATTTGTCAGGTAAAAAAATCCGGTGACTTGTTGCGAATAACAATAAGAAAGATTTGATATTTTTCGTCTGAGCATGAATGGTGAAAACTTGGCGCAGGAGGAATACACTGATGGAGAAGACATGGGGACGTTAGAGTGTGGGCATGATTTCCATAGCCAGTGCATAAAAGAATGGCTGAAACAGAAGAATCTATGCCCAATATGCAAAACCACAGGCTTGAACACAGCGAAGAAGCGAAGAATAGGATGAATGATTATGCAAAAGAGCTTTTTTCTTCTTCTTCTTAATAACAATTCAGTTTATAAACAAGAAATGAAAGAAGCAAAAGAAAACCTTCTAGCTTCCACCATTGCAGAGCCTCTTTACCTGAATGCCATCACAGGCAAGTTGGTCCCCATTTTCTCTTCTTTGAATATAATTTGTTCGCATAGTCATGAGTATGAGAAGATGATTTGAGGATCATGATTTGGCTGGTGGAAAGATTTGTGATTGAAGGTTAAAGATGTAGGGAGGGTGATAGGGCAATGTTGAGAGAATGGAATTGTTTTTCTTTTGTTCTGGATTTGTTTGAATAATTTTAATTTTATGAAACCATTTGAAAAAAAAGCATAAAGCTGAATGGGCAGATTTTGAGATTTCCTTAGAAATGTTTATATGATTTACATTGATATGCCTATGTTTTGTTTTGTGATGGTGGCCCCTTGTTTTTCTTTTTTACTCAAAACTTTTAGCTTTATCAAGAACTTAAAAATACACAAGTCTTAAAAACGTTGTCCTGACTTCTCTAGCTAGCTTCATTGCAGTGACAAGGCATGAATCTTGTTCACTGCCTTGAACTAGGGGGATGTGACTTTGACGATCTCTTTGAAATATACCCATTTTACCATTTATATCCTTTACACTAGGCTATTTGCATCGCATTGAGTTAGGCTAGATCCTTGGAGACCACCCCAACATTTTGAAGCACCATATCAATCGCATATAATCCAACACGAGTAATCCAAAGTTTTTGCGATTCAAGAAATGGAAACTCCTCCCCAAAAGATAAGGGACAGCTCCTAGGCTCAAAGTCATCACTGCACTATAAAATATTCAGAAAAGTAATATAAAGAAAGAGAGAAGAAGAGCATGTGGTCCATTATTGAAGTTATGGAGAAGACGAAACATTTGGACAAAGAGCAGTGCCATGCTGAGAGATGGAGAGCAACAAGAACAGGACCATGGCTTGGTTATATCGTTTTATCTCTTCACTTACCTTTTTCCTTTGTTTTACTATGAAGTTGTAGCTGTTATAATGTTGAAAATATTTGTATTTATGTGTGTGTGATTCATTTTCATGTGTTAATTGCGTAAAATAAAATGATAATTTATGGAGTGGTCTTGGATATCATATTATTCGTAGTAAGATATAAACTTGGATTTTGGGTGTTGCTGTTTAAGGCGTCTTAGAGACTTGAGTGTTTCTGTTGAAGATTTTTCAATGGTTCTTAGCTTCTTACAATAAAAAGAAAAAAAAAAGAATAGCCGAGTATTTTCTACTATCAGAATATTTTATCATACACTAGTGGAGTATATGGTTCATTTAAATATTTAAAACTCGATAACTTGAAAACCCTAATAGGCTATCACATCACTTTTCTTCTACGATTATCTTCTCTTTATTCATCACATTTTAATCACTGTGAGTTGAAATTTCATTGCTAAGTAGTATGGACTTATGGTAAGCATTTTAAACCTAACAGACGTGGAGAATGTAAGAAAAGTTCATAAAAGTTGAGGGAGTTTATGTTTTTAGCACGTGGTCAAACTTCTACTACGGTCTTAAAGGACAATCCGTTAACAAAAAGTAATGTCGCGTAATGAAATAATGTTACTCCAGTGTTTATTTTCCTGGTTATATAGTTGGATTGAAGTTTAGTTTAAACTTTAAAGTAATCATTTCTAAAAACTTAGATGTTGTAGGATTTTCACTTAGATTAAAAGATAATTAATACATAGCTTTAAATGCATTATTATTCTCTCACTAACCATTTTATCATTAATATAAACCAATAGCAATTGAACAATGTTTTTGGATTTCACAATCAAATTTGAACAATGTTTTTGGATTTCACAATCAAATTACATTTATTAATAAACAATAAAAAAAATCTAAAAAACAAGTTTTGTTGAAAATTCTAAAACATTAAGTTTTTAGAAACAGAGAGAGTATATAATAAAATATTCTTGTTTTTGTTTTTTGTTTTGAAGAGTAAATTGATTGTTTCTGTGATTATATTTAAAAACAGTGCTGTTAATTATTAAGGCAATCTAATTGTTTAATACCTATGAGATCCTTCAAATTATCTTGGTCTCCACCCTATCAATAGGTTTATACATATACAACCCATGTGTGAATAATTTTAGCTTTTGGATCTAGACCAACCTCCATACTATGACCCATCCACAATCGTAATCTTCTGAAAAATATATAATAAGCAAATCCAAAGCATAAACTCGTGGCAAAAATATTAAAATATATTTAACCTAACATTATATAAGTACACAAAGGTAAGATGGCTTAACTTGCAAAGCAACTCTTCAAAGTTTTGAATCTCATAAACTTTTGACATTTGTTTAACAAATAAAAAAACCCAAATGTCTCAAACCGAAAACCATTTTGTGTTGGATCCAAGAGAAGCCACCTTCTCGGAATTGATACGTCTCCTCTTCTCCTCGGATCTCGGAAACAGAAAGTTCATCCATTCTTCTGAAGAGAGTGTTGAATATGATCCTTGTAGATTCCGGCGACGATGGATCATCTTTGTGTCCATCGTTATTCAGAAACTCTTGATTCTCCTAAAGAAACCTCTCTACTTTTTGGGATTCACTCTTTCTTTTTGGCTCAACCTTCTTTCTTCCAATGGTGGCTTCTTCATGATGCTCCCAAATCTTTTCGAAGGTCAGATTTTCTTTTGACTTTCTTGTTTAGAAGTAGAACCAATCAGCTAACTGCATTATAAATAAATTACAACGTTTCATATATACGTATAAATTTTAATTATAATAAAAAAAAGAAAAACACGTATAATTTCTTCATTTAATCATCAACGTCTCAAATGGAGAGACTATGAAGATATATATAGACAAATAATTGTTGCTATGGCTATGAATTATTCTTCAGAAAAAGATTATGCGTGAATGAGGTAGTAAGTTACTCCAAGAGGTTTTCTGCTTTATCAATCATCTTATCAAGTAAACGCAATTGTTGTGACCAACAAAAACAAAAACAAGTAAACGCAATTGCAACAAGCCATCAATTAAATATTAAGTAAAGAAAAATAAGACTGGGACACGTAACCAATACTACTAAGTACTAACATGAGTTTAGAATTATCTTGAATTATTGTCTTTTGAACCCCTAGTTAAGTTTGACTTTAATGTTATTGTTTCAGGAAAGTTTATGTGGCCAGAAGAAACATCAGCGACATTTGCATCGCTAAACGGAAACCTAGACCCACGATTTGAGTTAGACCGGACAATTGAGAGAGGAAGTAAAAGATACAAAGCAATGTTGTCAATTATGGCTTCTAAGCTGTCTTACGAGAACGTTAACTTTGTTAGCTCTGTTCTTCACAACCACTGGAAGGTTTTTTTACTTAACTCTTCCCTTTTTAGTATAAACAATCTTCTTCATTAATTGTTTTTCACAACACTTAACCTTAAGAGAACAAATAGGAAACTTTATCAAAAAAACACTCACCATAAAGAAAACTTTAGAGGCACTGTTTGTTTTGTTTAAGTTAATTATTTTGAGAAGAAAAAAGATTACACTTTACAGAAGCAGCCTTGCTCATGTATATTCGCATTTTACCATAAAAATGGACTTTTGGATTAATCTTATTGATATACCACATATAAGGTCATTTATCATACTAAAAAAAGAGAATTTGAACTGTTCTCACGAAAATTACACTCAATATTGTCTAAAAGTAGTTTCTAAGCTTATTTTGTTATCCTAAATAACACAAATTTGAAAGTTTTTTCTTGTAAGTTGAAGGTAAATTTCCCTTTTCCTTGTACAATACGTAACGTGGTATTTAAAAATACGGCAGCTGATGCAGATCTTCGCCAAATTATTAAAGTTTATCTTATAACTGTATAAGTTTTTTATAAGCATTAATTTACAAAAAATAAATAAATATAACTAGAAGCATGATCATGCATGATTTTCTTTGATTTAAGAAATAATATAAAATCAAACTTATAATCAGTTTTTTGTTTGTTCAATTATTCTATTCATAGATGGACTTATTGGGTTTCTACAGCTGTTGGAATGGTGAGACTTCTTTCCCTTTTTATATTAAAAGATAATACAAATAATCAACTGAATTAGTCGAAAAAAGCAAAGACCATGTGATAATAGTATGACACTGTCTCATCTCTCATTATCTCATCTGTGGAATATTTTGTTTTTCCTTACCAAAATGAATTTGATTCCAAAAGACCAAGACCAAAATGAATTTAATTTGATTCCAAAAGACCAAGACCAAAATGACTAATACTTTCATCATTGGACTCAGGTTACCAGAAACAAAGGTCAACAGAGGTGATTGTTATAAAGGACACAACTACTGATCCGAACCTCATCGTCGTCAGTTTCAGAGGCACTGATCCTTTCGACGCGGATGATTGGTGTACCGACTTAGACCTCTCATGGTAAGTTTCTTCTCTTTGTTTTAATTTATTCCACACACACAAACTTTCATTATGTAGTTGACTTTAGATTAGTTTTTATTCGGTTTAGGCTGTCCTAATCAAACCAATGTTCATTTCCAAAAAAATTGTATAGGTACGAGATTAAGAATGTGGGAAAGATCCATGGAGGGTTCATGAAAGCTTTAGGTCTTCAGACAGAAGGATGGCCTAAAGAAGAAAAGTTCGATAAAACCCAAAAAGAACAAACTCATTATGCGTACTACACTATTAGGCGTTACTTAAAAGAGATTCTTGACCAAAACCCGACATGCAAATTTATCCTGACCGGACATAGCCTAGGTGGGGCTCTAGCGATTCTATTCACGGCCGTGTTGGTGATTCACGGCGAAGAGGAAATGCTAGAGAAGCTCGAAGGAGTTTACACGTTTGGGCAGCCACGAGTAGGAGACCATGAGTTTGGAAAGTTTATGAAAAGTTCGTTGAAGAAGTTTGAGGTGAAGTACGAAAGATATGTTTATTGCAATGACATGGTTCCTAGGTTGCCTTTCGACGACAAGACACTCATGTTCAAACACTTTGGGCCCTGCCTTTACTATGACAGTTTCTATAGAGGAAAGGTTAGTTATATTCTTGTTTCCCATTTAAATACTTGTCCTACTAGTGATATATCTAAATTGCATGGCCATTATTTGAATTTATGTTCAGGTAGAGGAAGAGGAACCAAACAAAAACTACTTCAACATCTTATGGGCTATACCGAAGATAATGAACGCGGCGTGGGAGTTGATAAGGAGTTTCATCATACCGCATTGGAAAGGTGAAGAGTACAAAGAAGGATGGCTCTTGAAGTGTTTTAGGGTTGTCGCATTGTTGATTCCTGGATTGCCTGCTCATTTTCCTAACGAGTACGTTAATGTCACCCTCTTGGGAGACTTGACTGATTCGCACCTTGACTAAAATTTGATTCTGTCGTTTCCAAATTCTCTTTTGTATAATAATGATCACGATGACACGATATATGTGTTCAACTTTGAATAAATGAAGATCGTCGAGAAGTAATAAAATGGATTATTTTTTATTTTTATTTTTTTGGTATTATTATGTTGAAGTGCCTTGGTTTAGTTAAGGATTCTTTAGTGTACCAGAAGATCTGTAGTTCGAATCTCGGAAAATGCAATTTACTGTCATTTATACAAATTATTGAAGACATGTTTGTAGAAGGTTCAAAACTGGTGATCGTGGTACACCAGAAGATGAAATTATTCGTTGCAGACATTATAACATTTATAATCATTTGTGATAATATGATAAATCAAGTGAAAAAATAATAATAACACGAGTTACAATTATTTATTTAATATGTCATGCTCACATTGCAAGCATTTATCCCATTTTGTATAATAAAATGAAATTTTTTAACCTTTTGAGGTGTTAATTTTTAAAAATACATTTTCATGGTTTTAATTTTTAAAATTACATTTTATTCAAAATTTAACATCTAATTTTGAGTTCATCCCTATTAAAGTTTAGATTTTGAGGTTTATAATTTAGATTTTAGAGTTTAATATTAGATATATCCTAAATTTATGGTTTAGACTTTAGATTTTAGGATTTATCCCTATTTTACTCAATGAAAAAAAATGTAACTTTGGAAAAAAAGAGACATGGTTTTGAAAATGTACACCAAAAAATTAAAAAATAATGTATGTTTAAAAAATTTACCCTAAAAATATTAAAGAGAGAGAGAGTAAAGAAATGCCGTCTACACAAAAAAGGGAAAAAAGAGGCAAAATTTCTCAGTAAGTTTATAGAGACTGAGAGAAGTCGTGAGCAAATCTGGCAATCGTGAGATGGATCTAATTCAGTCCTACGACGAAGAAGCCGTTTCTTCCTCGCCGGAATCTTCGCCGCCTCGTATGCTGAAGGCGAAATCATCGGCGCCGGAGGTAGACGATACGGCACTAGCTCTGACGGTGGCTAACGTGAACCAATCGAAATCGCAGCCGATCAATCCCACCCAACACGCCGTAGTGTTTAACCCTACTTACGACAGCTCTGGGCTCCGATCTACGGCCCTGCGCACCCGTACGCCAAAGACGGGATCGCGCAGGGGATGCGGAACCACAAGCTAGGGTTTGTGGAGGACGCGTCGATTGGCTCCTTCGTTTCGACGAGCAGTACAACACTTTTCAAAGTACGGTTACGCGGCAGATCCGTCCGGGTTGAATTACGTCGGCGATATGGAGGCGTTGAAGCAGAACGACGGTGGTTCTGTCTACAAATCCCGCAGAGCGAGCAGAAGCGGAGGAAGCTTGAGATGAAGAAGGAGATACAGAAGGGGAAGAGAAAAAGAAGGAGCTTGAGCCGGAGGCTGAGAATCCGGCGACAGAAGCTTGGCTTTGAAGAATAGGAAAAGCCCATGGTCAAGGAAGAAGGAGGTGGTTCAGGGAGAGTTGACGGAGGAGCAGAAGAAGTACGCAGAGGACCACGCGAAGAAGAAGGAAGAGAAGGATCAACAAGGCGAAGCCAAAGGAGAGCATTTCGCGGATAAGAGCACTTTCCATGGCAAGGAGGAGAAAGATTACCAAGGGAGGTCATGGATCGAGGCTCCTAAAGACGCAAAGGCAACAACGATCACTGCTACATCCCCAAACGTCTGGTTCACACATGGAGTGGTCACACGAAAGGCGTTTCCGCTATTCGCTTCTTCCCAAAGCAGGGCATTTGCTTCTCTCTGCAGGTATGGATTGCAAGGTCAAGATTTGGGATGTGTACAACTCTGGTAAATGTATGAGGACTTACATGGGTCACGCCAAAGCTGTGAGGGATATTTGCTTCTCTAACGATGGGACTAAGTTCTTACTGCTGGGTATGATAAGAACATTAAGTACTGGGACACAGAGACTGGCCAAGTTATATCGACTTTCTCCACCGGGAAGATTCCGTATGTGGTGAAGCTGAATCCGGATGATGACAAGCAGAACATTTTGCTGGCTGGTATGAGCGATAAGAAGATAGTGCAGTGGGATATCAACACGGGGGAGATTACGCAGGAGTATGATCAGCATTTGGGTGCGGTTAATACGATCACGTTTGTGGACAATAACAGAAGGTTTGTGACGTCGAGCGATGATAAGTCTCTCCGTGTGTGGGAGTTTGGGATCCCGGTGGTGATCAAGTATATCAGTGAGCCTCATATGCACTCTATGCCAGCGGTTTCTGTTCACCCGAATGGGAACTGGGTTGCTGCTCAGAGTTTGGATAACCAGATTCTGATCTACAGTGCCAGAGAGAGGTTTCAGCTGAACAAGAAGAAGAGGTTTGCAGGGCACGTTGTTGCTGGTTACGCATGCCAGGTTAATTTCTCGCCGGATGGACGGTTTGTTATGTCAGGGGATGGTGAGGGTAAGTGCTGGTTTTGGGACTGGAAGAGCTGCAAAGTGTTTAGGACTCTTAGATGTCACAATGGAGTCTGCATTGGAGCTGAGTGGCATCCTCTGGAACAGAGTAAAGTCGCAACTTGTGGTTGGGACGGCCTGATTAAGTACTGGGACTAAGACAAGATAGAGAGAGAGTAGTAAAAGGCGCAGAAATGAGGGCCGAGCCTGGGCTATAAGTCTGGTTAAGTTTTGTTTTCCTCTGTTTTGTTAGATTCTTCAATGTTGTAGCAATCTCGATTTTAATGGATTATGTAGAGTGACGTACCAAAACAATTTCAAATGCTTGAAAGAAGCTTTTTGCTTTTGCTTCTGAGACTTGGAGATTCGCAGAAGCTGTGTTATTCGCATTTGTTTTTTTTTTTTTTTTTTTTGCTCGAACATCAATTTTATTCAATCCAACAAACTTAGACTACATTAACTTGTCTTCCCGTGGTTGCAGTCCGGGCCACATCTCTTTCCCATGTACGAGATCCACTACTGTTTGAGAATCAGTCTCAAAGGTTATCTCTCTGTAGTCCAATCTGATCATTGAGATGATAGCCCATCTTAGAGCCTCCAACTTTGTTATTTGGGCATCTCACACAAGATCCTTCCTTTGCTATGTGTCTGGATAATAGATTTCCTGCAACTGGGAGGCTGTTGCTGATACATTTCCATAGGAAATGCTGGACCTTTGGACTTGCATCGCTTCTCTGTCTCTTAGTCTTATCTGCATTTGAACCCAATATGCAGATTTGACTGTATAGTTCCCTGTCTTGGAGAAGTCCCAAGTGTAAGTATCCTCTACGTTCTGTCCCCAAGGTCTGATCTCCTCTATTAAGGCTCTGTCTTCTTCTGCAAAAAAACTCCTGCACTAACGCTCTCACGACCTCCATTGGTTAAGACTTCTTCTATCGTGAGATCTTCCTGAAGTAGATCGTTGTATTGGTTGTTGACTCCTATAGCCACTGTTGGGGGCCGAGCTGGTTTTTGATTCTATACATGGGTGCTTCCAGGCCAAAATTTGCTTGCCATTACCAATCACATGTCTACTTCCTTCCTTGAGAAGTTCTTGAGCTTCGTGTATAAATCTCTTCCAAGCAAAAGATGGTCTTTCGCATTTACAAGTGTATGATTGGTGTATTTATCATTTTTGTAATTAAAAAAAAAAAAGAGTAAAGAAATGCCGAAAATAATTATATAAAAAAATAATATTGTTTTTGCCGTTTTTTGTTTTAACGGAGCTGTGACTGGAGGTGGAGGAAGGGGCCAAACGGAGGAAAAAGGCAATGGAGGACGGCGAAATAGAAGAAGGAATGATAACGGCGGAGGAAATCCCGACGTCGGAAGTAGCGACTGAAACAATAGCACCACCGCGAGAGGCTGGGAAATCTCCACTCGAGCTGCTCCGTGAGAGCAAAACCTCCGTGGAGGAAATCGTCACTACGATGCTCTCAATCAAAAAAGAAGGAAATCAAAAATCGGAGATTCGAGAACTCCTCACACAGATGTGCCTCAACTTCGTTAATCTTCGTCAGGTTAGGGTTCTTCACACTATATCCTCCTCAGCCATTCTCTAAAACAAAAAAAAAACTTAGGGTTTTTCGTTCTCTTTTCACAGGCGAATCGTTCGATTCTGACGGAGGAAGACAAAGTAAAGGCGGAGACGGAACGAGCAAAGGCACCGGTCGATTTCACGACACTGCAATTGCACAATCTCATGTACGAGAAGAGCCATTACGTCAAAGCTATTAAAGCTTGCAGAGATTTCAAATCCAAGTACCCTGACATCGATCTCGTCCCCGAAGAAGATTTCTTCCGCGATGCTCCTGAAACCATCAAAGATCAATTGCTCTCGACTGATAGTTCTCATGTTCTGATGCCCAAGAGGCTCAATTTCGAGCTCCATCAGGTACATTTTCATCAACTTCCTTCATAATTTGGTAGAAATGATTTGAATGTTGAAGAACTTTTATACGATTCTTGATTCAGCGTAAAGAATTGTGTAAGCAACGAGCGAGATTGGAGCAACAGAAGAAGAGTTTACTGGAAACAATTGCAGAGCGCAAGAAGTTCTTGACAAGTCTTCCTCTACACCTAAAGTCTCTAAAGAAAGCATCACTTCCTGTACAGAGCCAGTTAGGTATACACCACACAAAGAAACTGAAGCAGCATAATCTAGCTGAGCTGCTTCCTCCTCCGCTTTACGTAATATACTCACAGCTCTTGGCACAAAAAGAAGCTTTTGAAGAGAGCATCGAATTAGAGGTAGTTGGAAGCCTTAAGGATGCTCAAGCTTATGCTCGACAACAATCGAAAAAGGACACAGGTAAGTCGTTGTAAGAGCCTTTACTGTGTTCTGATGCTGATGACTGAAATTCGAGAGGAATGCTGATTTGGTATCATGTTATTCAGGTGTGTCTAATGGTGTAGAGAGTTCTAGGTTGGAGGATGATGGACCTGATGATGATGATGATGGACAAAGGAGAAGAAAGCGACCGAAGAAAGTTACTAGCAAAGAAGGTTCTGACAAGGCGGGGTTATATCAAGCCCACCCTCTCAAGATTGTTCTTAACGTATATGATGATGATATGAAATCCTTGAAGCTTGTCATTCTCAAGTTTGAGTACTTGCTGAAGTTGAATGTTGTATGCGTCGGCGCTGAAGGCTCTCAGGATGGTCCAGAGAACAGTATATTTTGTAACTTATTTCCTGATGATACTGGACTTGATCCTCCTCATCAGGTATACTTTATCTTTTACTCGATTTCGTGTTTCTGTTTTCTTACAAGTTTGCTTTTTAAAAATGCATACTGACTTTCTCTTGGTATGGTGTCCGTCTCCAATGCAGTCGACGAAGCTCGTCCTTGGTGATGGTCAAGCATTTGACGAGAGCCGAACTTCGAGGCCTTACAAATGGGTACAGCATTTGGCGGGGATTGATATTTTGCCAGAAGTGTCACCGATTTTATTTGGCCAAGATTCTCAAAACACTGATTCTGCTAAAACCGATGCGTTTGTGCCTGATCTGTCATTGTATCGCCAGCAACATAGGGTGCAAACAGTTCTGCAAAGAATACGTGCGCGGAAAAAAGCGCATCTGGCTCTTGCGTGAGTCCCTATTCTTGTATGTTTTTCCGTCTTAAAAACTTGTGCCATCAGCATATGCTTGGTACAATTAATGGTTTGGTTTTCTAAAGAACTTGGCAGTCAACAACTTTAAACCTTTGCTTCATTGTCAACTTTGTGCTTAAGAGCTTTCGTGGGTGATTATTTTGTGTTGATATGTTTATTTTTATTGGTTACTTGCAGGGAGCAGCTTGGTATGCTTATGAAGCACCATCTGCCTACTGTGAACTGCGAAGATGCTCCATGGGCATTGCATAAGGTTCTCTGTGCTTTGGATTCCTGGTTGTTACATACACTATCTACAGCTAGTAAGTCGAGTCTGAATAATACCGAACAAGCTCCAGAGCCTATGGAGATCGATGCAGATGGAAGGTCTATTTCTGGAAAGGAGGATCTCGAAGGTATACGGGAAGATGGAGAACTTCCCTCTTTGGTCACAGCAGCTGCGGCTTCTTCGATAACCAGTTCCAACCAGACCCCATCGAAAGTATCTAATCTAGCACGGTCCAGGCAGTTGGCTCTGATGACAAAGAACCTAGATTCTCCAGTTAGCAAAGGGAAGTCGCTGAGTTTCAAGAAATACGAAGATGATTTGGATCTTGTTCTGCATGATGATAGTGAATTAGATGAGCCGGCAGGAACAACCGATGCGGATTTGGAAGCGTTTTCCCCTGAGAAACCTGATAATTCATGGGTGGATTATGGCGCGAGAGAGTTTTCGCTTGTGTTTTCCAGGAAAACAAATGGTGGAAAGTTGTGGAAGTTAGAAGCAAAGGTAACTTGTATAATCGCTATATTCTCTATATCCTTTGTCTGTCTCATGTGTTGAAAATTTGAGCTGTATTTGGCAGGTACTGATTAGCATGGAGTATCCTCTTCGACCTCCTTTGTTTTCTCTGTCTCTCCATGCTTCTTCTTCTTCCGGAAACGACAAGGGGACAAATGAAAGTGACCATTACAATGAACTACGAGCTATGGAAGCAGAGGTAAAGTGTTAGCCCAGTAAAACATATACACCAATCTTAACTCGGTGATACCACTTTTTGTAATTTTTTTCTTGGTGGTTAACAGGTGAATCTTCATATGTTGAAGATTGTACCTCCAGATCAAGAAAACTATCTCCTATCTCATCAAATCAGATGCTTGGCAATGCTGTTCGACTATTACGTTGACGACCCTTCTCCAGATTCAAAAAGAGGAACAGCCACAAGTGTGGTTGATGTGGGTTTGTGCAAGCCTGTAGACGGTAAGCTTCTTGTGAGATCATTTAGAGGCAGAGATCACCGGAAAATGATCTCGTGGAAGGATAGAGGATGCGCTTCGGGATATCCATGCTAGAGAGATTACATCGCCACCCACTTCTTCTCTATTGTATCTTTCCCGGTTGGTACAAACAAAGCTTTCTCTAAAGATAAACCAATTTTCTAGTTTCCCGCATGTTATAGTTTCTGCCTAGTGTTGGTATCGTGGATTGAATTTTAGATCTTGTGACTTAGATCTTGGTATCGTATGCATTTTTGTGAACGTCTTGAATCTTGATGGATAGTGTTGAATGGATTAAATGTGGTTGACTCTTGACTATTGATGTATGAATAAATTATAAGCGTGTAGCATTTGACCATGAAACCAAATTTGATATTTTTATTTGAATGTCTACCGTTCTAGATTGGGACACAAACAAAGACATGTAATTGTTTTGCTTGAATCTCTACTGTTCTTGATTATTATCTGTGTGGAGATTTAGTTCCAAGTACTTTGTAGTATTGAAAGTAATGTGCTCTGAACAGGAATCAATTTTCATATATAGCTAGATCTAAGAGTTGAGAAACCCTCTAAGTTTCAGCATATTTCAACTCGTTTTGCTCGTTTGTTTCTTTTTCCTACTGAAAACTGTCACGTATGTGGTGGTGGTTAGAAATTTGATAGGTTGTAGAAGACGAAAAGAAACAGCAATGATGAGTTCATAGTAAATATGTGGGACTAGTAGGCATTATATATTTTGAAAGTTATATTAATAACTATTATTTAAGTCTCGAATAAAAATAACTTTTGGATCCATCCCTGAACCATAACAATCCAAGTCACTGGGACATTCACCAAATGGGTAGAAGAACAACAACAAAAATGTCACTTACTAAAAAAAGAAAATTTAGTCATAAAACTGCTGAAACAAAAATATTAAGAACACACATCCACTTATAATCCTCCAACTCGCGTTTCAATGATTCACTGGATGTCCGATTTCGTTCTCCTCAGCTTTGTCTGGGATCGTCCTTGAAGGTTAACCATCCCCTTCACCTGTTAGAACAAGGGTTCATCTGGTTAATTATTTGCAAAAAAACACACAATTCATATGATAACACTACTTTTTAAAATCATGTACAAATAAACACACAATTTAACTATAGTTTTGTCACAACGTGTATCTTTTTCTATAAATCTGTCATCTACCTAAATCACCATATTACTTAATCAACTAAGCAACCAAAATACGACCATAATGCTAAGCTGAAAAGATAAGAGTGTGGGAAGTGGGATCAATATATTACCAGTTTGGTTTGCATTTTCGACATCTCCGCCTGTCCAACACAAAATAAATCAACGTGAGAAAGTCTTTGAGAAGCAAATATCGATATTTGATGAATTAGAACATCTTTTGTTACCTGTTTCCTTAGTAGATCTATATTCTCTTTCTTTAACTTTTCAACTTCAGCTTCAAGCTCCATAACTTGAGCCTAAAAAACACAAAATGATAAAATTTGCTGTCTAAACACAACCAATCAAGATGTATAGATAAGAATATATTAAACATTTCCTGTTTACCTGCTTTCGAGCCCGCGATCTTGTTGCTGATTCTCGGTTCTTGATCTTTCTCATTTGCACTTTGTCAATGCCTCTCCTCGCCACGGTTATGCCATAATTATTCATCATACCCATTACACTACTACCACCACTACAAATGTATGGAGATGGTGCGGCTAAGGAAGTACCGAAATTAGTCATCCTAATGCCATCTAATACCGGAAATTGCGTAACTGGTGAACATGTTCCTACACTCATGCCTCCACTAGGGATTGTCATGTTCTTTTCTTGGTGACTTTGGTTTCCAATTCCCATGAAACCCTCTATTCCATTACTACTAACCTGACCACTCGTAAAACCGGTTTGTATCCCTTGACCATAACCGTAACCATAACCATATGGTTGTTGCGGCAGCAACTGATTTTGTTGTGGCTGTTGTTGCTGAGGCTGATATGTTGGCATAGAGCCATTCACACTTGGATGCAAATTAGAACCATGATTCATACTCCTTGGAACACCATTGTTCAACACATCGGAAACCATTGGCCGCTGCTGAAACTCACCATTCAAACTTGTGTTTGGGTCATGAATGTAGCCAGCATTGCTGCTATCTCCTGTGGCGCCAGCGCGGAGTAGAAACTCTTCAAGAGTGACTTCCCCTAAAGTTGGTTGCTTCTGAAGATGAGGAGTGTTTGTTCCTCCTCCATAATTGTTGGTGTGTACACCTTCCTCTGTGACATATTTCCAAACTTCATCAACAGTTTTCTGGCTTAGCAATCGAGGCAGAGCAATTGACCCTTGTCTCTGTAGTCCCATGCCATTAGTTGAAACCATGCCTTGTGTTTCTTCAGTATTACATATACTCTTAAAGAACTCTTCCATGTTCATTTGCCCACAATCTCTCCCTAAGTTGTCCTGGATCTGGTCAAGTGTCATTGAGTAGATTGATCCTTGTTGGCTCAAAGGAGTACTTTCCAGTTGTCTGTTCATAGCTCCCGGTGCATCAGTCCCTAAGCTGTTGAAATTCCAGTTGATATCCATTTCGGAAGAATCCAACGACAGTAATATCACCTGCCAGAAAATAGAGTGTATTTAGTGATAAAGATAATTTTTAAACATGATAGTTCAATCAGAAAATGACTATGCTCTTAGAAAAAATGAAAATTTAACCTTTGAATGTAAGAGCTTTTGTGGTTAGAATCCTGCAAATACTGGAACTAACTCCATGTATTAGATGATACAATATTATAGTTTGCAACACAAGCCTATTTGAAGAAATAGATAACCAAAGAGGAAGACCCAAATTTATGCAGGAAACAAAATATTCATTTTTTGTTTGTTCCTGTCATAAGATTCAGTGAAGCAAAAGGTAATATAATCTAAGCTGAGTAAGCATATTATCTCAATGTGGTAAGAAATCTACACATAAAATGGTATAAATAAATAAAAAAGCAAATATTTTATTTTAAACTTTCTCACTAATTTGTTTGTTCAGTAATTGAAATTGTTTTTCTTAAATATTAAAAAAAAAAATCTAGATGAGCTGTTCAATTTGTGAATAAAATAATATTTTTATTTTTCAAATTACTTTTGTTTCATATATATATATATATATATATATAAAAATATCTAAATTTAATAAATGAACTTTTAGAAATATTATAGGACTAAAAGTAGAAAAACAAGATTTGCAAATAATCCAATGAATTTAAATCAAACAGTTGTAGAGAATACATAGTCTAGTCTAACATACCAAACGATGTCTTTACGCGTGTAATTGTTTTCTTTAATAAAATACTGGGAGGCTTTCCTCTCCTAGTTCATGACAATAAATTGATGTCTTTATGCTCTGATTAGACCAGTTAACCTGGGACTCGGTCTTGTAACCGTCCAAACCGTGCTAGATAGATAGACAGTTTGGATGTGATAGCCGAGAACTGTTTACCCTCAGACTAAAAAAAATTAGAATTAAAGTATAACAAGTTTAGAGTACTATGCCTCGTCCATATCCGCCTACGACTTTCAACCGGTACCAAGATCTAGAGCTTTTTTAGCACAGACTATGCTAATATCATGTAACACAAGCTTTCTTTGCCGAAACACACAAACTCCATTCAATCTATATTCAAGTCAGGCCTTACAACTTAAGTAGATTCAATAAGCCTAGTACTCAAAACAAGATTACACAGTTTATAAATCCTCCATTTTACAAAAACCAACAAACTACTTAGGAGTCAAATTATTTTAATTTAGAGGTTAAGCGCTCATAACATTGCTTCTTTTGCAAGTTAGGGTTAGGATTTTGATCAGGAAAAAATGTGCCCTAATATCGGATTTCGGATTTCAAATGCTACACATTCGGAAATTGGAACACCTCGCAAACTTTTCTTATTGTGATCAAGTATCTCTTCGTTGTCACTTTGACCGGATGAGTTCTATACCGTCTTCTTTATTCGGTTCCAAAACCACGTTTGCAAGGAAGCTTGGTTCATTTAAACTATGTTCCATGGCTTAGTTCGACAAGCCCTTTTTAAATGCAGTCTTTCTAACACTGTGTCGATTTTGTGGCATAGTCCATTTCAAACATGGTGCTTCGGCTAGCAAAACGAACCGGAAGTTTTGTCACATTTTCAAAATAGGCTAAATTATGAAGTCCATTTAACTCCACTCGTCAAAGACATCATCGACTCATCGGAAGTGGCTTCTCCGACAAGTTGGTTGGTGTTTTGAAAACATATTATTTAAGTACCTTTCAGAATTGAAAAGAATATGTGAGCTTTCCAAATTAGGAATCTAACAAATTCATAACATATCCAAGACACTCGAAACTTTTATATATTCAAAAGAGCGGGAACATTTACGTAAGTAAACTTTATTAACTAGCAACTCTTAATTCATAAACCAAACAATTTTATATAACAATGATAGCCTAACGTTAATAACCAAACCAAACAATGTTATATAACAATGATAGCCTAACCGAAAAAAAAATCTGCAATTTCCACCTTTCATATTTTTTTCCCAAATCTTTTTTTTCCTGAACTCATCAATCTAAGGTGATTCATCAACTTAATTAGCCATGTGCATTTCGGGATGAGAATCCCGTTCCCACTCTTACCCCGTTTAAAATTTCTCGAATTTTTCGGGAATGGGAAATTGCATTTTCTCGTTTGGGAACATTTCTTTTAATCAAATGGGTAAGGGAGGGGTTTAGAAATGGTACGGAATTTCCCAATTTTCTCATTTAAAAAAAAAATCAGATATTTTTTCTTAAATGTCCTGATTTCTCCTATATCTTTCCGAAATTCTTCGTATTTTTCAAAAATTTCTGAAATTTCTCGTATTTTCCCATATTTTCACGAATTTCCCCGTAATTTCTCGAAATATCATCAATTTTTCCGTTTTATTAAGACTTCGGGTATTAAATTTTTATTCCAAATTTTATGTTCTCTTTCCACTCCCATTATTTCCCGTCCCGTTATAATAAGAGAATACTTCGGGTAGCATATTTGGTTTCTCAAATTTCCCAATCCCGTCATGTTCCCTTCAATTCCTGTCCCAAAACCCGAAATACACATGGCTAAACTTAATCAAGCAGCAGAAGCGTAGAAACTCCTAGAATTAGGACATTAAGCAAATTTCACACCAAAATTACTAGCAAACTTACTAGTTATTTGGAAATTTCAAGTTTCTCAAAAAGTAAACAAAGTCATGAAAAAGAGGGATTTAGATTATCACACATTGTAGACTGAAGTAGAAATAAAACAATTAAACTATGAGGGAGTTGGATTGTAAGAATTGTTTTTTGAAGTTTAATTGTGAAAATCGAAATATGATTTTGGAAAATTCAAACACTTCAAAACCACTTTGAATGTTCTTGGTTCTCTCTTTTCTATCATTGAATCCTTGAAAGATTGCGCAAATTGATATTTACATAGTCAAGTAGATGTATACAAATATATTTTGGGTTAAAATCTCTCTGGTTAAAACTGCTTCTCGGTATATAAAACATTACATTAGGTGAGACATTCGATGCTACCCGATTGGTCAAAACCTTCCAAATTGTTCATCGACCAATGAACCATTCAACCGTTCTAACCAGTTGTTGGTACTTGTGCTCCTGTTCACTTCAAATGGTCCGTGAGAACTAGGCAATGGCTGATTCTTGTTGGCCCGCCCTTTCCCTTCAACTGGCCGATGCGAGCTTGGTATGGCTTTAATTAAATTACAGTTGGTCGGCCATTCACTTTAACTAGCCGACTGGAGTTAAATTACAATTGGTCGACTTTTGATTGGTCGACCTTTTACTTCAACTGGCCAATTAGAGCTTTGAACACACCTCGGCCAAAATTGAATTTTAGATAATTGGTCGGTCGTTCACTTTAACTTGCCATTAACTTTCTAACTTTTGACCAACTCATTTTTATTTATAAGACACTAGAACATAGTTCAAATGGTTTTGAAAAACAATTTTTAAGTTTTAAGTTTTTAACTGAAAAGTAATGGTTGTACATTGAATGGTTGGAGTTGAGGAGGAAGACCTATCAAATGATTCAAACCAACACAGAAGGATCACGAAATGCTATGGACCAAAGTTAGCGGACGTGGAAGACAAGGCAAAACAAGAACTTGAAAATTTAACTCCTGGATATTTTGACTCCTGACCCCAATATCAAACTTAAATTATCTAGCTTTCTCTCCTAATTATGACTTGAAAAAGTCAGCCTGTATTATTTATAGCATTTCAATTAAAACCCCTTTCTCAACAAAAGAAAAAGGGTACACACTACCCACACAGATATTTTGATGGCGTGTGACGGAAGCATAGCGCGTGAACTTACTCTACATATGAGTCATATAAAAATCAGGCATGCATGTGGATGACCTAATCACTATACAATTTTAAAACCTGATATTTGAACTGATTAAATACTCTGTTACACCTTACAAGTATAAATCAACACATCAACTGTGAATGGTAAACATCAGATGGGCGAAAAAAATAATAATTAGAGTAAGAGAGTGAAAAAGATGAGTAAAATAGTGAAAAACTATCTTGATCCAACTTTTCAACTGTAAAAATCTATGCGTAACCAGTCAATTTTTAATATCTTGATGGTTTCCTCTCTTTAGTGCTTGTCCTTCCCATCGGTCGATTGCTAACTATTCCAAAAATACATTCATAATACAGTAATACATACGACCAGAAATTTACATGAACATGTACGTTTTAATACTTATCTATATATATTATTTTGATCGTAACAGGACTCTAGCATATAGCTTTGTTGTCTCTCCTGTAAAGCATAAATCTATCTTAAAGTAAAAAGAATAACAGGCTCTTTCTCTTATTTTCAATTTGGTTACACACTCTTTTCCTCATTTCGTCACTTAAACAAACACGTTGACTATAAAAAATGTTCATTATTAAAGCATATTCTACAACAATAACATTTTTCTATCTCAAAAGAAAAAGTGGATCCGACCTATAAATAATGCTAAAAGTATCACAAGGATCTGAGAATGAGTAAAGATCTTTCACACCATTGGCTTCTAGATTAGATATTTTTATAAAAAAGTGGGAGAGATTGATTGTCTACCAAAAAACACGAGGTTGAAACCAAAAAAAATAAATAAAAAAGGGAAGAATATAATAAATAAAGACGGTGGGAGAGATATTTTCCACTGGCACAAAATATCTTTGATATTTTTGTTTTTGAAATATCTCAAGCAAGAAGAAAGGGTTTCATTCCGCCAAATTGACCGGCGATGACGTGGCACCCTTACCACGTGTAAAAGCGTCTACAACTGTACCGTTCTTTTGTCTCTCCATCTCTCTTTTTCACCTTCTTCTCCTCCTCCTCTCTCCCTCTGATATTTTCTCTCTCTCTCTCTTCTCTCTCTCCGTTTATCTCAACAAGATAGACAATGGTTGGTGACTACAGAGGGAGCAATAGCCGGAGCTCCGATGATTCCGATTCCGACGTTGCTTCTTCCGCCGACGAAGAGACGACTTCTTCCGTGGTATATTTCTGTGTATTTTTTTATCATTTGTTGTCTCTTATTGCATGTCTGTTTCTCCGCCGGAATCGCCGTCGTTTTCACTCTTCAGATCTGAAATTCTAGAATTTTGCGTCATTTTAACGGCGATTTTCTGTTTTGAGGAGAAAATCTGTTGCGATGTTGGTTTGTTGAGGAGAAAGTGAAGAGTCTCTCTGATGATGAACATATAATCATTAGATTTTTGTATCCGTTTTCGATTTTTAGTCTTACTGATGAATTTGGTTGATAATTATCCATTGAGAAACGAAGTAGTTGGCGAATGTTTTATGATCAATTTTTCATTTAATAGCGACATAAAGATTTAGTTTTCTATGAAAATTTGAACCAAAAAAAAACATTTCAACATGTTGCATTCATTGAGATCTACAAATGTTTCTAATTGCTATTTTTGATTCACAAATGTTTGTATACTATTAAAACATGTTTCTTGTTGTAGTTCTGTGAGAAAAGAGTGGACTGATGAGAAGCAGATTTTATATCTTAAATCCATGGAAGCTTCATTCGTGGACCAGCTTTACAATTCCCTCGGCGCGCTCGGTTCGAATTCCAACAAGGAGAATGTACGGCTCGGTGGCTGTAGAAAAGCTTGTGAAGAACAGGTATTGACACATTTTCTCTCTGTTTTTTTTCTTACAGTTTAGTCTCCGGGAACATCGAATTTAGTCGTATATTGTGTTTTTTGCTATATTAGTTCAAGGTTCTTCTGTGATGGTTTCTGGCAGAAGATGAATGTAAAACAACCTGAATACCGCGGCGGCGTCAATGGAAGACGAGGCGGTGGTGGTGGCTCTCACGAGTTTCTTAAGGAGTCCGTGGATCAAGCACTACAAGCCTTCGCCGAAAATCGAGATTCTTGTAACGGATGAGCTCGAGAACCAAGTGGTTAGCTCGAATGGGAAGAAGGGAATAGTCATTTGCAGCTCAGGGATATTATGGGAAGGATGGTCCCATTCGCGTGACCGCGATCAAATCAGCATCGGAGAAGGTAATATTACTTAGTGTTATTCCTCTCTTGTGAAGTTTTGTTTTCTTTTGTAAGTTTGTAGAACTGATAGTGTTTTGTGTTTTCTTCAAAAGCAGATATATCTGATCAGAACTTTGTCAACGAAGTAACGAAAGGCGAGAACGGAAGCTCCAAGAAGATGAAGACAGTGATGAACGTATCATCACCTTCGTCGGGTACTGATCAGGTAACTTCTCCCACTAATTTAATGATTTTCATATCACCGAATATGACGAGTTTTTTTGATCTAAAGTATTGTCTTGTTTCATTGGTATTATAGGTTGTTCCACTCAGAAAAGCTCCTGCAAACATGACATGAATTGAAGTGGTCGTTGAAGATGGTATATGAGAGGAGAATTTTGTAATGTATAGAATTTCAATTAGTAACAAAAAAAAAGTCGACTTACTTACTCTATGGTTTAGTAACATGGGTCTTCATCATATATCCCTAACTATAAATATATATATGGTCATGTGAGTGGATTCATTTGTAATGTTAAACCTTTAAAGTTGGAAGTTGGAAGTTAAAAGTTAGTTTATTCTTAGTGCCTGTATCATATATTGAGAAGGCATTTTGAGAATTTAGTGCATGTATTTGCTCAAAGAATAACATAAGAAGTTAGATCAGATTAAATTTTACCATCTATGTATAATCCGTTATCACAACCGTATTAACTAACAATCACAAACAATTCGAATTTTCAATTTTTCGTCGTATCACTATGGAGAAATGGTTCAAACACTATAGAACTGATAGTACGAAATAAACATCACAAACAATTCCAGTTTTCATCGTATCTAATATACAAAAGTTATGTCCAGTTTCAAATTCATATCATATACTTAAATAGTTAAATCCTTTAAAGATTAACATAAGTTTATATCTAACAGAGTTTCACTAGCATTAAAAAGTTTTGTCATTGCCTTGTGAGTAAAGATGATAAATCTTACAGTATAGCATAAAATAATTACGGTAAAAAAACGATTTCATATTTCATAATCCTAATCCACTATATGGTTGAATACATATTTAATTGTCATTATTAAGATCAAAATTGGTCTTTTGGTAGACCCTCTAATTCACAGAGAGAGTCTTCTTTTACTCTTACAGCTTCTCTCTTCTTTAACGCATCATTCTCTCTCTCTCTCTCTCTCTCTCTACTGCTTCTTCTCACCGGATTTGCATCTTCTCCTTTGTTTCTGGGCTCTCTCTCTCTTAACACTATCTCCTGCTATCGCCGATTATTTTGCTTCCTGGGTTTCGTTCCTTATTCGGTAAGATTTGATTTTGCTCCCACCCCGATTTCATTTTGTGCTGCTTAGATCGCTCGTTGATCCCTCTAGTATTTACTATTTAGTTCGATGTTGATTTTACAAATTGAGATTTTTCTTAATTGCTAATCCTTTTGGGTGCTCTTAGTGCAATGCGTCGATTTTGTAGCTTTTTTAAGTAGGTTTTGGCAAATGACTATCGTGATTGAATCGATTCTGTATATTTGGATTTCACTGTTTTGGAATTTTTGCTTCATCGCTCAACCGATCGAACAACCAATTTATAGTTCTGATTAATTTGATTTTGATTTTACCATCTTCTTAATGGTTGAATCTTAATCTTCTTGTTATTATCCACCATCTTCCTCTACTAGATCTACATGAGTTTTAAGAGACTCACTTGTGCTTTTTTTTTTTGTAGTTTCTGAAATTTGGAGATGGCTCCTGTTGGTCCTCGATCCGGTGATGCAATCTTCTCTAGCATCGATCGTGTGGTAAGTTCAGGTTTTTGAAGAACCTATTTTCGAAAATTGGTATATGCTTCTTTGCAGTTTGCCATCAATTTCATATAAACCTATAGAAATGTATGCTTCATTTGTGTCGAATGTGTTGTAATTTGTAAGGATTTGAAAAAAGTGAACTTTGAAGCCAATTTCGAATCTCTTGTTTGATGATCTCTTGGAATTTGATAATTTGTAGAACGCAGAGTTGTTCACGTTGACCTACGGTGCAATCGTGCGTCAATTGCTTACTGACTTGGAAGAAGTCGAAGAAGTCAACAAACAGCTTGATCAAATGTATTCTTCTTCTTCTTCTACACTTTTCTGTAGCTCTCTTCCATGGCAATTCCATTTGATCACTGTCTTTACATTTGTTTTTTTTTATATGCATTATGTCTCTCTAGTTCCTCTGTTCATTTGGCATGGAGAGAATGAATAAAGGATTCGACTTTCTGGAACATAATTGATGAGGGTTTGATTATTTGCCTTTTGTGTATTTTTCTGCAGGGGATACAACATTGGAATCAGACTTATCGATGAGTTCCTAGCCAAATCTGGTGTTTCGAGATGCGTTGATTTCAAGGAAACTGCTGAAATGATTGCAAAGGTTTGCCATTTGTATTCACTTGCTTGATTTAGTATCATGATTCTACAGTTTTGAAGCATCATTGGGATAAAAAACTACACTACAAGTTGTATTAATGTTCATTCTGCTTCAAACTATAATATATCAAACTAGAGCATAAGTTTCCACGGGCTCAGTCTCATTTGGTTTGATCGTATTGACAAGGTATAGTAAACAGGGTTTTGCGTTATAATGACATAGGTGGGTTTCAAGATGTTCTTGGGGGTCACTGCATCAGTGTCAAGCTGGGACGCGGATGGGACTTGCTGCAGTATAATCTTGGAAGACAACCCGCTCGTTGATTTCGTGGAGCTTCCCGATACTTGCCAAGGTCTTTACTACTGCAATGTCTTGAGTGGAGTCATTAGAGGAGCTTTGGAAATGGTCAGTTTCCTTTTTCTTTACTTCACACTTATTTGGTTACATAATTTTCGTTTTCAAGCTTCTCAAGCAAATAATTTCCTCGAAATTTTTAAACGAAACTTCTCTCAACTACTCTCCATTATCAAGTGCAGAGCTTGGTTTAGACTCTGGTGTTTATGTTCTTTCTTTTTGTTTGAACAATGTTCAGGTCTCAATGAAGACGGAAGTTACGTGGACGCGTGATGTGCTTCGAGGGGATGATGCTTATGAGTTGCAGGTGAAGCTATTGAAGCAAGTCGCTGAAGAGTATCCTTACAAGGATGATGAATAAGTGTCACTCTCTTGTTTTTTCCCTCTTCCACAAAGAGAACTAATTACTATTTTGTAGTCTCTTTCTCTCCATTTTTAGCTTGGATCTTCTTCTTCCTTTTTTTGTTTCCTGGAAACTAAAACTATAAGCTATGAAACTAAATACTGTTTATGTTTGGTACAAACTGCTTAATACATTTCTTAGTGTTCTTATATGTTAAGTGCGTTGATATATCACAACACAGAAATATTTCTAAGAATTCCGCTAATAACAAAAATCAGTCTACTATATTCAATGATGGTGATGAGTTTGATGACTTTTGGAGAATTTGATAAGTTACCATTTGGTCGTATCACTCTGTAAAAACTACTACCATCAGTAAGTATTTTTCACAATACCATTACTTCGAGATGAAATTAGCCTTGATCTATCACAAATAAGAAACAAAACCTTCCTCAAAGCAATTTGGTTTGGTTGCAATTTTATGTTTTTTAATTAATAATAAGTTCCTTAAACCAAACTGAAATCAATCCAAAGTACAACCGAAACCGAACCAAACTAACTTTGGTTGAATTTGGCTAGAGTTTTACTACCGAACCTAACATACGTTTCAGTCAAACCGAGATAAAAAAGACATGTGTCGAACGGCTATTGGTTCTGACTTTATGTCTATGAAAAAAACATATGAGATTTGAGAGGTCACATGTGTGAGGTGTAGATAACTGATTGGTTAAGTATTTATTCGACGTAGATTCTTTTTATTTTTTTGTTAAAAGATTATACGAGGTAGATACGGAAGCCAATATTAAACGACGAGAGAACTTGTTTAGCCACCATAAAAAAGGGGAATCGTCATCGTATTATTGTCTTAGGGTTTTCTTAAATCTCTCGATCATGGATGATTATTCCGATGGTGATGATGATGGTGGCGTGATCTATATTGATTCAAGTGAAGATAATTTATACAGTGAAGACGACCACGCAGCCGACGATGATGATGATCATGGATTCGCGGCAGCACTCGACGACACGGACACATCGAAACGATCTCAGAAAAGTCACCTTGTTCTCAAGGAAGAAGACATCCGCAAGCATCAAATGACCGATATCGAACAAGTTTCCACGATTCTCTCTATTAGCCAAGTGGAAGCGATCGTTCTGCTTCTTCACTATAAGTGGAACGCTGGTAAAGTCGAAGATGAATGGTTTACTGACGAAGATAAAGTTCGTAACTCCGTTGGTCTTTTGAAGGAGCCTGTCGTTGTTGTTAATGAAACGAGAGGAGTGAATAATACTTTTGAATGTGGAATTTGCTTTGAGTCATACGTTGAGAAGGAGATTGCTAGGGTTTCTTGTGGTCATCCTTATTGCAAAACTTGTTGGACATGTTACATCACTTCGAAGATCAACGACGGTCCGGTATGTTTGAATGTTAAGTGTCCCGAGCCTTCTTGTCCTGCTGTGGTTGGTAAAGATATGGTCAATAAGGTTATATCAAAGGAAGAAGATAGAGAGAAGTATGAGAGATTTTTTTTTAGGTCTTACGTCGAAGCAAGCGGGAAGAAGATCAAATGGTGTCCATCACCGGGATGCGATTATGCGGTTGATTTTCTTGGAAGCTGTGGAAGTGACGAGAGTGAGAACTACGATGTTTCTTGTTTGTGTTCTTATGACTTTTGCTGGAAATGCGGTGAAGAAGCTCACCGTCCTGTGAATTGTGACACGGTTTCAAAGTGGATATTCAAGAACAAGGATGAGTCCGAGAACACGACTTGGATTCTTGCCAATACAAAGCCTTGTCCTAATTGCCAACGTCAGATCGAGAAGAACCAGGGATGTAACCATATGTATTGCACAATATGCAAACATAGGTTTTGTTGGAATTGTCTTCGTCCATTGACTAATCACAAGAGCTGCCACACGTTTGAGGGTGATAAAAAGGAGGTTGTTACGAGAGAAAGGGCGAAAAAGGCAATCGATAGATATATACATTATTATGAAAGATGGGCAAGCAATCAATCTTCGAGGCTAGTGGCTATGGCAGATTTGAAGAAAGTTCAGTCGGTGGTGCTCAAGAAGCTTAGTGTCAAACAAGGCTTGCCAGAAACTCATCTCCGTTTCATCGTTGATGCATGGCTTCAGGTTATAACTAATACTTTGATAACATTGCGTAATGGAAAAAAAAAAAGCAAAAAAGTTATTAGAATGGATTGTTTGTTGGAATAGTGTAAGACCAGAATTGTTTTTATTATATTGAAAAGTAGATTAATGTAGGCTTCAAAAAAAAAAAAAAAATATATATATATATATATATATTTCATAAAATCATAGGATCGAATGACCGTTGGGAAAGAACTCATACTTTTGAAAAGAAAAAAAGTTATTTGAATGGAATGTTGGAATAGAGTACGACCGGAACTTTTTTGGTTAGGAAAGAAGTAATATTACATGAATGGATATTGATGTCCCATGTAAATGATTTTACGATTGCAGATTGTGGAATGCAGAAGGGTCTTGAAATGGACATATGCATATGGATACTACCTTGCTGAAAATGAACCAACCAAGAAACAATTGTTCGAGTATTTGCAAGGGGAGGCTGAAGTTGGTTTGGAGAGGCTTCATCATTGTGCAGAGGCGGAGTTTGAAAAGACTGTCAACGAAAGTGAAGGTCCATCCAAAGATTTCCTTGGTTATCGCATGAAATTAATTGGTTTCACTAAAGCAACCAAAACCTACTTCGAGAATCTGGTTAAAGCTTTGGAGAATGATCTCGTGGAAGTTAATGAGAGCAACTCGAAAACAAACTCCAAAGCTCAAAAAAACTCAAAAACAAACTCCAAAGCTCCTACCAAGAGACGAAAGTTGGTTTGAGTAAGATCCAAGTGGTGTAACTGAGATCTCTCGGTTCCTTGATATTATAAGATTTCAGGAAACTAGAAATTACTTTCTCTGTTTTATGTTTTATTTTATTTTTTATTATGCCAAGAACTGTGTATGCCAGTTACTGTTTTTATTACCTTATTCCTATATATTCTTTAGCATAAAAGAAATTGCACTCTTATTTGACAGTTTTTTTCCTATATCTTGTTGAAAGATCAAAGTTTGGAAATAAGCTCACCATTGTATTTGCATATATTATTGAGAGAGAGAAAGGGCGAAAAAGGCAATCGATAGATATATACATTATTATGAAAGATGGGCAAGCAATCAATCTTCGAGGCTAGTGGCTATGGCAGATTTGAAGAAAGTTCAGTCGGTGGTGCTCAGGAAGCTTAGTGTCAAACAAGGCTTGCCAGAAACTCAGCTCCGTTTCATCGTTGAGGCATGGCTTCAGGTTAGTGGATACATGTAAATATATTTAAATAGCTAATACGTTGATCACATTGCGTAATTTAAAAAAAAAAACACAAAAAAAGTTATTAGGATGGAATGTTGGAATAGAGATTTTTTATAATACGGAAAAGTAGGAGAGGTCATAGGATCGAACTTGGGATGGAACTAATATTACATGATTAGGATTATTGTTGGGAAAGAAGTAATAGTACATGAATGGAAATTGATGTCTAATGTAATTGATATTATGATTGCAGATTGTGGAATGCAGAAGGGTCTTGAAATGGACATATGCATATGGATACTACTTTCCTGAGAATGAACCAACCAAGAAACAATTGTTCGAGTATTTGCAAGGGGAGGCTGAAGTTGGTTTGGAGAGGCTTCATCTGTGTGCAGAGGTGGAGTTTAAACAGTGTGTCAACGAAAGTGAAGGTCCATCCAAAGATTTCCTTGGTTATCGCATGAAATTAACTGGTTTGACTAAAGCAACCAAAACCTACTTCGAGAATCTGGTTAAAGCTTTGGAGAATGATCTCGTGGAAGTTAAGGAGAGCAACTCAAAAACAAACTCCAAAGCTCAAAAAAACTCAAAAACAAACTCCAAAGCTCCTACCAAGAGACGAAAGTTGGTTTGAGTAAGATCCAAGTGGTGTAACTGAGATCTCTCGGTTCCTTGATATCATAAGATTTCAGAAAACTAGAAATTACTCTCTCTGTTTTATGTTCTATTTTATTTTGTTATTATGCCAAGAACTGTGTATGCCAGTTACAGTTTTTTATACCTTATTCCTATATATTCTCTAGCATAAAAGAAATTGCACTCTTATTTGATAGTTTTTTTCCCCTATATCTTGTTGAAAGATCAAAGTTTGGAAATAAGCTCACCATTGTATTTGCATATATTATTGATCCCATCCCAAAGTATCAGCTGAAGAAAACTCATTGTATGTATGAGACCCACAAACCATGCATTTTTCTGATGCCTAGAGTCTTGTGCATTTCAAGTGATGCATGATGTACTCATTTGGAGAGTCTTTTGGATATTTTGTTTGTATTCTTTCTTAAATTACTTTTTATTTTTCATGTTGCAACTTTGATATATATATATATATATATATTTAATTTTGACTTGAACCTAGAAGAAAAAAATATTTAATAATTGTTTCATAACAATAAGCTTTCAAATTTTTAGTTTTGATTTTGTATAAATTATTTTTACGGATAAGCATAGACTAACATTTTGAGAAACTCCTATGCGTAAAAATGGTTATGTTTGATATCTTATTTTCACAATCTGCAGAAGGAAAAAAACGATTACCGAGCTAATTCTCCCAAACGAAAAATAGAAAAAATCATCTGGGAATAGCTGAATAGGGAAGCGTGCCACAGCTCACAAAATTTCAATCTTTCCATACTTATCGATCACGTCATCTCCTTTGTCTCACTACCTAACTCGGAGAAGCAAATCCCAAACCTCTTCCTCTTTATAATCCACACCTTTCTCTTCCTCCTCTTCGAAATCTCACTCCACCGCAACAAAAAAAATGGCGACGAATTCACTCAAATCCGATGCAATCATGGACTTGATGAAGCAGCATCTCTCCACCGATGCCGGTAAGGAGCTCACGGAGAAGATCGGTCTCGTTTATCAGATCAACATCGCTCCTAAGGTCCCCATTTCTCAAAACTCCATTTTTTTCTTCTTCTTTCTCTTTTTTTTGTTCTTTCTGTTAATATCTCCCTTTTTTCCCGGATTTTACAGAAATTAGGGTTTGAAGAGGTTTCTTACATCGTCGATCTGAAGAAAGGCGAAGTCACCAAAGGTTAGCTCTTTGTTTAATTGGGAATTCAAATTAGAGAAATTTTGCGTTTTAGACAAAAGTGAGAATTGGGAATAAGACAAAGATTTTGTGTCGATTCACTTAAAACTACTTGACTTTTGTTTATCGTTTAATTCTGAAAATTAGATCTCCTCGGTTATGGCAATTGAGAGATTCTGAAATTTTGCTTTTGGACCAAGATGCTTTGGAAGATACCCCTATAAATCAATTGACTTTTTTTTTGTTTTAATCGGAAAATTAGGAAAATACGAAGGAGGGAAAGTGGATGCTACGTTTTCCTTCAAGGATGATGATTTTGTCAAAGTTTCTACTGGGAAGATGAATCCTCAGATTGCTTTCATCAGGTTTTTTTTTTCATTCCTCTGAATCCTTCAATATGTCATTCATTTCCTCACCATTATTACAAGTATGTCTAGCAGTTTCGTCTTGTGTCTGAACCAAAATCCACCATTACCTACAACAAACTCAAGCTTCCTCCAAAGTTTTCTTTTTGATCCAAACAGTTCCATACTGAGTGAAACTCTGTTTTCTTGATTTTCTTACTTTGAAATCCCACTAGTCTTTCTGTGACTCTGATCTGGTCTCTGAATCATTATTTTTTTCAGCAATATTACAAGTATTGTTTAGCAGTTTTGTCTTGTGTCTGAACCCTCATTGACCATCAACAGACAATTATCCAAAGTTTCAATTCTGCTTTGTTGGTTTTGTTACTTTGAAATTCCACAAGCTTTTTTTTTGTGACTCTGATTTGGTTCAAGAAGTTGGTTCAGCTCTGAAATTCTGAGAATGTTGAATGAATGATAATGCAGGGGTGCGATGAAGATCAAAGGTAGTCTCAGCGCTGCGCAGAAATTCACTCCGGACATCTTCCCAAAGCCATCAAAGTTGTGAACACAATCAAGGGTGGTATTGCCAAAACCCTTCACTCGGGCTCAATTTATGTCTTTCAAAGGGGTTGGCTTCTTAAGTAGAAAGTTGGATTATTATTATCATCATCATAAGGAATGTTGAAAAAACTCTGAAATAAAGTTACTTTTCAAGTTATCTCATGTATTCTCTCTTTTTAATCTTTGGAAAATTGGTGTTTGGATTTAATAATATGCATCTTTCTCTTTCAAAGAAGATCAATGTCTTTATTTCCTATTACTGAAACCAACAAAACCATACATAAAAAGTAATTGCTAGACTCATCTTCAAGGAGTCTGTATTGTTGTTTTGTGTAAAGCAAAACAAAAAAAACAAAACCAACTTTTTTTCACTTGTGAGACTTTTTTCTTGACAAGAACATGAAAACCTTAGGGAACAAAGAAAGCTTCTTCTTCTTCTTCTTTGTTTCAGGTGTCACATTATTGCTATTTCTACCACCTCCTCCAACATTGTTACTGCTGCTCTCCGGTTCACCAAAGGCAAACGATTTCGACTGCCTCACCGGGCTTTTCTCAGGCTCGCTGCTTTCATCTGCTCTCCTCTTCCCGTTCTCCGACCTCCACTTCCTCAGCTCTTGCTCCATCCCCAACTTCTCATCTCTCGCCTTCTCAGCTTTTCCCATAGCCATTCTCAGCTCTTCTTTCCTCACACTCATCTCTCTATTCACTTCCTCTAGCTGCTCCAAGACTCTCGACTCTTCCTCTCTAGCCACCTCTATCTGCGAGACGATCTCCGATATCCTTTTGTTCGCCTCTTCCTCCGACTCGTGCGCCTGCTTGCTCAGCTCGTAGTATTCCTCTACAGAGATTATGACGGTTCTTGGTGAGTTACTAATCTCCTCGAATCTCTGAGCACTCTCAGTCTCTTGCAGTGCCTTTATCGCAGCCAATGCCAACTTCTCCGAAGCCCTAGCAGCCTCCATCTCCTTCTTCGCTTCCATTACTCTACTCTCTATCGTAGACATTCCGGTTCTCGCTTGCTCAGACAGTTCCTTCGCCATTCTAAGCTCGTCTCTCGCAGCTGCTGCCAAGAACTTTGCATCTTCTGCCTCTCTCGTCGCCTCCTCCAACGTCTTCCCTGTGTCCACCATCTCCTCATCTACCTCCTCCGCGTTTTCTCTCTTCTTGGTTTCTTCAAGATCCTGTCTCTCTCTTCCAATCTCTGACTGTAACGCCACAGCAATTATCTTCAATGTTTTCACCTCGGAAGCTGCTTTCTCAACGTTGGATTTGACCTCTTCGAGCTCTCTCTTAGCGGAATCAACCGCGGCTTGTATGTCACTGTTACTCTTCTTCTCCATCATCAACACACCAAAGCTTGAGCTTCCCTTGAACGCAGCTAACTCATCTCTCAAATCATACTGAAGAGAAGAAGCAGTCTCTAGCTTGGCTCTCACGTCATCAGCCGCACGAAGCTCTTGGTTAAGCCTCTCGATGTCATCTTCCACCATCTTCAGCTCCTTCTCCCAGTTGTATATGTCTTGGTCTCGAGCCATGGCCGCACCAAACCTCTTCTCTTCAGCTTCGAGATGAGCAGTGTGCGCAGATTCCAACATCTCCTTGGTGGCAATGAGCTCAATACTCAAACCATCCATCGTCCTCTCAATCTCTTTAGCTTCACTAACAGCAACTTCAGCTCTCTCCGCAGCTAAATCTCTCTCCCTAGACATATCTTCATACTCATTACAAACCATTTCAATCTCTTCTCTCACAGACTTTAACTCACTAGTAGCTGACTCTGTCCTCTCTTTAGCTACCTCGAGCTGCGCTTTCACCGCGACGCTTGCCTCGTTCGCTACGCCTTGCTCCATCTCTTCAACACGCATCTGCGCGAGATCGGAGTCTTGTTTCGCCTGCTGCTCTTCCTTCTCAGCTTTCTCTAGCTCCAGCTTTAACTCCTCGATGAAGGCCTTTGTGCTCTCTAACTCCTTCAACGCGTCGAGTTTCGCTTCTTCAGCTATCTCGGCTTCTCTCTTGCACTCTGGCATGGCTTCTTGTATCTTCTCTAGCTCTTCATCAACCATCTTCCTTCTCTGAAAACACACAAAAAAACAAAACCTTTAAAACAAGAAAACAAGATCGTATGGAAAAGAAAAAAAACAGAACAAGAACCTCTATTGTCTGAATCTTATGTGCTTTCCAATCTGTGATCCCTCCAAACTTCGAAACTGCGTCTTTCACGGAATCGAAAGGTGAAGCTGTTTCGATCAATCCGACGACGACACCTGTCGGAGACCCGAAGCGTGGTGACTCCACGGATCTCTGATAGACGAAAGCTCTAGGAGAAGCAGGGACTTTTAAACGAGGAGACATCGGCAATATCCTCGCGTCCTCGATTCTTGAGTCTTCTGAGAAGGAATCTTGATGGCTTATCATCACCCTTGGTGCGATGTAAACCTTTGGAGATTCTAAGATTGGACTTTGCGGTTGTTGGTTCGCGGAATAATCGAAATCTTGAAACGGGTTATGCGAATCGTCCAAGTTCAAGAAGTCGATATCGTTGAAAGCCGTGGAGCTTCGCATCGGAGCTTCGTCGCTTGGTTCTTCACCAATGGCGTTGAGAAATACGTTAAGGTCGTCTGAGTCTTTATCATCGTCTCCCAACATTGTTGATAATTTCTTCAGAAATGCAACTGAAAATTAGAATATTTGATTTTGGTCAAACGCGTTGTTGTTCATCGCATTTCTAGAGATTTGACTTCTTCTTGTTTTTCGGATTATGTCAAATACATTTTCTGCAAACAAGAATCTATACTTTTTCAGACAGGGGAATTTGGATGTCGTACCTTATAATCAGACAAATGCGAGATGTAGCTTCTCGGAGGACAATATAACTGATCTATAGTTTGAGGGTTAATGTCAGAGATTACATCATTGGATTTGAAAGATTCAGAGAAGAAAACATAAGAATCAGCAGGCGATGTGACCCCATTGAGAAAATAGAAAGAGGGATGAACGGCGAATATTAAGGACCGTGAAACGCACGCGCCTCTGGCTCTCCGCTTTCTGTATTTTTTTATCTTTATGTTCCCTTAACCTTTTTTTTTTTTGGACAACATTTCTTGTAACATTCATCCTAATTTTGTTAAATAAATCCTCTTTAGCTAGAAAAATATATTTAGAGCATAGAAATGTTATATTTTTACTGATAAAGAGCTCTAGTGTGTATTTAACTAGTGGAGAAAGAAACTATTAATAATTTCTTAAATGAAATATATTACAGATATTAATATATTCAATTGTTATCTGACACGTGGACATGCTCTTATACTAAAGTAACTAAACCAAAAAGTAATACAACAAAAAACTGAAAATGTCTTTTTTTTCAATCTAATTAAATACTTATCTAGTTATGTTTTATCACATATCTTTTTCAGCTTATTATTTGCACGGGGCATGTGTAATCATTTAGACAATGGTTTTATTTTTTTGTATATTTTAAATAATTTGAAAATCCATGGAAAATTTAGAAATTATTATAACTTTATATAAGAGTGATTTGAATATGATTAGACGAAAATCTTGAATGTCTGGATGGTATGCATGCACATTATCTCAACAAGGAAATAAGTCATAGTCAAAGTAGCGATGATGGCAAATTGGCAATGCATGTTTATGTCATGTCTTGCTTCAAATTACTAAAGTTTACTTGTGCAAAGCTAACAACTGCATTTCTAATGGAATTTCTTTGAACACAAAAGACAAAGTTATGGCTTCTCATGGGATAAGAAAGATCGTTGGGGGTACATCTTCGTGTTTTGAGAGAATCCATAATATAATTGATGCATAGCCAAAAAAAAGCTTTTAGTTTTATAGACAATGTTATCGAAGCTAAGTTAAAGAGTTTATTGTTGGCTATTGAAAGCATAACTGCATAAGTAGTCTTCGTATCACACAAGTCATCTTTGCTTTTGAGGTTTCGGATCTTCAGGCTATTGTAATCATTCATCTTCTCTGATTCACATGCAATGACTGAAAATTGGAGTTTCAAATCCAAATAACAAATATAGGAGTGTTTCTTATTGCTCAGTGTCACGATCAAAGGCCACCAACAATCATTTGTATCTTCTAGCTGCTACCCATCTTGGCTGCATGATATTTATTGAATTTGAAAGTACAATGGAGAGAGTACAGTGACATTGTGTAGTGTGGGTGATTTGGCTTGATCTAGGCTTGTAATGAGTCCTAATCTTTGTAATTAAATCAGATGGAAAACGAAAGAAAAAAAATTCTCAAGTTGGTGGGAGGTGGAGACATAAATGATATTTATCTACTTAACAAAAATATTAAATAGACAAGAAAAGGAAGAAAAATGAGAAAATGAAATCCAAAAAAATGGATCACTAGGAAACGAACCCCACCGAAGCCAAAATAATGTCCGGCGGCAAGAATTAATGATGATTTTGGTCTGTGTCTCCTCTGGATCATTCTCACCGATACAGAATATCCCCTTTTGCCTCTAACCTCCACTGTCGTCTTCTTCTTCCTCATTTCGATTTGCTTCTCTGTTTCTGGTTTTCAAGGTCTGTTTTTTGTTTTCTCCGCAAGATGATTGATCGATCCGTATAACCACAATCAATCAAGTTTCCAAATTTGTGTGTTTTCTCAAAGATCTTTGCTTTCGCTATTTTCCGAATCTGGGTTTGATCGAAATTAAGAAAAAATGAATGCCGTCGGTAGAATCGGAAGCTACATCTACCGAGGCGTAGGCACGGTTTCAGGTCCGTTCCACCCGTTCGGCGGCGCGATCGACATTATCGTCGTCGAGCAGCCCGACGGGACGTTCAAATCGTCTCCCTGGTACGTCCGATTCGGGAAATTCCAAGGGGTTTTGAAGAACAGGAGGAACTTGATCAAGATCGAGGTCAATGGCGCTGATTCGGGTTTCAACATGTATCTGGCTCACACAGGACAAGCTTATTTCCTCAGAGAAGTCGAGGACGTGATCGGAGAGTCGGAGAGTGGCGAAGTCTACACTCTCTCTTCCGGTGACGAGTCCGAGACGACGACGAGGAAGAGCTGTGACGTTGACGACGTTGATAAGATTAAGATGTTGCCGTTGAAGTCCAAGAGCTGTAACTACGATTCCGCTAGCCCTCGTGGAGGTAATGGGAAGATTGTAGGGAAGCCTGGGATTTTAGGGTTTGTGTTTGGAGGTAGGTCGGTTAGGGAGACGAGGCTTGAGGAAGATGGTGATAGGTCGATGGAGAGAGCTGAGATTGTTTCTGATTTGCTAGATGTGAAGTGGTCTACTAATATAGATACTCGTAGCAATAAGTCTAGTAAAGGTAAAGAAGCTTCTTCAGAGTGTTTGGATGGTGGTGGTCAGAGGAGTAGTAGCGAGAGTAGTGTTGTGGAGGGAGGTAATAAAGGAAGCTTGGAGCCGTTGGTGGATAGTGATTCGATATTGGAGACTCCTCTTGTGGCGTCTCCTACGTTGCGGTATCTCGATGAGAAGGAGCAGGATTTTCGTGAGAACAACAATGTGGATGATTTTTGTGAAGAGAGTGCGGCGAGTGGAGTGGTTGAGACGCTTGTTGTTGAGAATGGTTCCTGTGAGGAGGAATCGAGTACCATCTTCTCTTTTGCTAGTGTGGAACCTATGGCTGTAGAGACGACAGCCGAGCCGCTAGCACAGGTTAGTTGTTTAATCAAATCTGGATTTAGAAGTAAACTAAGAAGCTTGATTGAATTTTCTTATGGGGACTGATCTCTTGTATAAATTGTATCTCTCTGTTAGGATTCTGTTACTCTATGTGATTTGGATGCGAAGCAAGAACTGTTAAGTGCTCCTGAATCTGTTGAAAATTTGATATTGGGGAGCAGGAGCATTGGCAATTCTCAAGAAGGAAGCAGGAGTGGCTCTCCGGTTCAAGATGAGAGTAAAACCACCGTGGAAGATATGCATTTCTCGGTAGGAAGTTTGGAAAAGTCTGAGTCGATAAGTGGAGGAGGCATCTTGCAACAGGAGATGGAAGAGGAACAGTTTTCGTTTAGCGATCTTGATGAATGTAAACCTGGTAGGAGTAGTTCTGGGGAGTCAAGTGTTCCGGATACTGTTAAAATTGATGGGAAAGAGATTCATGATGAAGATGAAAATGAAACTAGTCTTGAAAACGGCGTGGAGGACTCAAAGGTCTTGTCAGAGCCGATTGAGATAGAGGGAAAAAAGGAAACTTCTGGGGAAGAGATGGAGCGGTTGGTAGAATCATTACCGATTATGCGGCTTCACAGCAACGATGATATAGAGGCCAGTCCTTGTCAGCCTTTGAGCCAGTCATTTGACCCATGTTCCAGTCCGTTAAAGTGGGATTTGAGAGAAGACGAGTCGATCTCAGGGGTTTTAGGTGAAGAAAACGTTGCTGATGGTAGTCCAAACTTAAAGGCTTTCAAACATGTTGTCGCTAATCCTGAAGTGGGTAAGGATATATAACTATGAAGTCTAACTATGAAGTATAACTTTGAATTATGATGCTATAGTCTAACTTTTCAATCTCCATTCTCAGTCGAGCTTTCTCTCTGCAAGCACCTATTAAGTGAAGGAATGGGAACAGAAGCGGCTTCTCTGGCCTTCAATTCCGAAAAGCTGGATATGGAAAAGTTTGCTTCCTTGGGGCCAGCAATCCTGGAGAACGATAAGCTTATCGTGAAGATCGGTGGCTTCTATTTCCCATGGGATGCAGCAGCTCCTATCATCTTAGGATTGGTTTCATTTGGGACTGCTCAAGTATTTGAGCCAAAGGGCATGATAGCTGTTGACCAGAATGAGAAACCTGGTGATGTATTAGCTCCGGACAGTGGAGGCTGGAACCTTTGGCCTTTCCCTCTCAGAAGATCAAGGAACGATACCGAAGCTTCTGCTAAGGACGCTGTTGAACCTGAGGAGAAACAAGAGGAGTCGCCAAGACCGGTGAAAAAGACGGTCAGGGCACTAACTCCAACTTCCGAGCAACTTGCTTCGTTAGAGCTGAAAGATGGAATGAACACCGTGACTTTTACGTTCTCCACCAATATTGTGGGTACACAACAGGTCATTTTATTCTTTACTACGGCATGTTTTGTCATATAAAACTGTCGAGAGTTCCCACTTGGTGTTCACAAGATCGTTAATTCAACAGGTAGATGCGAGGATTTACTTATGGAAATGGAATGCTCGCATAGTTATTTCGGATGTAGACGGTACCATCACAAGGTAAAAGGAACTTTGATTTACTTTTATATTTGTATAATTGTATATATTCAGCCAAATCCATGACCTGTTTCTGTTTCTGATTTCCTTTTACTATCTGTTTTCTCTTTAGATCGGATGTATTAGGCCAGTTTATGCCTTTGGTTGGTATAGATTGGTCACAAACAGGAGTTACACATTTGTTTTCGGCTGTTAAGGTCTGTTGTATGCACTTTGATGGGTTTTTAATCTTCAGAAAATGATAAGCAAAGATTTCACATTCTCTTTCAAACATTTCTGCAGGAGAATGGTTATCAGTTGATGTTTCTAAGTGCACGCGCGATTTCTCAGGCTTCAGTCACACGACAATTTCTAGTTAATCTCAAGCAGGTACGTAATTAGACACAATACATTCCAAATTTTCGTTACCTGAAAAATCTAGTGTACTCTGTTAATCTTAGTTAGTGAATCCCAGGACGGAAAAGCATTGCCGGATGGGCCTGTTGTTATCTCTCCCGATGGCCTCTTTCCTTCGCTGTTTCGAGAAGGTAAAGATATGTTTCCTCTGCAACATATCTCATGGTTTCTTGATCTTGAACTATTTGGTTCTTATTTCTTTACTTTTTTTCTTTTTCTTTCCAGTAATTAGAAGAGCACCTCATGAATTCAAGATCTCTTGCTTGGAGGTTAGTTTGTTTCTATATCTGTCGAACTCTTATGTCCTCTAAAACATGTTTAAAGATGTTGAGTAACTCTAGAGCTCGGTTTTTCGAAATTTTTACAGGAGATACGGGCATTGTTCCCTCCGGAACACAACCCGTTCTATGCTGGTTTTGGAAACAGAGACACGGACGAGATAAGTTACCTTAAAGTCGGAATCCCCCGTGGAAAGATCTTCACTATTAACCCAAAGGTACTCAATTCTTAAAATGAGAGAAATGCATTAACAAAAAAAAAAAGATGAATTAGCAACAGTTGTAAGTTTGCTTGTTTGACCTTTATAAGTTTTCGTTTTGGCTTTGTAAAAATGTTTAGTATGAAATACTGAAAATGTTTAGTTTGTGCCAAGATGCAAAAGAAAATTCACTATGTAATTGGTGTTTGAAAGAATGGCGATCTTTGCTTGTGAAAAATGCAGGGGGAAGTAGCTGTGAATCGTAGGGTGGATACAAGATCATACACAAATCTTCATGCTCTTGTCAATGGAATGTTTCCAGCTACAACAACCTCTTCAGAAAGGGTATCTGATAATAGATACATTTGTAATTTTAGTTTGTTTTTGTTTCGATGTTTACTTGCGGATTCTGATGAACATTTTTACAAACAGGAGGACTTTAACAATTGGAATTTCTGGAAACTGCCTCCTCCACCGTTTATGTGATGATATGATGACGATTTTGTTGGAGAAGATGCAGATTAGATGATAGAGATAACACATGGTGGCCCAGTGTAGGGTTAGCGTTATTAATCAAAGTCCATCTTGACTTTTTGTTCTTTCTTTTTCTCAAAGTAATTTTGTTTCTTTGTTGTTTTGTCACACTGGTTTGATATCACAGGTTACGGATGTATGGGCAGTTATACGTGTATATATATATATATATATATTTAAAATGTTGGACAGTGTTCATCAAAACATCTTGAAATAAAGAGAATAATCAATATAATTCAACACCATTATTTTGTTCGGAAAATTAGAGTCAACTAGTAGTACATTAACTTTCGAAATAATAAAGAAACTTGCTATATTTGGAATCAACCAAATACAAATATTTTTTACTGTGTAGATGTGTACTGTAACTTCAATAATCCACTCATTAACTAAAGGGACTCGTACATAAATAGCATAACATCCTTTCCCTCTCCTCCGTCCTCTTCTCCATCTTCTTCCATTTCCTCAAACTCATGATGCACACCAAGACTGACTCCGAGGTAACAAGCCTCGCAGCTTCATCGCCGACTAGATCTCCCCGTCGTCCAGCATACTTCGTCCAATCACCGTCGCGTGACTCCCACGATGGAGAAAAGACAGCAACATCTTTCCACTCCACGCCGGTGCTCAGCCCGATGGGATCTCCTCCGCATTCTCACTCCTCCTCGAGCCGCTTCTCCAAGATCAACGGCTCTAAGAGAAAGACTCACGCCGGAGACAAGAAGTTCGCCATGATCGAAGAAGAAGGTTTGCTCTATGATGGAGATAGAGAAGAAGAAGGTTTGCCTCGCCGATGCTATGTCTTAGCCTTCATCGTTGGATTCTCTCTTCTCTTTGCTTTCTTCTCTTTGATTCTTTACGCAGCTGCTAAACCTCAGAAGCCTAAGATCTCAGTCAAGGTTAGTCAAATCTCAGATTCTTGCAGATCAAGAACTATACATTTTCTTGATTCTAATAACTCAGATCGGATCTTCTTGGAACCGTTTAGTTTCGAGCTAGATCCACGATCGGACTGTGTTTAGATTAGTGACATGTTTTTTTGGTGAATGTGTGGATTGGATTGCAGAGCATAACGTTTGAGCAACTTAAGGTCCAAGCAGGACAAGATGCGGGAGGAATAGGAACCGATATGATCACGATGAACGCGACGTTGAGAATGGTGTATAGAAACACAGGCACTTTCTTTGGTGTTCATGTGACTTCTTCTCCGATTGATCTTAGTTTCTCTCAGATCACAGTCGGTTCTGGAACTGTAAGTACCAAATTCTGTAAACGCTTTTAATGATGTGTGATGTGTCTATGTCTATTGATGTTAACTGTTGCTACTTGCTATCACCATATGATTTTCACCTTTTCAGTGTACATCGTCTTTTTTGGGTTTTTTGTTTTCAAGCGTTGAATGTATAACCGGATTGTTCCCGGTTCAGTTTTGGAAAATGTTCGGTTTAGACTGATTTGGTTTTGTCTTTGATCAATGTTGTCGGTTGTCTGTTGTCGGTTGCTAACTTGCTATTATGATCACATGGGTTAATCAAGAGGACACATTCAGTTTTGAATTAATTTAATAGTATAGTATAAAGTATTTCTTGGTATATAGTCCCCTCTTGGCCTCTTTCATAAATTTATTTTGTTCCATGGGTTGGTCTAGTTATTTTTTGTATTTATATTGATTAATTTGAATAAATTGTAAATTTTTAAAAAGATTGATAGGATATGTTAATTTGTTGAACCATTATTAGTTTGTAGTTATGACTCATGAGAGTGTATGGCAATGAAAAAACATTTATAAGAGTAGTCATCAATTATTTTCTTGATTTGTATGAAAACCTTATTTTTGAGAAACAAATATATTTATTTTATTTATTGAAATTTTGATCCAGTTTGATTGCAGTAAATTCGATTTAAATTCACACTTCATTTAAAATATTCTTACTGTCCAGTTTTAGAAATAAAGTTCGGTTTTGAATTTTAACAACACAGATTTTGACGATTTGTGTTTCTTATACTTGCAGATTAAAAAGTTTTATCAGTCGAGGAAAAGCCAAAGAACAGTGATAGTGAATGTGATTGGAGACAAGACTCCTCTATACGGAAGTGGTTCTACCTTAGTCCCACCACCACCTCCTGCACCAATTCCACTAAAAAGCAGCAAGAAGAAGAAAGGACCCATCGTGATCGTCGATCCACCAGCACCTCCTGCTCCGGTGCCGATGAGGTTAAACTTCACCGTTAGATCTCGAGCTTACGTGTTAGGGAAGTTAGTTCAGCCAAAATTCTACAAGAGAATCGTGTGTTTGATTAACTTCGAACACAAGAAACTCAGTAAACACATCCTTCTCACGAATAATTGCACCGTCACTACCATTTGAAGGCAAAGAGAGAAAAAAACACTTGATCGTGCAAACAATGTCGTGTTAAGGTAACGTGCCTATACATGTTACTTAGGCAGTAGTGTGTGACATGCCCGAAGATGCAGAAGAAAGAAGAATCACACCGTTAATGGGTTAATAATACTTTTAATTTATGTGAGTGATTACGGTCCGTGGAGAGTTTTTTGTCAGTGATACATTGAATGAGAAGATTCACATTTTTTAATTTCGTTTTCTTTTAATGCGAAGCATCAACCTCTTTTTCTTTATAATATTCAAGTTTTATAATGCACTGAGGTGTATATGTCTATCACCCCGATTAATCCGAATTAGTTATATAAAATCTTAAAATGAATTTCGGATTAATCATGGATGGAATTTAAATGAATGAATATATACGACAACGATTTGTAGGTGGCTGAGAATGGTTTGTGAGTGTTGTGTAAGACTTGATGATGATATAATTTGGCGTTTTCTCGGGCGCTATTTTAATGTTTTTGTATATTGAGCGTATTCCTCTCTCAGTTGTAACCTTTACTTAAGGTGGTGGTGGTGGTTGTAGTGGTTTTTGGTTCTGATTTTGTTGTGGTCATGTGATTATTTTGTATACCGGTATTGAAGCTGTTTTGAGATTTGATTAGTTATTTCTTTGAAGTTGGTGCTTTTTGAGTCTCATTTAGCACCGGCAACTCTTACAAAATATTGGTTAGGATCCATATGTTACATCATATCATAGTACATACAAACATCTTCCCCACTAGGAAATGATATTTTTTGTTGTTGTTGCAACTAACATCTAGTTCTATGTAGATCCCAAAGGAGACTAATGTGGAACATCCAAACCAAAATGGCCTATGGGGAGAGCTGAGCCCATTCGAAGGAGATGGAATTCAAGAATATGAAGGTGGTCAAAGTGTAACTTTTTCACTGTTTGAAGTATATAATTTATACACGACAGTGGATAGATGCAAATTCAAACGAGTGACTATGGATCAATTTCGTAGAATTTTTTTTTTTTTGATATGTTAGATAAGTTTGATATGATTTTAATCCAAAATATGTAATGAATCGTGTGGAACAAAATTAAAATTTCAGTTTTTTTTATCTGATATGGTGGATAAGATTTTAATCCAACAGTTGATGGTGGGTGAAATCTAATGAAGGGCTTAGATTAAATTTCCAATATTGTTTTTTTTTTCTCATGTGGGTGATAAGTTGGATAGTTTAGATAAAAATTTAATCCAACCGTTAATAATAAATGAGATCTAGTAAATGGTGTAATTTACATTCTCAAGATTTTCTTATCTTCTCGTAAATAGTAAAAATTTCAATCTATAAAATTAGACAACACAAATGAATGTTAGACAAATATCTCAATATCACAACTTGCTAACAAAAAAAAAGGATGAACTACAATACTGGATATCAATTTTCTTTCAACAATTCTTCTTCTTCTTCCTCAGACTCTGATGAATGGTTTATGGAAGAAATTGATTTAGAAGAACAAATACTAGTCAACATGTATATCAACAACACTCGGCTTATTCACCAACTCATTCAAGAAAACGAATCAAACGAGCATGTAAGTTTCTCGAGACTCTTTTATTTCTGGTCAAGCCGTTTCACAATGACTGAATTTTTTTTGAGAAATACCTAAAATGCCACCTTTTAAGTTGAAATTTCCAAAATTAGTCAAATGGAGACGAATACTAAAATTATTTGGTAAACGAAATCAGAATCGTCGGCGTAAGAGGCAGCGAAGAAGAAGGAGAAAAGCGAAGATGACGCTGAAGAAACTGGACGCAAATCCATCGACCTTGGAATCAGTGTTAGAAGAATTGAAATCGGACGAAACGAATCGCGGCAAAATCAATTTCATCCTCTTCCTCGCCGATAACGATCCCACCACCAATCGCAGCTGGTGTCCAGGTTCGTTGTTAGGGTTTTTCTCATCATCAAACCTTAATCGATCGATTTTCATCTCTTTTTTGTTTGATGATCTATGGTTGATAATAATAACCAGATTGCGTTAGAGCGGAGCCGGTGATATACAAGACACTAGAGGAATCTCCAGCGGAAGTGAATCTGATTCGGGCGTACGCCGGAGATAGACCTACGTGGAGGAATCCGGTGCATCCGTGGAGAGTTGATCCTCGATTTAAGCTCACCGGTGTGCCTACGCTTGTTCGCTGGGACGGAGAGAGTGTGAAGGGCCGTCTCGAGGATCACCAAGCTCACGTTCCTCGCTTGATTCTCCCACTTCTCTCGTCTTCAGTTTCTGCGCCAGCAACTTGATCGAAATCAAGTACGGATTTGTTCTTGTGTGTAGGGTTTTGTTTTGGTTAATGAATCTATAAATCTTTTTAGAATTTTGATCGATATTGCTGTTTGTTTCAGGGACTGTTGCTGGATCGATGAGTCATGTTTCTTCCGTATGTGTATTCCAATAAATCCTATACAATGTGTAAGGAGAATGCGATCGAAAGTTTGTTTCTGCGATTTGTATGGTTTCGTATGTTTAATTGTATTGTTGCATACTCTCTAGCTTTCTCAATTGAATAAAATGGATTTACTTCAGATTTTCGACTTATTCGTGTGAGTTACGATTCTATATGTGAAGAATAATGCGATGGAAAGTTTGTTTCTGCGATTTTGTATGGTTTCGTGCTCTATGAGTCATGATTGTATAGGTTTTTATCGGGAAATCGAAGTCTATTGTGGAATCTAGTCTAGCTTTGGAAATGAGCTTAGATAAAGTATGAAACTTTCTTCTTCCGTTTTCGGTCTCTGCGGTTAGTTTAGTCCCGGGGATGGATTGTTGAAGCTTGATGGCTTTCACGTCCAGTGTAATTATAGTCTTGATCCTAGAACAGAAGGGAATAGAGGAACATGACTGTTTGATGAGCAAATTTCTTCTACCGATCTTATGCAACTCTGTTCTGTATATACAAGACTATACAATGCTCTCATTGCTTCCTTTGATGGTTCAGTTTTGTTCTTTTGCTTGTTGGGGGATAATAATGATCACGAGTTGTAGCATCAAGGTCCTGAAATTGATAGATTTCTCAAGATATAGATGATGTTGCATGAATGGCTGTAAACTTTTCTGTATTTCGTTTATTGTGTGGTGTTATAGTAGCATGTTGCATTAAGCTACACCATCGGAGAAGCAATGAGCTGGTTTTTGCGTACCGTCCTCACTAGGACATTGTAGGTCAGGACGTGAATAAGGAAGTACAAGATTTCTACATATGAAGCAGGCTTCAGTGGAAGTCTTACTTTATAAAATCCAATACTAAACAATATCCAATTTTATAAAGTTCAGATTCTAAACGTACGATAGCAAATACGAAGTCTGTAGGTAAAAACTGGTCGATGTGGTAAACAGAAGGAGAGTTTAACCATTTATCAATCACCGACTTCTGCAGCTGTTCTCAAACCAGAGATGCAGTTTCCAAAATTATTAGGATGAAGTGAAGGATGCATCCCTGTTCTACCATTAGCACCAAGTGTCCAACTTGTTTTTTGTTCGAGGGGTAATCTTTATGCCCTAGTTATGCATCTCCATATACCTGCAGTTAGCGATTGGAAAGATGAGATAGAGGTGGTTCTGTTTTTTTGGTTAGCCTTTGATTTAAGGCTACCAAAATTGTATTTATACGTTTTAGTTATACAAGGAATGAGAGAGTGAATAACCAGGTTTAATAGGTCTAAACTCTAAACCAAAACAAAACTTTTAAGTAATGAAATATTTTTCCAACTCAATTTTTTGTTTTTTCATTTCCGAAATATTGTAACCTGAACTAATCTGAGGAAGAAAAGAAAAACACACTCAGACCTCAATCTCTTTGAAAATACATTGGTGAACTACGAGGAAAACACACATTTTATTCCTAAACTATATGAAAATGCATGTTTTATTCCCCAACTCTTGATTGGACAAATAATTTCTTAAAGTATTGTTAGACTTTACCAAATCGGGTTTCAATTAGTCAACTGTTAACATGGAAATGGATTCCACTAAATTTGTAACATTATCTGTCGGGATTTTCCGTTCTAAACTCAGAATTTCCAAACCTAAAAACTTTAAGGGAATTTTGGCTTTCTCAAGAAATTTTTAGCAATTTTCAACCAATTTCAAAGCTGGAATTTTGAATTGATACAATCGCTAAAGTATGTTGGAATTTGCTAAAAAAAAATGAAATTTGCCTTAAGGTTAATGTTACAAATTTAACGGAATCTCATGTTAATGATTTTGAAACCCAATTTGGTAAAGTCAACAATACTTTCAGGAATTATTTGTGCAATCAAGAGTTGGGGAATATAAAGTGCAGTTTCTGATCGATTTTGTTTTTGCTTTTCCTTTCAGTCATGATCCCTTTCAGGAATTATTTGTACAATCAAGAGTTGGGGAATATTATGTGTGTGCTTGTTGTTTAAAACCATGTTAAAACCTTTCAATCAAATTAACTTTTGTGCTTGTTGTTTTGTTTTTTTTCAGCTGTTTTCAATGCTAATCTTCTTGAGTATGAGACAACAAGAGCCTACATATTCAAACATAGCAACATACCTCCCAAAATTACAAAAATAATGGATACTTTCCACAAGTGGCACCCAAAGGAGTATTTTTTCGTGAGGATCAACGACAGAGACATTTTGATACGTCAGATGGCTTTCAAGTACAAAACAAATCATCAGCATGTCAATTCAGGCCAGTGCTTATGCAATCACGATCAGAATCTGGCTATGGGCAGAGGCTGGTTTCTCTATGAGTACAAGCTGGAAGCAAACCTCATCTTCTGCTTGACATACAAGCCAATTCGGTCTTCCCTTCGTCACTGCCCTATTAGAGCCAAAACTGTTAAGGATGTCTATGAAGGAAAGGAGGTGTATCCTGGGAACCCCTTAGTAGGATTGAGGAAGCTGATTTATGCTCCTTCCTTAGGCTGTGCCAGCAGTCATGGAGCTATAATCAGAGGGTATCTTTGTCTTAAGCATTGTGATTGTTTCCGATGAGAAACAGAAGATCCTCTCCTTGAGAATCGGAGATTTGTAGGGTCTGATAAACTCATTAGGATGGCTATAGGGAAGGCTGAAGAGTGAATCGTATCCTTGAGGGATATAACGTTGTAAGACCGGGGGATTCTTGAGACAGAAGTCACCGTTTTTGTTGCTTTCTTGTGCTTGAAAGATCTCGGACCAAGACTTAAAGAATTTCCAGAACGAAGTACCGTCTCCCATCGCGTGGTTCATCGAAAGTCCTATGAAAATTCCATCTACCAATTCTGTTACCTATATACAACAACCCTTAAATTCGTTATCAACGTTCTCGAAATTGTATTTACAAGGAGGAATTAATTAGTGTCTCTACTCTGGTTTAAATGGGTCCAAGCCAAACCGAAACCATATCCAAAAAACAAATGTGTTACATGCAACAATTCTAACATCAAATTCTTTGATTTTTTCATATATATATTATTTTTTTTTCAAAAAGCCAAATCCGAACTGAAAACATATCAAACCAAACGAAAAAAAGGAATTAATTCGATTTAATTCTTAATTTCATTGAATCTTTTCTAAAAGCCAATTCTAAACCGTATCAAAAGTCAAAACAGAAAAAGAATAAATCGAGTTAAACCTCATTTTATTTTGAAAACTTTTGTGGATTTATGTACTGTCCGAAACAGTACCAAACAAAACCGAAAGCTTCGTCTGGTTTCTATTTATGGAAACAAAACTCTAATAAACTCTAATAAACAAAGCTTCGTACCTCATTTTGTTCTGTATCTACAAGACTATACAATGCTCTCATTGCTTCCTTTGATGGTTCAGATTTGTTCTTTTGCTTGTTGGGGGAGAATATTGATCAGGAGTTGTAGCATCAAGGTACTGAAATCGATAGATTTCTCAAGATATAGATGATGATGCATGTGGATGGCTATACACTTTTCTGTATTTCGTTTATTGTGTGGTGTTGTAGTAGCAGTTTAATGTTGGCTAAAAGTTACACCATCGGAGAAGCAATGAGCTGATTTTTGCTTACCGTTCTCATGGGACATTGTAGGTCAGGACGTGTATAAGGAAGTCAATCAAATTCAATACTAAACAATATCCAATTTTATAAAATTCAAATTCTAAACGTACGATAGCAAATACGAAGTCAGTAGGTAAAAGCTGGTCAATATGGTAAATAGAAGGAGAGTTTAACCATTTATCAATCACCGACTTTGGCAGCTGTTCTCAAATGCAGTTTCCAAAATTATTCGGATGAAGTGAAGGATGCATCCCTGTCCTACCATTAGCAAGAAGTGTCCAACTTGTTTCTTGTTCGAGGGGTAATCTCTACGCCCTAGTTACGCATCTCCATATACCTGCAGTTAGCGATTGGAAAGATGAGATAGAGGTGGTTCTGTTTTGTTGGTTAGTCTTTGATTTAAGCGGTCTCTTTGTTTCTGATGAGAAACAAAACATTTTCTCCATTAGGATCGAAGATTCGTAGCATCTACTTAAGTTCTAAAAGGAAGAAGGTTAAGAAGAGGACCGTATCCTAAGACCGATGGATACTTGAGACACAAGTCATTATTTTTGTTGTTTTCTTGTGCTTTAAAGATCTTGGACCAAGCGTTGAACAAGTTCCAGAACGAACTTCCATCTCCCATAGCGTGGTTCATCGGCATTCCTATGAAAATTCCAATTATGTGCCCTACAAGCGTGTGCAAAACCCATTAAGGCTACCAAAATTGTATTTATACGTTTTAGTGATGGTCTTTGATGGTCTTTTTGTTCAATTAGTTTTAAAAAAACTTGACCTAATGAAATATTTTTCCAACTCAATTTTTTTTTTTCATATGCGAAATATTGTAACCTGAACTAATCTGAGAAAGAAAAGAAAAACACACTCAGACCTCAATCTCTTTGAAAATATTGGTGAACTATGTGGGTAATTTAGTTTCTTTCTTTCATTCTGTTGTTTGTATGGTTTAGTTAAGTCCAGAGTTGCTCAGGTTTACTATTTTAAGTAGGATTTTTGTTTTTATGTTGATTAATAGAGTGACTGATGAATCTTACCTGAAGGACACAAAATTTGAATCATTTGAAAAAAAACGAAACAAATTTTTATAATCCAAAACCACCCTTTATCTTTTTAAATCAAGTTTGACAATCTATCCTATTTTGATGGTCTTTTTGATCAATTAGCTTAAAAAAAACACGATACATCCAATAATACCATACAAAAGAATCAACGATTGAGTAACAACTCCTAAAATACTATAAATCCAACATAAGTCTACAAGGGTAGACAAATAATGACCATGTTAATGTCGGAATTAAAACTCGATCACATCAGTACAAATGTATAAGTATTTGTTTTTAGTTAGTGAAAAGAAGCATGATTTTTGTCGGTGAACAAAAAAAAAATATAAAATCAAAACGACTACAACAATAAAAAATTAAAGAGAATGGCAAGAACAGAAAACAAAGTGAGAAACAATTGAAAAGGAGAGATGACCGAAATTTCAGTGTCCATGCTCCTTCAGCGTCTTAACATAAACTACAATTGCTCAAAATTAGCACCATCTGCCTATACCAAATCAAAATCAATGAACAAAAAGTCGTTTGCTCATAATTTTAGGGAGTTTTCAAAACACCTCCTCTGCTCCGGCCATATTAAAAGTTTGTAATTGTTATTTTAACTTTGATTCACCTGATTTATTTAATTTATATGCTTGTTGTTTTGTTTTTTTCAGATCTTTTCGATGTTGACCTTCTTGAGAATGAGACAACTAGAGCATTCATCTTCAAACACAACAACATTCCTGAATGGAGACTTTTCACAAATAGCATCAAGAGGACTACTTTTTTGTGAGAATCAACAATATAGATATTGTGATTCGTCAGCGGGCTCTTAAGTATAAAAACAATCATGAGCATGACAATTCTGGGGAGTGCATATGTAAACACGATCAGAATCTGGCGATGTGCAGAGGGTGGTTTCTCTGTGAGTATAAGCTGGTAGCAAATCTCATCTTCTGCTTGACATACAAGCCAGTTCGTTCCTCCCTTCGTCACTGCCCCATTAGAGCAAAAACTGTTAAGGAAGTCTATGAGGGAAAGGATATTTATCCTGGGAAATGACTGAGGAAGCCGATTTCTAATGGTGAAAGTGCTGCTTCTGCCTTAGGTTGTGGCAGTCAAGTGGTAAAAATGCTCAATTCCTGATTATTTATACTTTATATATCTTGTGAATATCACCTTTATAATCTTGGATTACGTAGGTCAAATGCATGATATGTTTATGAGATATTTGGGTTGTTTAAAAATTGTGGATACATCATATTGCATCCTGTTTTGTTTCCATCTTTTGATCTTTCAAAATTCCATATTTTGTTTGCAGGCTGTTCTGTACATAGGCATTGATGTTGACCATGGAGATGTAATGGAAGAGGCGTTTTATGGATTTATGACCGTTTCTATCCGCAAATTTGGATTTATGACCGTTTATATCCAAAACACATGGATTTATGAACTCTTGGATAGAAATGGTCATAAATCCAAATCATCATTTAATGGAACTTTTAGAACACAACGACCAGTTCCTAAGAGTTCACTAAAGACACACATTGTATATAATATATTTGTATAGAAAAAAGTGAGAAACAAATTGAAAATCTTGGAGACTTAAAAGAGAAAGTTAAATTATCATCAAGAAGAAACAAGAGCCATGAACTCTTCATCTGATTCTAAAGCTTCCATAAACTCTGGAACAAGACACACCTCCAAATCTATGCTTCCCCCACCTTCTCTTCCTGGGTAAGCCGTGACCTTCCCATCAAACTTGTGCGCGTAACCACTTCTAAGCGTCAATGCTTTTCCCATCCCAAACTCACAGCCATACTTGTCGAACCTCGGCGAACTTCCCATCATAACACTCATCGGTTCGAAAAGCCGATCAATATGGTAAATGAAAGGAGACTTCAACCACTGATCAATCAGTTGAGATACCTTTTCACTAGTTAGTTCAGCTACGACTTGATGCACTTTCAAAGCCGCCCATCCAATATCATTCTCCATCAGCTCACCGGCTTTTGCAGCCGTTCTCACAGCAGAGACACAATTCCCCAAGTAATCCTTGGGAAGCGGTGGATACATCCTAGCTCTATAGTCAGCAGAAAGTCTACAACTTGTTTCTTGTTCGAGGGGTAAGTTTCTTGCCCTAGTTATGCATCTCCATATAACCGCGGTGAGGGATTGGAAAGATGAGATGGAGGTTGTTCCGCATACTTTGTTAATCTTTGCCTTAAGCGTTCTTATTGTTTCTGATGAGAAACAGAAGATCCTCTCCTTGAGAATCGGAGAATCGTAGGGTCTGATAAACTCATCAGGATGGCTATAGGAAAGGCGGAAGAGTGGACCGTATCCTTGAGGGATATAACGTTGTAAGACTGGTGGATTCTTGAGACACAAGTCACCGTTTTTGTTACTCTCCTCTGCTTGAAATATCTCGGACCAAGACTTAAAAAACTTCCAGAACGAAGTACCGTCTCCCATCGCGTGGTTCATCGAAAGTCCTATGAAAATTCCATCTACCAATTCTGTTACCTATACAAGTATACAAAACACATAAATTCGTTATCAAGTTTCTCCAAACTGTATTCGCGTTTAAATGGGTCCAAGCAAAACGGCTAACCGAAACCATAAAATGGGTCCAAGCCAAACCAAAACCATATCCAAAAACAAACAGAGAAGAAGATAAACAGGTTTTTCGCAAGGATTTTCCAATGGACATTTTTGTCCACTCCACAGATGTGTTACATACTTACATGCAACAATTCTAACATCAATTTCTTTGAATTTATTTTTTATACTTTTTGAAAAAGCCAAATCCAACTAAAAACATATTTTAACCAAACGAAAAAGGAAATAAATCAATTTATATCTTTCATTGAATCATATATTTTCTAAAGGCAATTCCAAACCGTATCAAAACAGAAAAAGAATAAATCGAGTTAAACCTCATTTTCTTTGAAACTGTAGTAGATTTCTAGCCACTGACGGTCCGAAACAATACCAAACAAAACAGAAATTTTCGTTTGGTTTCTATTTATGGAAAAAAACTATAATAAACCATTCCTCTACGGGATATATAAATACCAACCTGGACTGATAAGAGGCTCTTGGTGACTCCATCATGATTCACAGCTCTATGATGGTCAAACAAAGAGTGAACAATCAAAGGAACATACTTGGGGCCAACAATGTCTTCTATAGATAGATCCAAGGTCGCGTAGATGAATCCAGCACCAGTACTATTGTTACAATCCACAAAAACAGAGTATGATTTGGGGTTTTCCGTTGCTAGCGTCGAGAGGCGGCCGGCAAGAGGGTAGAAATGAACGAGCGTGATGGCGAGAGAATCTCTCAGCTTCTGGAGCAAAGTGTCAATGGAGTGGATAGGCTTGTGAAAGAGGAGACCTTTTTGGATGTAGTGAACAGAAAGCATTGCATAGTCCCATGGGGATAAATAGTAGGGTTTCTTTGATTCTTCTGGGATGGTTTTGGGTTTGACGAAGCATTTTGAGATGATTTTTATTGATGGTGAAGAAGAATCCATCATGAAATGTTTTTTAGCTCAAACTTTGTAAGTATGAAGTCATGAGGCGTTTCATCGATGAATATATAGCCAAGAGAAACATGCGTCTTGGTTGCAACCTGGAAATTTCCTTTTTTCCTTCTGTAATTTGGAATTTTGTGAAAAGTTGGTGGAATTTATTGGAGACTTTGACCATATCATTTTATATATTAGAATTTAGATACTTAACCCATTGAGACATATACAATTCTATATAGGAGAATTTAATTATGTGATTTAGCACTTTGAGTCAAACAGTCGACCAAACTATTTGAAATGCGGAAAGTTTAAAGAGATTTTTGAAGGCGTAAATCACCTCTTGTTTCCCAAGTAGTGTTGAACTAGTGACAGCAATGACTTAGAAGATGAGAACATTGACAAGTTTTAGGATGTAGACAACACGTTAATAAAGTGCATGCATTATCTTGAAAAGATAGACGTTGTGTTATGTCTGTTTTGATGCATTTTTGTCGTTTGAAAGGCTTCTCCACAGGTGTCGACGTCGTTTTCTAACCATACAAAAATCATCTCCATATTTCTGCAAATAAATGATTAAGAAGATATAGTCATTGACGTACAGTTTGTTTTGCTTTTGAAGATTCGGTGGCTCATGTTAAAAGAATAAAAAGAGTTTGTGAACTTTTTTTTTCTCTTGGTGAAAGAGTTGGTGGATGAACATTCATTCTTTTCCGAACGGCAGATTTCAAGTAAACGCTTTTAAACATTAAAAAATTGATTCACCAAACATGTATATTTTATAATAAGATCACACACTGAAAGTTTATAAAGAACTTAAACAATATATAAGTTCTTCATAAAATTAGACAAAATTGTTGACACATATAGAGCTTGTGGAAAAATTGTTTACATAACGAGAAAGATCAATCCATAAAACTTAACAACTTTTTTCTATATGCTTTAAGCTCAATATTATATTTCTCTCACAGATGATAAAGCACTTCCAAGAATTACTTGTTAGTTTGGAATAATAGCATCCTCGATGTTATTGAGAATCTAGCTGAACTCGATGAGTTACAAGGAAATTTTCAACCGAGGAGTTAATCTCAGCTTCTAGATCTATGCGACCTTTAGCGACATGTAATGTTCAATAACTTACCCATAGGAGTGTCCAATTTGTCATGCCAAAACGATGTTGATGAGACACATATCACTCAACTTTTGTCAAAGTAGTCACAAGCTCTCTATATGTCAACAATTTTGTCCACATCCATGTACCTAACGAATATTTTGCATCGACTGACCAGAGTGATCTCTTTCGAATTCGATATTTGCGGATCCAATCTACTCACAGTGGATAATTAGATGATAGTCTGATTTTTAAAAGAAGAAAGAAATATTATCATTATTTCGCCTATCACTAAAAAATATTAAACATGGAAAAACGCATGCAACAAAGTTACAAAGCTCAAAATGACAAACAAATGTCATGTAAAGCATCTCCATGTACAATCCACCAACCAAATTATCTGGATTTCGCTGAGAGATTCGTTATGTGAACTCGCTGATTCTGTCTTTGAAGAAGTTGTGTTTCTTTTCAGTTTAGTATGTAACTGTTGGTTTTCTTTCTTCTCTTTTGACTGCAATTGGTTAAATACTTAAATCAAGTTTGGAATTAGTATTTTGGCTGATCCAAAATTGAAATATTTAAATTCAGATGAAAAAAAAAGTAATAAACATTCACATAAAATATACCAAATTAACAATATTATGAGAAAAAAAAAAGTTAAAACAAATTCTTGACTAATTTGAGGAATTTCCGTTTAATATAATCAGCGCTAGCGTCTCGTGAAATATTTTAACGTGGTCTATTACTATACTAGTCATGCAAATATATTGTATTAAATAATTTATCCCTAGAGAAAAGATTGTTTGCAATTCGACCCTCATTAATATCTCCTTTTCTTTCAGGACCTGCCCTCTTCTCTCTCTCTCTCTCTCTCTCGCGAGTGCGAAACAAATAAAGCTAACCCTAGTTCGTGATCGGAAGCGCAGCAGCTCCTCGTCGGCGAGGCCTTTCTCAGAAGATATCCACTCCTCTTCGGTACTTTTCATCAATCTCTCTCTTCGTTTCAGTCTCTAATTCCTGCTCATCTGGGTGATTAGAATGTAGAAACTCGTCCGCCTTAGATATCTCTAGGTGATTTTTCTTTCGCTTGTAAGATCTCAAACGATTCACGACTCTGAATCTTCCCATGGATTCGATTTTCTTCTGCTATTTCGTTCGCTCTCGCTGATTCTCTGTTATAAAGCTTACATCTTTGATTTCAAGCTCTCGTCTCACTCTCTAATTCTGAAAATCTGATTCCTTGTAATATCCTAATCTTCCATAGATGAGCGTTGATGAACAAGTTTGTGTGTTCAATTTGATTTTGTTTCTTGTATTTAGGTGAAGGATTTAAGCAATGGCGGAGCATTTAGCTTCAATCTTTGGTACAGAAAAGGACAGAGTGAATTGCCCGTTCTACTTCAAGATCGGAGCTTGCCGTCACGGCGACCGTTGCTCACGGCTGCACAACCGTCCCACAATCTCACCGACGCTTCTCCTCTCCAACATGTACCAGAGACCCGACATGATCACTCCCGGCGTCGACCCACAGGGCCAGCCGCTGGACCCGAGCAAGATTCAAGAACATTTCGAGGATTTCTACGAAGACATATTCGAGGAGCTCGACAAGTTCGGCGAAGTGGAGTCTCTCAACGTCTGTGACAACCTCGCCGACCACATGATCGGCAATGTATACGTCCTGTTCAAGGAGGAGGACCAGGCCGCTGCCGCCTTGCAGGCTCTGCAAGGGAGATTCTACTCAGGGCGTCCGATCATCGCGGACTTCTCTCCGGTGACTGATTTCCGGGAAGCGACTTGCAGGCAGTACGAGGAAGACAACTGTAACCGTGGCGGATACTGTAACTTCATGCACGTGAAGCAGATCTCGAGGGAGCTTAGGAGGAAGCTGTTTGGGAGGTATCGGAGGTCGTACCGGAGAGGGAGCAGAAGCAGGAGCAGGAGCAGGAGTGTTAGCCCGCGGCGTGTGAGAGAGCGTGGTGGTGAGAGAGAGAGAGGGGATTTCAGGGGACGTGAGAGGGATGGTGAAGGTTACCGTGGGAAACGGAGCAGTGACAGGTCGGAGAGGCATGACCGGGATGGTGGTGGTGGGAGGAGGAGGCATGGAAGCCCGAAACGGAGCAGCAGGAGTCCTCCGGTTGGGAGAGAAGGCAGCGAGGAGAGGAGAGCGAGGATTGAGCAATGGAACCGAGAACGCGATGAGGGAGTTTAAAAGTTTGCTGTTGTTCTCTTCTTCTTCATGATGAGTGTTTGCTTCAGAACTCGTTTATGGATTATTCATTTTGGTGTTCTCTTGAGTGTCATGAACTTGTTAGATTGGTGGATTACAATTTTTCTTGTAGAATTTTGCTTAGAAACTAGCTCGTGTGGAAGATGTTTGGTTTAGTTTCTTTAAATTAATGTGGTAATGATCCTTTGGTTAACTGTTCTTCATTACTGTCCCTTGCAAGCTGTAGAATTTTGTCTGTTGATTGGATAAAGAAACTTGCTTTCTGTGCTGTTTCATCAAATTACATTAAGAAATGAACAACTCAAATCTTGGGCTTATTTCGATTTCAATGTATTACAACAACAACAAAAACAGCTAGTAGTAGTAACAAGATCCATCTGGTGTTAAAGAAGATCAATGACTTAAGCTATCAGAAGACTTTGGATCGCCGACTTGTTCTTCTCCGTTTACAAACTTCTGCTTCTGAGTGTAGAAGCTAACTATCTTCTTATCCAGTTTGTAGTATGCCTCCATTCTCTTTAATGGTTTCAAGCTTAAGTCAATGAAGTGTGCCTACACTTCCCAAAATATTATCAAATATAAAACGAAAAACAAAGTTCATGGTTTTTGATATAACTCAAGTGCATCAAATCAAGAATGTGTTTAAAGGGAACATACCTTGTAATCAAACACTTGATTAGTCGACTGAAGACAAACAGCATCACAAGAAGGAGCTGAATCACAACCTTTCCTTAACTGAAAACTAATCATAAGACTACAGTCCTTGGCCGTTGCAGCAGTCATATACTCCTTGACGATCTTCAAGCTCTCATCTAAAGGTAAACCATGTAGAGAAGAGTACTTCTCCAACTGTCCACTCTCTTTACATAAAGGACAAGGCTGGTTGATTACATCGTAATAACAATGAATCGCTCCTTCAATGTCCAACTTATCCAGCTTCTGAACCTCAAGAAGCTTATCGAGCACTCCAGAGTCATAGACAGTATCAGATACTAGCTGCAAGAAACATTCTGTCCTGAGACCGTCGCTTGATTGAATGAAGCCTTTGAGTGCATCCTCAAAGGCATACGCGATTTTAGGGCTTGTTCTTCCTGTGCTTTCACCGGAACCTCCTAATATGATGGAACCATTCAAGAACACACGGAAGTTGTTCTGTGGGATGGAGTATAAGGCTTTTATAGCTTCTGTGACTCTCTCTTTGGATCCAGAGAAGAGATCAAGAGGATCATACTCGCTTACTTCAGATATCTGCAGAGTAGTGACATAGTGATAAGACTCTTAATGAGTTAAAGATTCTAAGCTACTGTAGTGCTTTGCTTTTACCTCGTTGTGTTCCAACTTCAAAATTTGGTGCATTTTGAAACGGCTTACGCTTCTTTTGAGCTTGTTCTCTTCACTGATGAACATTGAGGTTGGAAGAAATCCGCATTTCGGCTACTTCACGGAATTAAGGACAGCGAGTTTAGGTCAAAAATGTGAAAAACAACGTAAACAAGGGACTATCAAAGAAAACATACCTTTATTTCAACGCTAAAGCAGTCACCACCACTAGAAATCCCTGTGACAGATGAAATTTATGCTCATAAATAAAACTAAATGAATCGCTTAAGATATCTGAACTTTGATGATAATAGTTACCTTGAGAGAAAAGTGAATGATCGTTCAAGATAAGAGCAGAGTCATGACTAGTGTCAACATTTGCTGCATTCACACGCCATGGAGGACGCTGCTTAGTTACTTTCTTGTCAACAGACTGAAGAAACTCCTTGGACACAGAAACACGAATCTGCGGAAGAAGAAAAAAAGGAAAACAAGTCTTAAACCACACCAAGAATCCATTAGTATCAAGAAGAACCAATTGAAATGATATTTTAACTTACTCCTGCATCAACATGTTTTGGACCCAAGAGTGGTATGATCACATTCATGACATATCTTTGCTCAAGAGCTTCTTTGTTTGGAGATGACATAAGCTCCTTGTTTTCCCTCCACAGAAGTTGCTCGTCGGTTGTTAAAACAGAAACAAATCCATTCACACTCTTGTTTGCTTTCTCGTTCTTTCGAGCTTTCTGTATACGAATCACTTTCCCCACCTAATCAAATTTTATAGATACAATCAAAGATCAGTCCACAATAAGTTAAACCAACAGTCTCACTGAAAAATGTTTTCAACAAGAATCAAAACCATAATCAAAGTGAATCTAAACCAAATTAATCCAGCTGAGAACATTAGAAGTATAGCAATACAAGATTAACACATTTTTACAGTTCTCTACACCAAAGTCTCTCCATTTATACATAATTTCTGCCTTTGAACAAAAAATTCTCAGAGTTGTTCTATCAATACAAGATTTAACACATTTTCAGAATTGGTCTACACCAAAGTCTCTACATTTATACATGATTCTGCTTCTTCTTCATCTTTAAAGCTAATAGAAGAAGATGACCACTAAAGTAGAATCTAATATCCAAAGAGAATCTGAAATAGATTAAAAAAAACTCATAGAGAGAATGAAGAAGTCAACGAAAAGGAGAATCTGAAGTATAAAAAATCAAAATTGCGTCAAGCTCTACAGGATTCAAAAGGAAGTAAGGAAGATAGAAGAAGAAGAAGAAGAAGAGGAAGAAGAAGAGACTAACAAAAAGGGAAGATGATCCAGCATAAGCAAGAACGAGATTGGCACCTCCTTCGCCTCTGTAAATCCAATCAGACGCATCTTTCTCCTCCAGAATCATCTCTTTTGCTTACTAAACTCTTCAATTTCAATAACGAATCAGAACAAAATAGAAAGAAGAAACAAACGAAAAGAGATCGATCAAATCGAGGCAGCAAAAAAAATAAAACGTACGCAATGCTTTCAAAATTCGAGACAAAGGAGTACAAGAGAATAATAAAAATCGAAGCTTATTTTGCTGTCTGTCTCGAGTTTAGCGATGTGGACTACATCAAAGTCTTGAGGCTTTTGTCTCTGTGTCTTCTTCTTCTTCTTCTCAATTTACGTTTGTATACGGAGTCAAAATCGAAGCTGACCTGTGAGTAATATTCTGGTCTATAGAATCCACGTGGAGAAGGTACGCTCCACGTGTTTTTTGTTTCTTTTTTAATTGGTCTGATTTTGGTTCAAATTAATTTTTACAAAGTCTCTAATAAACCGTATAAAATTCGCATGTTTCTCGGTTTGGTAATTTTACTTAATTTCGGTAATACACACCGTCTCCTCTTGTCACACACCTCTATAAATAGGTGTGTATGTATTTTTCATTAACAAAGGACAAATCAAGAAACCCGAAATAAGATGGTTCGCCGAAGTGATAACTATTCCAAGAAGATGATTCGCCGATGGGAAGATACGAAGGAGGAGGAAATCGATGGTTACCGTGATGGTGGATTTAAACTTTCTCACTTCGTCTGTGACGGAGACGAGTGGCCTAGTGAAGATGGTGCCTTGATCAAGCGTTATGCTAGGCTGGGCCTTCACAGTTACAACTTGTTGCATGGGACAAACTTGCACTTCCATAGCGTAAAGAGTTTCGACAAGCGATTCTCTCCCTCCGTTCCTACAAGCGATTTCTACATAACAGTAGCTGCACGCGAGCCACCTAGCCTTTTGAAGCAAAACTTTCAGGTCGAAGTTGATGAAGAGTGTTATCGCGTTTTGGATTTAACCTGCTCTAACGTTATATAGACCTCAAGGTCAAGTCGCCATGACCACCACCACCAAGAGTTCAAGCGAGGAGGTCGACATACAGCGGCGTAACGAACCTTGGTATGGTTTGTACAAAGGCTGTCTGCCTAGTTGGCCGTCAGAGACTGCTTTCAAAGATAGAAAAATGTTTTACATGATGGAGAGATCGGAGCTGCGAGACAATTACTGGGTTTATTTGTATTTGGAACTTGCAGTTTTTTGTTCCAACAGGTTTTCAGATGAGCGCTCTCTGTACAAGTTGGAGATTGTGCAAGTGGCGATAGAAACTATTGAAGATGTGGATGCGTCGGATGCGAGACTCAACACCAAGACTGCAATTGTCTACATAAAGTATAGGGATTGGGCCAGGGCTCGGACTCGGGACTCGTGAGCGCATTGATCGCAAAGCTATTGTTAGAAGAGTTGTCAATGAGCATTCGGGAAAATTGACTCTCCTTGGTCGTCACTGACTCACTGGAGTGCAGAAGAAGCTTTGGGAACTGAGGTGCTTTCTCAAAATATGAGATTCCAACATGCTCTGAATGATGAGCAGCGTTCTAAAAAAGCTCGCTTAGGCGTCGTTTAGGTGTTCATAGAATATGGCGATTATCAAAAACCGTGGCCTACGCTCCATGCCCTCGTATAGTGAGGTTTATTTAGCTCGGTTGATGTAATTATAAGCTAAGTTCTTTTGTGCGTTAATTTGGACCGTCAAGTCACAAGGGGATTTGTCTCTGTGTGAAAACAAAAAAAAAGTCATAAGTTTACTCTCATATTTTTGTTATCTATACCAAATTTTATATAATTATTAATTTGCAATGCATCTTTTATTAGTTAATAATGATTATGAATTGTAAACTTTAAGAAAAACAATTGAAATTGCGAAAAGATCATTGGTTAAAAATTTCAGAAAATTGTTGATCACAAAAATGATATTTTTTTGAGAATCAGACGTAATATAACTTTTCTAAAAATTAATAAAAGAAAAGTAGACTGCAATGTCGCTTTCTCACCAAACAAACAAACATGTGTGGCTGAGTCCACGTATTTCATATTTTCATCCACCGGTACAACTAAAAAACTCCTAAAGAACATAATAAAATCAAACTTACCAGATTGTCAGTTTCACGTACCACACAACCAACGTTCCTCACGTGCTTCGCCGGTTGGTACTCACGTGGCCGGCAGCTTCTCGTTCATATTTTCTCTTCTGCTTAATAGAAATTCTCAATCTATGGTGCCTATATATAATGTTTTAATATAGCACGAAGATTAGTACCGAAATTTTTCCACGAAGCACAATTCATCTTTGTAAAGACAAGAAAATGGTTAGTCAGAAAGAGACCGTGTGTGTAACCGGTGCGTCCGGATTCATCGGTTCATGGCTCGTGATGCGATTACTGGAACGCGGTTACTTTGTCCGTGCCACGGTCCGCGATCCCGGTACATATATATCTGCTCTTACAAACTCCTTCATTTCTCATAAGATTATGTAGTTTTTTTATAAATAAATTTGTGTGGTTTATTGGATTATAAAGAGAATTTGAAGAAAGTCCAACATCTTCTTGATTTGCCAAACGCCAAGACGCAACTCACTTTATGGAAGGCCGATTTATCTGACGAAGGAAGCTACGATGACGCCATAAACGGATGCGACGGAGTTTTCCACGTGGCAACTCCTATGGATTTTGAATCAAAGGATCCTGAGGTAAGTTACTATAGTATGAACCTCTTTTGTTTATTTATTTATTTTGATCAACACTAATACATTTGTTAACTGAGTTCTTTAATTATTTCTTTTTAATCAGAATGAAGTGATAAAACCGACAGTTAATGGAGTGATGGGGATAATGAAAGCATGTGTTGAGGCAAAGACAGTACGAAGAATCGTGTTTACTTCGTCTGCTGGAACGGTTAACGTCGAAGAACATCAGAAAAATGTCTATGATGAACAAGATTGGAGTGATCTTGAGTTTGTCATGTCCAAGAAAATGACGGGATGGGTATATAAATACATATATATCTACATCACACATTAATTATTAAACCAAGCTTGATCTTCTTAGAAGTAATTTATGTTTTTGATAAACAATTTGGCAGATGTATTTCTTGTCGAAAACATTAGCGGAGAAAGCAGCTTGGGATTACGCAAAGGAGAAAGGAATAGATTTCATTAGCATTATCCCGACCTTAGTGATCGGTCCATTTATAACAACATCTATGCCTCCCAGCCTCATCACCGCGCTCTCTCCTATCACTCGTACGTGCACTTCACAAGAATAATGTTTTGTTACAAAGAGAAATGTTAATTAGTCTTTTTTTTTTGGGTTGGAATATGAAATGTTAATTTTGGAACGGTGAAATATATTGTAGGGAACGAGGCACATTATTCGATCATAAGACAAGGACAGTATGTGCACTTGGACGATTTATGCAATGCTCACATATTCTTGTACGAAGAAGCTGCTGCCAAGGGACGTTATATTTGTTCCTCTCACGATGCCACAATTCTTACTATCTCAGAATTTCTTAGGCAAAAATATCCGGAATATAACGTTCCTTCAACGTAAGACGTTCGTAGATTCGAATACTTTCTTTTTGCTTATTGAATCAAATTTTGTGCTGATATATTCTTTGGGACAGGTTTGAAGGTGTGGATGAGAATCTAAAGAGCATTGCGTTCAGTTCGAAGAAGCTGGTTGATATGGGGTTTAGTTTCAAGTATAGTCTCGAGGAGATGTTGGTCGAATCTATTGAGACATGTCGTAAAAAGGGTTTTCTTCCGGTTCCTTTAACGGACCAAACGAAATCTGAGGAAGTTCCGAGTGTTGGTGACAATATTGAGCTCAAAACCGGTGCTGTTTTAACCGATGGTATGATGCTTTGTAAGAATACCGAACCGGGGATAACCGCCGAGAAAAGCGATACTTGCATGCCAGCACAACAGATGTGTGCTTAGAAATTGAACCAGTTTCTAATATTTCTAAAATATCATTTGAGGATTGGAGTTGTGATTTGTGTTTTTTTTTCTTTTTCTATCTTCTCTTGATTATAAGCAATTACTGGGGATTATGTGGGATGATTTCTTGTTTATGCTGTTGTGTCATGAGTGTAACATTATGAACTTTTGTATAATTAAGAAGAAGAGTGCTATTGAAACCTTGATCATTCTATTCCTTCAATTTCGTATAATGTTGTTCGAAGAAAAACATTTCATATAATTAAACTATTTCAACATCTCAATCTCAAGCATTTCCTAACAATGAAGTGTTTATATACGTGTTTAGTCATATCTAGTAGTATTATGGGGAAAATTAACTAGTTATAAAGTATTTGATTTTAATTTTTAAGAAAACAATATGATTAGAAGTGATAAAGAGGATAATTTAATTTGAAATGTTACTCATAGTGGATTCATTTGACTTTTTGTTGCCAATGTCAAAATTCATAAAGCCACAGCCCACAGCCAAAAATCTTAAAGCAAATATTCTAGAGCAAAAAAATAAAGTCACAACCACAACCAATCAAGTCCATTGTTAATCAAACCATTGTTTATTAATCACCCCATTATATGATGTATATACAATAGTGAAATCAAATGAAATAAAAAGTCTCGATTATGTTTAACAAGAGGCACAAAACGATAACATATGTGTCGACAACGTGGAAAATACAGAACCGGTTCGATTCAGCAGGAAAATGGAAGACCGGTTTGATTTGGTGGTTTTCCGAATGCAAGGACGGTTTGATTTCAAATAAATCGATACAGTTTTAAAATAATTCAACCGTTAAGAACGACGAGCGTGACAACACGCGCAGCGATACATCAAAATCCGTTTTCTCCCAAATTATTTCTCACAGCTCTTCACAACTCTCAAAATTGATTCTCTCTCTTCTTTTATTTCTTTGCAGAACTCTCTCTCTCTCGATCGACTCTCAGAGGATCTGCGAAATCGAAAACCCATTTGCATTATTAGATTAGTAAGTGTTTCCATCGCTCTGTAAACTCGTGAATTTATTTGAGGATCTCTAAATTTGGTGTGTTATCTTCGATCGCGATCTAGTTCTAGGGTTTCCCAAGTTTTCTCATGATTCAATTTTTTTTTTTCTTGTTGTGGTGAATCTTAATCAGGGTTTATTTTTTCCTTCGTTTTGTTTTTGAAGCTTTGATTTCGCCCGAAACCGACGGATTGGTTTTGGGGTTTTGGCTCCTCGTCGAGGTACGTCTGTGTTAGGGTTTGTAAGCTTCTCTAATCTTTCCGATGTTTTACTTAATCGCGGTTTTGTCTTAGCAATTTCAATCTTCCTTATCGTTCAAAGTTCAATTTTTTGCAGTGATCTCTGTTCACGAAGTTTCTTGACTCCACGAGTATCGCGTATAAGCATGTTCCGATCCCTGGAAAGCCCTCTCTCCTTGGCATTCTCATCATCTCCGACTCGGCAGGTTCTTCTTTTCTTCATATATCGATTCTTATGGCTCGCTTTTGTAAAATTTAGGGCTCTTGTTGAGTATCGTTAGTCCCTCTCTTTCTGGGAAATTTTGGGGGAAAAATGTTGGTCCTGCATAGAATATTGATTTAGTTTGAATTAAGAGAGTTACTATCTTTGATTATTCTGATCTAGAATGACAACAATTAACCTGTTGCAGTCTCTCAATTTCGTTCCATCGTATAATGTCACGAAAGTCCCATAGTTTGAGCCTGAACATGCTTTTGGTTTGTACAGGTGCTTGTATGCGTTGTTCCGAGGCATTTGTTTTGGCGTCTGCTCTTGCTGCCGGACAAGCACATCTGATCGGTGAGATTCTTTCTTTATTTAAGCAATTCATGTCTTTGGATAAGACTTCAAATCTTGTTGGTTATGGTTTTTATCAAAAAACCCCAAAAAGATCACAGGCAGACACTAATCTAATAGCGTTATGTCAGATTCTTATTTTGGGAGCATTGTCCCGTTGTCTCAAGCCTGGACCCATTTATAGCAAGATTGCTAATTTGAACCGATATGGGCTGGTAGTGCATGCATGTCTTATGAGGGATGTTGGGAATGGGAAATAAGACAGTCGGCTTAAAAGTCTTAAGAGAAAGACTATGTAAGGATCTGTTTTCACTTCCTTGGTTGGAACAGAGGATACCAAAGGGATTAAAAAAGTCTAAAGGCAAAGACTAAGAAGTGAAGTGAAAGCAGATTCCTTGAGGTACTACTAGTACCCACGGCTTGCAGAACTCTTTAGTCAAAGACAAAGACAAATGTCTAGTGGCTTGAAGAAGACATGTTAAATTGACGTGCATGTCTAAGGAATGACGGAAGGGGATGGGAAATAAAACAGTCGGCTTAAAAGTCTTAAGACAAAGACTATGAAGGATCTGTTTTCACTTCCTTGGGTGGAGTAAAGGCTTATAAGTCTAATGAACTGATTAAATACTCCACCACACGGCTTAAGAATGTCTTTAACACAAAGACTTAGAAGTGAAGTGAAAACAGATTCCTTGAGCTAATAGTAGTACCCACGGCTTGCAGAAAATATTTAGTCAAAGACAAAGACAATGTCTAATGGCTTAAAGTCATGTCACATTGAAGTGCATGTCTAAGGAAGGATGGTAGGGGATGGGATATAAAAACGCTCGGCTTAAAAGTCTTAAGACAAAGACTTTGGATCTGTTTTCGGTTATTTGGTTGGAGTAAAGGCTTCCCATGAACTGATTAAATACTCTACCAAACCGCTTAAGAAAGTCTTAAGACAAAGACTAAGAATTGAAAACAGATTTCCTTAATTTACCACTACTACCCACGGCTTAAGAAGGTATCTAGTCAAAGACAATGACAATGTGTAATGACTTAAAGAAGAAGCCATATTGGATAGAGAAGTCATGTTACATTGACGTGCATGTCTAATGAATGACGCCAGGGGATGGGAAATAAGACACTTGGCTTAAAAGTCTTAAGACAAAGACTATGAAAGGATCTGTTTTCACTTCCTTGGGTGGAGTAAAGACTTGTATAAAAGTCTCATGAACTGATTAAATACTCTACCACATGGCTTAAGAAAGTCTCAAGACAAAGACTTAGAAGTGAAGTGAAAACAGATTCCTTGAGTTACTACTAGTACCCACGGCTTCGAAAGTCTTAAGACAAAGACTTTGGTTCTGTTTTGGATTATGTGGTTGGAGTAAAGGCTTCTATAAGTCTCATGAACTGATTAAATACTCTACCACACGGCTTAAGAAAGTCTAAAACAAAGACTTGGAAGTGAAGCGAAAACAGATTCCTTGAGTTACTACTAGTACCCACGGCTTAAGAATGTCTAAGGAAGGATGTTAGGGGATGGGGAATAAGACACGCGGCTTAAAAGTCCTAAGACAAAGACTTTGGATCGGTTTTGGATTATGTGGTTGGAGTAAAGGCTTATAAAAGTCTCATGAACTGATTAAATACTCTACCACACGGCTTAAGAAAGTCTTAAGACAGAGACTTAAAATTGAAAACAGATTTCCCTAATTTACCACTACTACCCACGGCTTAAAAAGGTATCTAGTCAAAGACAATGACAATGACTATTGGCTTAAACAAGTCATGTTACATTGAACAATCAGTGTAAAGGTCTCAAGACAAAAGCTGTGAAACTGAGACTTCCTATCAACAAAAGAGTCTCTTAAGAGAAAGAGTATAAGCTGGTTTTCATTCGGTTGGATGGAAAGAGTGACCAATCGTATGAAAACAACCTTAAGTCACTCGGCTTAAAAGTCTTAAGGCAAAGACTCTGGATCTGTTTTCGATTCTTTTGCTAGAGTAAAGGCTTATATGTAAGTCTCATGAACTGATTATTTACTCTACCACACGGCTTATGAAAGTCTCAAGGCAAAGACTAAGAACTGAAAACAGATCCCCTTAATGTACTCTACTAGTACCCACGGCTTACAAAAGTATTTAGTCAAATACTAATGGCTTAAAGAAGTCATGTTGGATAGAGAAGTCCTAAGACAGGCTGTGAACCGATTTGGTTATCACACGGCTTAAAGTTTGGGTTGCCTTTCAGTTTGTTGGATGGATAGATTGACCAACGACCAATAGCTGAAAAGTCACAACTATGAGTGGGAAAACAGATTTCCTTACGTTAAACACTCTTTGGCTTAAACAAGTCTCATGAACTGATTATTACGGACTTTGCCACAAGGCTTTGAAAGTCTTTAGAGAGTGACCAACGGCTTAACATGGTCTTAAGAAAAGGACTGACTATGAGTGGGAAAAACTTTAACACTCCTTGGCTTAGAAGTATGTCTTTAGAGAAAGACTATGGATGGAAAAACAACCTAAAGTTTGCCACAAGGCTTGGAAACTCTTTAGACAATGGATAGTGTTTCCTAAAAAACAACCAACGATTTAAAAAGTTCTTAAGAAAAAGACTATGAGTGGGAAAACAACCTACGACTTAAACAAGTCTGACAATGGATTGTGTTTCATAAGAAACAACTAACGGGTTAAAGGTCTTTAGACGAAGGCTCTCTTTGATTCGTCGGATGGATATACGACCAACTTCTTCAAAGACTACGAATCCTAAAACCTATTGTTTACACTATCCCAAAGCTTCTACGTGAGTGAAAGACTAATTAACTCTGTTTTTTTTTTCCAGGTATGTGCTTCAGAAGGTCTTCAAATTGTTAGAGAGTATGAGGTGTGTAGCAGACTTCTGTGACAGGTATGTGCTCTTTCAAACTTGCTTGTAATTAGTTTATGAAACTCATAAGTAGGAGAAACATATTTGAAGTTAAGGCTAATTTTGATTTCCATTGGACAATGTGCTTGAATAAGCATCTAAAATTTTAGGAGATTAGAAGTGTTAACATACTTCTGTAGCAGTTTGAATTATGAAGAGTAATACTGATTTTCTCAGGTGATTTCTTCTACAGCGGAGGTTTCGAAGTGTGGCAAAATCTCGTGATCAGGTATATTCTTCTCTGGAAT